TTAGGGAACACTGCACCCTTGCTCCTTTAAGCTCCACCAAAAAAAAGAATGGAAAATTACAGCGCTCACAATCTCTTCCACTGCATGACAGAGGTGACAGTAGCTGCAATGGACAAACCTTCATACATTAATTCATCAGAATAAATTAAATTGAAAATCACCAGAGCAGCAGGAGTCACTTGTCTGCTGGCTGTTTTTTTCCATAATGCACATGACATACGCCTCCATTCACCTCATAAATATTTTGTGAAAAAAGTCATCCATAGCCCTGAAACTAAAAGAATCAAATAGCTTTAGTATAGCATCCAGAAACCTCACCGACTGATATACGTACTGGCTTTTGGCATTCAGAATAAGTACTGGTGGTGATGACGAAACAAACTCATTTAATGCTGCATTTAGTCTGAAGCATTCTCTATCCCCACAAACACTGCAAAATATCGTTGACAATGTTACAATGTACTTGTGAGAAGAAATTTATGTTTTTTTTCTTCTTGCCAATTTGCTTCAGGCCTTTCCAGAAGACATTTGACTCATTTTTCCCTAGGGCCTGGCATCCTTCAGTTCTTCTCCCAACCAAAAACCCATTGTTACTGTATGAGTCTTAACAGAGAGAGTTGTCAGACTACTCAAACTGCATTGGGCATCATATCCAAATCTGATCTTGTCCTCACTCGACATGCAAACACAAACACACAGCCATTACTGTCTCTGGATTGTAGGAACGGAGGCTTATTTTCTCCCATTTCCTAAGCGACGGAGCATATTGAAGCCAAGTTTAGCATCCCAACTTGTGTCACAGGTGATATCAGCAAACTCAGTGCAAAACAGTGATTTGAATCTGTGAACTTCTGGCCTGTAACGCGTAGTGCTGAGTCAGTCCCCTACCTCGTCCACTACATAATCTAGACCGCTGTGAGAAGATGGGAGAAAAAACGGATGCAAAGGGACAGGTCTGTCCTAAAACATCTCTAAAACACCTCCCAGCAGGTGGGTCAGATCAGCAATGTTGGAGGCCTTGGAGAGGCTCATCTTGGCTTGGCCAGGGCTCCACTATTACGGAGTCTGTGGTCAGACAGATTTAGTTAGGGGGTTGGGATTTCATTGTGAAATACAAGCACCGACATGTGCTAGCACAACAACTGGACACCAACCACCTCCAGCAGGTATATCATGTTGTAAACAAAACAGAATCCAAATTACTGAGCAGGTAGGATCCTGCTTAGCTTTCCATCAGATGTGGTGTCTGTAGCATAAGCACAACTTGGCAAAGACTACAATTTGTTAAAGGTGTCTTTTAAAAAAGATTTTCCAAAATTCCTCACTAACTCAGGAGTTCGACTACCTCAAGTTATCATGGAAACGTGTCTGAACAGTAGTTCAGCAAGTGACTTGTCAGGGAGTATATGCTGTATAAATCGAGTTCAGAAAATTACAGACAAGAAAATCCACAGCAGGCAGTGGAGAGCACTTTTTTTAGGTGTTTAAGAGAAGCAAAGGGTTTGTACACGCTTTAAACTTGTTCTAAAAGAGGAGCGTTCCATTAGCTCGTCAGCATCATGCTGCAGTTACCAACACATTACTCCTTGCAGGCTGTTTCAGGGTGTCCTCTCCATATATTATGAGCTCCAGCCACAGCTGATCTATTGCAAAACAGGACAATAAAAATAGCTTTGGCAGAACCAAAGAAGGGAGCAGAAAGCAAATATTATAAATGAGGAAATCTCATCCTCAAGTAAAACTTCCAAGTCAAAATGACAGGACTTTTTTGAATTACGTTTCCCAATTTACCAGCTATGTTTTGAAACACTTATTCTAGCTTCATGTGTATCTTATGCTAAGTTAACTAATAATGGGTTAATAGTTTCAATTAAGATTTAATGTACTGTACCTTCTTTCGCTAATGTTACTTCTCCTTATTTGCTGCAGTTTTTTGATATGCAGAGGAAACTGCTGGATGGCCTTAAAATAAAAATTAATTCATATTAATAATGTAAAAAGTTGATTGGAAATTTAATTAAAGAACTTGCAACTCTATAGCACCTTATCAAGTCTCAATGTGCTTCATAGCAATTAGTCTCAAACATAGTGACTGTTTTTATTGGCAAACATGAGATGAATAATAATAAATCTGGATGACAAATTGGAGAGACCAGCAGAAACTCCCAACTCTTTATAAATAGTACCAGGGGATTTTTAACGTCAACGTGAACAGGCAGATACAGCCTCAATTTAGGATCTCATACAACCTACACCTCTGAAAAAGCAAGATTGATAAAGAAGTCATGTTTGCTTTCTCTTTTTCTGCCCCCCCCACCCCACCTCTGTCCTCTCCTGAGGACTCTTACTTATCCCTAGAATATTTTGCTTAAATATTGATCTTTCACGTGTAAGTATCAGAAAGTTATTCGACTGTAGAAGAGTATCACAGATGTGCCCTATCCTGGCCGTACTCGTGTAGTTTCGAGCAGCGACTGTGGGTAGCAATCAGGAGCAGATTTTCCCCCTGCCTAGCTCAGCAGCAATGAGGTCAACTGTAGCACCCCACCGCAGCCCCGGGGGAGATCAGCTTCCTCAGCATAGATTGGGGATTGGACCTGGTTCCTTCGTAGTTTATATGATCTATTCACAATGGACAGTGGCTTTACCAATGAAGCCATTTATGAGAGCTAATTAAATGAGACGAATAAACAGAACGAATATCAATCTGAAAGCATACATGAACGGGGAGGAAATAGAAAACTATGGGAGAGAAGATTTGGAGGGAATGAGGTTTATGTGCAGTATAAACACCATCACAACAACAACAACTTGTGTTTATATAGCACCCCTCATGCAGGATACCGTCCCAATCACTGACTGTTTGGGCTGAATGGACTGTTTCTATAATGAAATATTCTATGTAATTCTATAAAAGCAACTTAAGGTTTCTATATTAGATTCTGAGAATGGTAAAAAAAAAAGGGGTCTCTCTGGAGCTGAACTGACTCCAAGGTAACATATTTGGTAATGAAATGTCAGACACCAGCCCACCCTCTGTGGCGATCTCTAGTCCAGTTCCTGAGCCAGGTGGGTCAACAGTATTCCAGGTCATTACTGATGGCCTCATAACCAGCCTGGCAAAAACGGCAGCACTTGGAAGGGCAGAACACTGGGGGCAGGGAATCAACCAACTCTGCAGAATGGTTGCTCAACACTGTAGGAAAATACATTGTGTACTTGCACTGGCATGTCCTGACAGGCATGCAAAACAGTCACAAGATAAGGCGGTAGACAAAGCTAAAGATAAAACACTGTAGCTCCAACACCCCAAACAAAACACAGGTTGCTGCTGGAAAAACATATAAATTAAATTTAGACAATTTGCAGAAAGTAGCTTCAGTGAAATAAAACATTACCAAAGAGGAATGGACGATTATAATGTCAAACAGATGACAGGCGAGAAAACACAGGCAAAATTATGTTCAGCACAACATGAAGGCAAAAGGATAGGTGAAGAGAAAAGCGACTGGAGATCTGAGGAGAAGGAAGAGCTACAGGTTTAGAGACAGAAAAGAAAGTCCATCCTGCAAGATCAGGCTCTGCTACATTAATATCAATTTCTTCCCCTTATTTCTCTGTCTTTCAGCCCTTCGTTCACTCGTTTTCTCACTGCTGAAATATTGAAGGCCTCTCCCACACTCTCATTATACAGTATGTCCACAGTTAGCTCTGCAACTAAGAAGAGCTCATATTAATTACTGCAATGCAAATGTTGCAACTGCCCAGATCTATCTTCTGACCTTCATCATTAACTTAGCCTCCACAATGCTGTCTTAGTGTAAAATAATACTTTTATCAGTAACCAAACTGATAATATGAAAATCCAAGCAGGCTGACCTGCATAACTCTGTCTCCATTTGACTATGTTTTGTGACAGATGTTAGTGTTTCAATTATTCAAGTTAATGAGTCCTGTCCTACATCCTCTGTATGAAACCATTTAGTTCCAGTGCTCTTTTTACTTCTTCTTTTTCATAGGTTTAGAGTGTTCAGTTATTTTTCTATTTTACTTTCACTAGCATGTTGCCTCTCTGCTCATGGTCTGGTCTCCTTTAGCTGGGGTGCAGTTCCACGGGCACTGGTTACCCTCCAGCACCTTGCCTAATGTTCATGTACGAGCCTTGGCAGTGAGTGTTGGTTCACTTGATTATAAAAGGCATCACAGTCTAGCCTGACTTCTCCCTAACCAGCTGCTACACACATCTGTAAGTCAACTTTCTCTGCGACATAGCCCGCTTCAACCAATATCATCTGCCTGTTCCGGTGGACGTTAAGGAACCTATGGCACTATTCGAAAAGAGAAGGGAATTTCTCCCAGTGTCCAATTCACCAAATAAAATTGGTCAATCACTCCATGGCTGTTTGTGGGATTTTTCTGCGAGCAAACTGGCTTACGCATTTCTGTGTAGTCTACAGAATACACAGTCACTACACTTCACAGTGTATCCTGTGAAGCGCTTTGAGACGTCTGAACAATGCACTAAATCAAATGCAAGAATTATTATTATTAATGTCACTCCCATGCAGCTGAAACCACATCTTTCTTACCTCCAGTGCCCTTTTCCAATGCCCTGATCACCACCCTCTCCAGATCCACCCTCCATAAGCTCCAGACCTTAATTCAGAACTCCACAGTCTGCATCTTATCCCACACCAGGCTCCATGAGTCCACCTCCCCCTTTCCTGCCCGGTTCCATTAATGCCCCCTCTACCACAGTGGATTGAATTTAAAATCCTCCAATGCTGCATGGCCAGCAATTGCCCTATTGTAGTTCAGCAATCTTCTGGGACCCTACGGCATTCCCTCTGCTCCGACAACTCTGCTCTGCTTCATGCCCCCCGCTAACTGTACCCCACCATTATTAGACACAAGTTTTCAGCCACTTTTGCCTAACCTCTCAAAACTCTTCTGAAATCCCTTCCACTTCAGTCCCCTCCCACTCTGTTTTCAAAAATCTGTCAAAAGACACATTTCTTTAACAGCATCTTCCTCCTACCCTTCCGATCCCCTCCACTCTTGGGTTCCCACTCAATCTTTGTAATGTGCTTCATGATGTGATGTAAATTGTTCCTACTTTTATTGATTCTTGCGAAAGATAAACAGGAAACCACAAAAATAAAAACATAGCAATATGTTCCCCTCACCCCCAAGACATTTAAACAAAAACTTCTCTACATGTAGTATTTCTGGGACTCTCCTGTGATGACTAGGGCTGGAAATTTGGCACAGCATTTTTTGTCAAAAATTTTAGTGAATGTCATGGGTTTACAGGGAAATTTGGGGGTGACAGGTATGAATATTCAACCATATCTCTTTGTACCTCCCAACATTTTCAATGTCTAAACCAGGGTGCAAAAAAACCTTATTTATGAACACAGGAAGCAGCTGGGCTGTGTGAATCCTTGCACCCGCCTCGCAAAAACAATTTTAATTTTCCGCATTAAACCTGGGAGGGGTTGTTGCATGCACATGGTTAATGTGGGAAATGTATGTGACATTTCAAAAATATTAAAATGAGATATTTAGGCATGTTTGGGACTTGCCTATCTAAATTTTTCTCTTCCTTCTCTTCTCTTCCATTCTTTGTCAATTGTTTATCTCCTTCCTTCATCTGTTTTTCAGCCGCTTCTAATTGTTGTTGGACCGTTCCAATCTTCAGAGTTAATTCCTTAAAAAAAACAAAATTAACCAATTTATGAAACACTAAGTCATATTGTACAAGAATAAAATGTAAGGTCAGCTAAATTTAATTATCAATCCATCTGCCAACAATAATTTAATTATCTATTGGAACGATGTAGTGATAAACAGTTACAAATCAAAAACAAAGCCAGACACGGTGGTGCATGCTTCAATTTTCCAAGTGAGTATTTACACCTAGTTACCTCATGGTGACCAAATTCTACCTAGTTTCCAGTGTTCCAACTGGAGTGACCCAGTCAACTTTAATTCCACTTATTCAACACCAGATATTGCTGTTCTTCATTCTATAACTACCTGAATTAGAATTGATGTCCTAAGATGCATTGAAGACAGGATGAGTCACAGACAACCTATGTACCAAAGAGAAGTTGCTGAGAACATGTCACGGTTGACCTATGAGGGAATTGTGCCCAGTATTGGAGCTTCAAACGTCAGCACAAAACATTAGCAAGGCTCTGCTGGAGTTGCTTGGGAACTCAATCTTAGATGCTTTGAAAGAACCAAAAAGAACCATAGCTTTCAAGGGCAAGCTCCCCATGCCCCATGAATAAATAAGAACTATGTACCATATCATAATATTCTGCAAACTGCCCGATCAGAGATTTAGATAAAAATGTTGAATCACATTTATCATATTTGCAATACATTTTATTTCTCTTGCACTGTAGCCCATATTTTTGTTGTTCAGCCTTATTTTCAAGACATTATTGAAGGTCAGATGTTCTTCCAAACAAAGGCATTTTTTAATAAAGAAAATCTAACAAGAGCTTATGTAATGAACTGAAATGATCGCAATCTGGAGTTAGTGGTGCATAAGGCCATTTACCCCACGCATGATGTTTATTTGCTAAAACACAATGAGCATCCTTCTCCATACGGCGTTAGATGCCAATTTGATTGAGAGAAGGTCACTGTGGCTGGAAACACTGAAACACACGTGGTCAAAGAAACAGCATTGCTTGTAAATTCCAGGAAAAGGAGGGGATTATTTACTGAATGTTTGACATTCTTCACTAACATTTTGAAAAAATAGCTTAGAACAGTAGGAAAAGAATTCGCGAAGAATTTACATGAGTTCTTCATCTGGTGACACAGTGTAGCCCAAAGGTGTTGTTCTGGAATGTTGTTTTATTCTTGGAAATCAGCAAATTCTTAAAACAAAACCATTATAAAGCCCCAGAGTTTTTTTAAACAATATTATTCCTATTCTTTAGAGTTTTATTGGAAAACTATAATTCGTAATAAGAAGAATGGAACAGGTTTAATTTAGGAAATTCTAAATTCAACTGAGCCACAAAAATGTTTTTTCTCCACCCAAAGCACTAAATGTGCTTCAAGTATTGCATTATGTTATTTATATGACCGTATATTATTACTAAGTAGTAATAACAGGTGTTAACAGTTTTCGTCTCCCACATTATGGAAGTGCTCATCAGCAAAGCACAAATGATGTCTCGACTCTGAAAAAAGTGCTAGGAATGCAAAGCATATCACGGTGACTCATGGGATCTCAACACGATTGAGATTGAGGTTGAGATCCCACGAGAGAGTACACAACAACTTGCATTTATATAACAGCCCTCACGCAGGGCTGCATTTCGGAGTATAAAATATATAGGATTAACTACTTTACATCTTGAATATAAATATAAAAAGGATATTGTAGCGATTGAGAGGATACAGAGGAGGGCAACCAAAATGATTGAGGGGATGGAGGGACTGGAATACAAGGAGCGATTAGATAAACTGGGAATGGTCACACTGGACAAGAGAAGTTTGAGAGGCGATATGATTACGGTCTTTAAGATTCTGAAGGGAATAGATAATGTAGACCATGATAAACTGTTTTCTCTTGAACCAGAGGATACGGTCTATGATTGAAGGGGGATAAGTTCAGAACAAATCTGGGTAAACACTACTTCAGTGAGCGAGTAGTTTTGAAACTTATGAAACGGGCTCCTTTGAGAAACAGCGAAGCAGAAAATGTCATTTGTTTCAAGAACAAATTTGATAGATTTCTGCTAGAAAATGATATCTCGGGATACAGTGTTGGACTGCCAGGATGGTAGGTGGTGAACTAGATGGACCTTGGTGTTCTTATGCCTAGCAAATTCTTATGTTCATAAATGCATTCATTGTGTTGAAGCATCATTTATGCTACCACCTTTCCAAGAAGCACATTTTTTTTCAACTTCCGCCAATTATTAGGCTGCAGTATCCTATTGTTAAAACTTACCACTTTCCTATCTGCTAATTCATCTGCTGTTATCCACAGTGCCTCTATAGTTTTGTTTAACTGAAAGCAAAACACACATAAGAGTTAAGAGTTATAGAGATCATCGATGCACAATGCAGATTATAAGAACAATGTGCACTTTGTATGAAGGGATCAAAATTTCCACTGGTCACAACTCTGATTAGCTATATGAATCTATTATGTGAGTTATATATAAACAATTCACAGGTATCTAACTTTATACATAACAACTTGCATTTATTCAGACCCTTTGACGCAGGATGAAAGTCTGATTTTGTTTCAGACAGTGGGGAAATCCAGCATTGAGGAAAAGAGCAAGTTAAGGGTGTTAAACAAAGACATGGTCAAACAGATGATTTTAAGAGGGACTCGAAGGTAAGGAGAGAAGCCCCCCCCACCCCCCACGCATCAATAACTCCAATAATCTTTCAGTGAAATTAGAGGTTATCTGTCCACTCCTAAATCCAGGCTGTCCACTCTCAATTCAGTCTGTGTATTCCAGAGGCAGCCTATCCATTCTCAATCTGTTTTATCCAAGAACCTAGTCCTAACCTTGAAATTGCTTGATAGTCTTGCCCCACTTTATAATCTCCTCCAGCCCTAATCTCCTATCTGTACTCCTGCTCCTCAAACTCCAGTCAACTGTCTGTTGCGACTTCTTCCATCCCAACCATTGGTGGTAGAGATTTCAGTCATTAGGTTCTCACTCAGGTACTGTCTTTCAAGCTCCCTTCATTTGGGCCTCCCTCCCCCATTCATCAAAAGGCTACTAAAAAGCTATTTTTTGCCAAAGTCTTTGGTGAATAACCTCAAATTACCTTTCTGCTGAGAGATCGATAATTTGAGACTTTCATTTTACACAAAATGCCAAGTGCTATGGAAGCAATCTGTTCTTGTGGTTGATACAATAATAATTCTTGAATTTAATATCGCGCCTTATCACATCTTTGAGACGTCTTAAAGCGCTTCACAGAATATACTGTAAAGTGAATTGACTGTATAATTTGTGGATGAAATGTGGCAGCCAACAGCGCACAGCAGTGTCCCACTCCATATCTGAAGCAACAATTTGTGTGATTTTGCAAAAAATGTACGAATCTAAAATCTAAGTGAATATTTTGAATAAAATCTAAGTGCATGTTTTGCCTCACTAAAAGATTGACGGGCTGGTTTCTGCCCAGGGCCTATGTCTGCTAGTATCTGAAGGTCATTTCACACCGAAATCTTCCAGCTGTCATGAAGAGAAGTATTTCATTCCATTAGTCTGACTACATTCAAAACCAGAATCCTGAGGTCAAAGAACAGTGCTAAATTACAGAACCCAGTGACTTCATACACCACTGCACTATTCAGTGTCCTTACATTCCCATATATAAAGGAAAAAGTAATGTTCTCCCTCCTATGAGCAGAAAAACCTGCAGTGCTACTTTGTCCACATGCTTTTCTATCACCAATTTTCTCCCCTCATCCAGATGTTTAAGTAACTTAAGCCCATGTGCTTTTAAAAGGCCACAAACATTTTCTCAAATGATACTAAATTAGAAGACAGTAAGATTGCAAAATGCAATAGATATTTTTCAGGGAATTTCATGACAACAAATTAATTGTTCAGCACATATAGGGTAACCAAAAAGTCATGATACCATTACAATACGTCCAGTAAGTCTCAAAGAAATCATGATTTTTTAGATAATAGGGTAGTTATCATGACTTTTTGGTCACCTGTACAAGTTATTTACTAGCTCTCAAGTCTAAAGTCAACAACAACAACAAAAAATTACATTTGTATAGCGCCTTTCACGTCGGGAGGAAGTCCCAAGACACTGGACAGTCAAGGATTTGGATCTGAACTAGATGTTGCGATCAGGAGTGCCGGAGGCAGGGAGGGTAGGTAGGAGGGTGACCGAACGTGCGGTTGAAGATGATAGTTTTGAGTCGGGTCCTGAAGGAAGCAAGGGAAGGGGCGAGGCAAAGGGACTGTAGGATGGAGTTCCAAAGGGTGGGGCCAGAAATTCGTAAGGCCCGAAAGTCAATGGTCGGGCGGGGGACGTGGAGCAGACAGGAGACTGCTGAGCAGAGGGAGCAAACAGAACTGTATGAAGTTAGCAGGTCACAGAATAAATAAATAATAATCCTTGCATTTGATATAGCGCTTTTCACGTCGGGAGGACATCCCAAAGCGCTTCACAGAACACACTGTAAAGTGAATTGACTGTATATTTGTGGGCGAACGCGGCAGCCAATTGCGCACAGCAATGTCCCACAAATAGTTATATGGACTGAAAATGACCAATTTATTATTGGTTTTTTTTGGAGGGATTATTATTAGGCTCTGTGTGGAGTAAGGAAACTTGCCCAAGGTTTCGCCCTCTGCCTGGAATTGAACTCAGGTCTCTCACTTGCAAAGCGAGTGCTCTAACCACTGAGCCACAGGGCTCCACAGAAATAGGGAGGAGCAAGCCCTTGGAGGGCTTTGAAGGCAAGGACGAACATTTTTAACCTTATCCTCTGGGGGATGAGGAGCCTGTGGAGCCGGATGAGGATGGGGGTGATAGGGTCACGGAACTTGGTGCAGGCTTACAGGAGGCAATAGGATTGTTTTTCATCTCTGACCAGAGGAAGTGCACAAGGGCAACCTGAAGGATTTTCTTTCCCTACAGAAGGAATACCAGCATGTGCCTTGAGCCTTTTAAGATTTTCATGGCTGAGACTCATGTGACGATCATAGGTACGAACCTTCCAATTAATTGGTGTAGAGATCCAACACATTACATTGCTATGCAAGTTTGCAGGAAATCAGACTTTATTCTGAAATGCAGTGAAACATCATGCAAGGTGGCATATTTAAAAAGAACTTTCTCGAAATATACATATCTAATCAATACAGAAAAGACGTCATACCCATCTTGTAACTCTTAGTCACTGGGGATTCAGTGAGAGCTAAAATAGATAGATAGCTATCTGTGGATTGCACGGCAGTAATTCAGGTGGTTTTGCCGAGGTAATGGATTGCATCAACTAAATTATCTGACCCTTGAGACGTTACAGTTTTGAAACACACCTATTGCTTCCTTGAACAAGGAGAGCAAGGCTTAAATATTATTTAACAGCAACATTAGACTACACTCTTGAAAACACACACTATGTTTTTTTTATTGTTTACAGTAAACACAAGTTTTAATAGACTTACCAAAGGACACTTGTTTGACAGAATAAATACAAAAATAGTGAGTTTAGAACAGATTCTAAATTTTGTACAAAACGCAAAATACTGCAGATGCTGGAAATCTGAAACAAAAACAGAAGTCGCTGGGAACACTCAGCAGGTCAGGCATCGGCTATGGAGAAAGGAAAGTGAGTCAACGTTTCGGGTCCATGACCCTTCGTCAGAACTCTGGGTCCACAACCCTTCAGGTCCACAACCCTTCAAGTCCATGACCCTTCGTCAGAACTTTGTTCTTCTTTCGTCAGAACTGAGTTCTGACGAAAGGTCATGGACCCGAAAAGTTAACTCATTTTCCTTTCTTCATAGATGCTGCCTGACCTGCTGAATGTTCTCAGTGTTGTGATATGACTAATGCTCAATGGTGCTGATCAATGCACATATTTGATATGACCAACGTTATGATAATTGATACATCGACTGATCCCTGGGTAATATATCATAATAATCCTTGCATTTGATATCGTAGCTTATCACGTTATTGAGATGTCTCAAAGTGCTTCTCAGAATATACTGTAAAGTGAATTGACTGTATATTTTGTGGGTGTTCTGGAGGTGGCGACTGTGCTTTGGTTCCCTTCTCAATTTTCAAAACAGTAATTTGCTGCACTACAATTTGGACTTGTGGTCTATGTGGCATTTGATTAATGCCTGGTGGTTCAGTTAATCCAGTTCCAGTATTACAATGTTATGATCTATGATCACAATGTGTTAATTTTGTCTGTCTTCTAAAGCAATCTTTGAGATGGGGGAGGAGGAGTAGGATCTATCTCTAATCTCTAGTGCACCTAGAAACTGGTCAATTTGTTAATTATCACAAGGTTTTTAATTTCAATAATTCATACCATTGGTGTTAATTAACAAATTGCACACTGCAATTTTTCACCTAATATTCTATGTGCGGTCTCCCCTCATTATATGATTAATAACCTTCTAACCTAATAGTCACATGCTCTCAAGATTGCACCCAATATTTGATTAGCTTTGTTGGCAGCAGCTTCAAACACCCTTCTGCATCTCTGCTAATGGAAACCCCTTTACTGTGTGCACATCATTTACTTGATCCAATGCACATTACCTTACGTTTATCTAGATTTAAAATCCATCTGCTGCTTCTTCTCCCATCTGTTTCATTTGTCCAGGTCTTCCTGAATGCTATTTGTCATCCTTCTATTAGCCACTTCTGCCCAGAAAATGTAGCATCAGCAACAAACGTTTCAACATTTCAAGAAATGCTCTCTGGCCATACTGAAAGTGGTCCAGGATAAGTTTCTAACTAGATTGAATCTCATATATTGCTGTATGCATTAAAGTGCTCTGGGACGCTGCCCTGCGTGACGAGCACTATATAAATGCAAGTTATTGTTGTATGAAATATATTGTTGTATAAAGTAGGGTTTAAGTCAAGAGACTCACTAGTCATAAAACGGTTAATAATATGCTTGAACAGAAACTGCAGCAAAAATGGCACTACGTGCCTAGGGTTGTACAGTGCTTCAAAAAAGTACTCCACATGTCATGCTGACCCATGGGCATTCTGCTCTGAAATAGTCTAAGGACAGAGATCTTGTAGGTGCACGTGACATACATGCCATTTCTTGTATGTGAGATATTTCACGTCCCAAGGTGAATTTTCTGGTGCGTGAGCTATTTAAGCTGCCGTTTTCCAGTTCAAATATTTTTTTCAACCCCTTTGGTAAATCTGGCTTTAATTCAGTGTTGGAAGAAAGCTGCTTGCTTCTTGAGACATATGGGTAAGGGACGGGAAGATGAGAAGAATGCTAGATCGTGGAAATGCGATTTGCTGCTTTTGCCACTATCACTAAGAAAAACTTCAGCTTTGGGTGAGCTCTGAGCATTTGTTAAAAGATTTTACCCAGCCTGTACAACAGAAATGTAAAGAGTTACATATTGCTCAGAATGGAACTGAAGGGGAGTATGAATAAATCTGACATCCCCTATGAAGCTGAGAAACAGAGGCGATTGATCAGTTGTCTGATAATATTCTATTTCTGGTTCTAGCCTTTACGATAATTCAATTACATAAATCATTTTTTTTTGGGGGGGTGGGTAGGATATCTGAGTGAAGGGAAATAGTTTTGGCTTGAAATTGTGTTCATTTTACATGATGGTTTGTTGTACTCACTTGTGCATCTGTAGTCCTTAAAAATACTGATAGGTTTAAGTCATGCATATTATGTCAACATACAACAGGAAAATAGATTCTAAAAACCACAAAGCGCAAATGTTAGTGCTCTGAAGTACACCATGTGCTGAGCAAGCAGCTTTGCATTCCTGTGTGGATCAGTACAGATGAACTGCTCTGTGGGAAGCTTTATTTGTCCAGGTTTGCATACTCTATAATATTTTCACACAAAAATAACTATGGTATGATATTTTCACACAGAAAAAAAAGCTCAGGACACATCCTAGTATTTGCCAAAATAAAATGGTAGGACATGCTATGGTATTACATGCCATGGTAATGGTTGATATATTTATATACATTATAATCAGGTATATTCTTTGCCAACAATCACTGGTTTTTGACTCAATCTTACAGTGATTACGCCACATCATTAATCTTTTAGTGCATGCATTATCACAAAGGTAACAGGGATGTCACCATCCACCTGATTACTGCCATCATAAAGTGCAATAAAATAAAAACTGCACTCCAAAGAAAATTCCACAGTATAGATTGCGAAAAAATATTTCAAGGCCACATTTCATCTCATAGTTCACATGACAGTAGCTTGATCCTGTCTTTTATATGGTCACTGGAAAATTTTGGGTGAGATTACTACCTTGTAATTACTCCCAGACATCAATTATTATATATAGTCTTATTAGCTGTTGCATTCACCAGAAACCAACTGCAAGTTATTTTTGCAATAATGACAGAACAATAATTAAACTCACTGTGCAGACATTGTGGAGCCCAATGGCAATCTATATCTGGACTGTCTGCTATTGCTCGCCTTAAACAATCTAAACACTAAATAAAACTAGAGCAAAAAATAAAACACTGCCCCATTATATTGTATTATTTATGTAAAAAAAAATAACTAAGATACCGCAAAGTGACTTCAGGCAATATTCCGATGCCAAATATAAACATCTTCTGAAACCCTAAATTATGTTTAAATCCAGACAAATCCAAACAGGTTTGAACCAAATTCTGCTTGGTATTGCTTGGATTAGCAATCCTGCGTATCACAGACTGACTTTAGAATCAGTTGTATGGTTAATGGGCACCATTGACAGCTGGGCCTTCAGCCTTCCTGCCCTCAACCTCTGGAACTCCATCCCACAGTCCTTTTGCCCTTGCCTCCTTCAAGGCCCGTTTCAAGATCTTCCCCATTGCCTTCAGTCATCCACTCACCACCACTTGTCTTCCACCTCTCGATTCCAAATCCTCACTCAAGTACAAATCCTTGACTGTCCAGCACCTTGGGACACCCTCCGAGCGTGAAAGACGTTATATAAACACAATTTGTTGTTGTTGTCGGTGTACTTCATGTTACCATAATGGATGAGATTGCCAGGTATTAGCTGTGTCAAGTGCTCTAACAAGCTACCCTGCGTGAGGGTAAGTTGTGGTCCTACAGCCACTCACAGCGCACTCTCTCGGAGGAAAAACTGATACATTTAATGGAATTGGAAGATAGAAGCATAATTGTGGGTCCCAATTACATCACAACCTGTAATAGCTGAACACAAATGCTTTCTGTATCGCTGCATTCTATCGATTTTGTGTCTTTACTTTCCAAAGAGGCAGATGTTAGTCGCGTAGCATACCTAAGAACATAAAAATGTAAACAACAGTAGGAATGTGTAGAACTGGAAATGAACATTGCAGTCTATTTGGACAGTCCTGAAGTAAAATAAACACACACTGCTCACATTCTCGGATACCCCAGCAATCAAAATGACTGTAAACTCCATTACCTCTCCAATCCTTTGATCCTTCAATTGAATGTCTTGTTCTATATATTGGAGTTCAATCTGTGCAGAAGTAAATAATTGTTCAGATTGCAGAATTTCATACCTTTTCTCCTCCCCATCCAATAAAACCCTTTCCTCCATCCCCCCACCCCTCTCTCACACACACACAACTTTATTTGGACAGTGGTGTATCTAACACACCCAGAAACCAAGCACCATATTTAATGAGTATCCAAACTGGTCAGCTTTCCACATATGCATGCCACCCACACACAGAAATTTCCCATGTGTCTGGAATACCCACTCTTTCTCTGAAGAAATGCATCCTGGTTACTCAATTGCAGATAGTACTGTATTAGGTGTGGGTTGGTGAGAGTCAAAGCTTGGGAATTGCAGGTGTGATTTGGGATACTGCTGGAGTTTAACTCACTATAATTGCAAAGTTTGCTATTGTAAGCATTATCTAGCAACCTTTCAGCTGCTCCCCTGGTAAAACCATCCTACTATTAGGGTTTTGGCTTGCGGAGTTAACAGGAGTCTATTGGGAAGAATCCTTGCTTCCAGTGACCTGTCGCCCCTCCAAGTCCTGTTAATAGGCCATGCTGTCTGAAACTGTAATCAACCATGCCGTGGAGTACTACAGACCTGCCTGGCTGGCACTGGACAATGGATTGTTGTATAAAAGATCAACTTGATTTTTATATCATCTTGGAGCCAATACTTATCTTTCCTCATAGAACCATACAAATTTAAGGCACATAAGCAGGCAATTATGCCCATTGTATCTGTGTCCTTCAAGAGCAATCCTTTCGGTCCCACTTACCTGCCCTTTTGCCATTCCCCTGTAGCTGAATCTTTTTAATCTATTATCGAGTTTGCTCTTGAATGTCAATACGGATCTTGCCTCAACTATAGCTACTGGCAGGGCATTCCATAACCTAACTATGCTATGCATGAAAAGTTTCTCCAAATTACCTCATTTGCTTGTTTACTATCTTAAATTGATGCCCTCTAGTTGCTGATTCACCGATCAGTGGAAATAATTTCACCAGGTGCAGAAGGATGGAGTGGTCAGTGTTAAAGTTGGCAGAGAGGTCAAGGAGAACAAGGAAGTAAAGAAAGTCCTGGTTGTAGATGGAGAAAATGTGGTTGGCAGTATCAGTGATGTAGGAGGAGCAGAAATCAGCTCGGAGGAGCTCAAAGAGGGAGTGGTGCGAGACGAATGTGCAAAGCTGGGAGGCAATAACTCGTTCTGGCACCTTGGAGAGGAAGGGTAAGCTGGGGATGGAATGATAGCTGGAAAACTTGGAAGGGTCGTATGAGGTTTTCTTGAGGAGGTGGGTGATGATGGCAGTTTTGAAAGAGGAGGTATGTTGCCAGTGGAGAGGCGCAGGTTGATGACATGTATCAGCAGGGAAAGGAAGAGAGAGAATTGGGTGGCCTAGAGCAGAGGGTAGAGGATGGCAGTGGTGGAGGGAGCTGAGTAAATTTTGGACTCAAGTAATTTTGGACTCCAGTAAGTCCATCACTTCTTCAAGTTTGGAATTGGAGGGAGCATGGAAAGGAGATGGTTGTTGGTGGAGAAGAGCCTGAGGTTGTCTTTGGTCTCCTGGATGATGCTGGGGAAGAAAGCGGATTTGGGCTAAGGTGAGGGAGCAATGGTAGCTTTGGGGCGGTGCAGCCAGTTCTAGAGGTAGACTGCGAAGCCATACTTGAGCCAGGTGAATTCTGCAGCAAGTCATATTTGGGTAGCTTGCATCGGTTGAATGCAAGTTCTTTCTTTTCTTTCTCTTGCAATCCATGAGCAAACATTTTGTAATGCTTTTTAACAAGAAGCGAGAAGGGATGGTGGCAAACTGCATCACGTTTACTGTTCACACATGGTCATGCAACAATATCAAATCTTTTGAAAACTCCTTCTCTCCCTCATAATCTTAAAAAAATAATTAAACCGCAGTAAGCCGAGGTAAGTCGATATCAATCCACATGTAATTATAAAATGCCACAGGGAAAATTCTTCAGCTTTCTAGTCACAATAGGTTCATTATTCTGGAAACTCCTACAAGGCAGGAATTCCTAAAAGGTGTGCATTGACCAGAAGTAAGCCTCTTCGAGTTTCCACATCATTTTAAGATTATTCTACACACAAGGCACAATTACAGATGGAAACATGAGATCGGTCAGTTTTAATTTTCAACATTAAAGCCTTTTCAGATTGAAAATGTTGCGCCATCGATGCACAGAGTGCCAGTAAATGGATTATGAAATCCACATGCAGCAGAGCACAAATTCACGCCAGGCTTCCCCATGTGCCAAGCATCTGATCTCAGTCATGCCATTGGGGGGCAGGAGGTGGTTAAGGGAGACTTGCTGTTTCCTTATGAAAGAAGTGGACGGAAAGTGGAGATTCACAACCTCTCCCTCCAACCCCACACTCCCTTCCCCCATTTTGCTTTGGCGTTTATTCTAGCCACTGGCTCAACAACAGTACGGAGGAATGGGAGATGTAATGGGTTGGCATGCTATCCTGCCATCCTGAGAACATCTCTCTGTTAAATACAACCACAGCCCCCTGAGAAAGTGCACAGAAGATTAAACAGCATCTGAATGATAAAGACAAGTTAATACAATATATATCTATACAGCGTTTTCATGTCAGGAGGACATCTCAAAGTGCTCAAACACTGTTGGCTGGCACTTGAGCTCGGGGTGAAAGCCAAAAGGGGTTGAGGCGGGTGGGGGGTGGGGGGGGGGAAAGATGACTGCAAAAACGGTCAAAGAGGGGTGTTCATAATGTTTCCAGCTTGGTGTGTAAAAAAAAATACTGCTATGAGATTTCTTTCTTAATCAGGATATCTAGTGTTGCCAGTTTGTGACTATTTGAATCCAGCTTAATCTGATGAATGAAAGCCTCGCTCTCTTCTCGCTGGAGAGATCCTATGTGAAACTATGTTGGTCAGGCTCAGTTTAGTTCCAGGTAACTGTGTATCCACAGTATAGAATTGGTGCATTTTGAGTCTGGGACGATTGTGCTAGCGGCTGCACAACTCTCAGTCCATTCTGTATTCTAGGACTACACTCTTTTTCCAGACCTGACTCATGGATATAGTGTCATTGCATGTGCTTCTGTGCAAACACATTTCACCAAGTCGCTAAAGTTCATTTGCCACATCTATGTCAGGTGTTCCGTGAAAGGAGGTGTGGGAGTCAGTTTAATGCTACTATGCTGCTAAATACTCTTCTCCATCACAGCCAGTTATTCTACTCAATATAATATTTTGAAAAAAACAGTTTTAAAAAATGTTGGCAATGTAAAAATTTTAATATTGCCAAAAGGGAAACGGTTGCAACATTTCTGCTGTAGTCATATGAAAGCCTGCCAGACTTCTTTCTGTAATTTAATGCAATGGCAGAAAAAGCAGACCAGAGGTGAGAAATTCCTTGTGCTGCTGTAAGGACAGAGGTTTTGAAGATTTGCTGAGACAACATTCACCCGGTGTTAGTAAACACCATCAGATTCACTACCCAGATTCATCAGATTCACTCGTGTGAGGAACTTCTCACTCTGAGAAGTCAATAAACTACATGACTACTATTACGAGTATTTAACGGGAAGGAGCACTTTAGAATATCAGCATTGTGGAGTCTTGTACCTTAGTGGATAGACCACTCACCTCGCAAGCGAGAAGACCTGGGTTCGATTCCCGGCAGGGTGAAATGTTGGGCAACAATAACAAATTACATTTGTATGGCGCCTTTCACATCAGGAGAACATCCCAAAGTGCTGGACAGTCAGGGATCCACACTCAAGCTGGTGGTTGGGATCAGGATGGGTGTAGGGCGGGGAAGTTAGGGGTAGGAGGGTGACCAAAGGCACGGTCGAAGAGGAGGGTCTTGAGACGGGTCTTGAAGAGGACAGTGGGATGGAGTTTCAGAGGGTGGGAGCAGAGAGGCTGAAAGCACGCCCACCAATGGTGGGGCAGGCAGGGCGGGGGACGTGAAGCAGGTCGGAGCCCGCTGAGCTGAGGGAACGGACAGGTTGGTAGGGGGTTAGGAGGTCACGGAGGCAGGGAGAAGCAAGGGAGAAGGGTTTTGAAGGTGAGGACCAGGATCTTGAACTCTATCCTCTGAGGGATGGGGAGCCAGTGGAGCCGGGTGAGGATAGGGGTTGATAGAGTGGTATTGCCTGGTGCAGGAGAGGACACAGGCTGCAGAGTTCTGAATGACCTACAGCCTGTGGAGGGAGGAAGTGGGGAGTCCGACACGCAGGGAGTTTGTGTAGTCGAGCCCGGTTGTAATGACTGCGTGGATGAGGGTCTCAGTGGCCTGCAGTGAGAGACAGCGGCAGAGCCAGGCAATGCTGCGGAGATGGGGAAAGGCGGAGTGGTTCATGGCCCAGATGTGGGGGATGAAGGACAGTTAAGGGTGGAACAGGACGCAGTGGTTCCATATTGGCTCCGTGAGGTGTAGCGTGCACCATGAAGGGTGATGCTGTCAGCGCCCTAGGTATGGAGGTGCTGACGGGAGCCAATCGGGAGAGCCTTGGTCTTGTTGACATTCAACTGGAGAAAGTTAACTCTCATCCAGGACTTGATGTCCAACAGGCAGTCTGTGAAGACAGCAGTGGTTCTGGAGTCGAGGGTGGAGGCAGGGAGGTAGAGTTGAGTGTCATCCGCATACATGTGGAAGTTGACCCCATGTCTACGGATGATAAATAATGATAATCGTTGCATTTGATATACCACCTTATCACGTCTTCTAGACATCTCAAAGCGCTTCACAGCATATACTGTATCGTGAATTGACTCTATATTACGTGGCCAAAACGCAGAAGCCAGTTGCGCACAGCAGTGTCCCACAAACAGTCGTGGACTGAGTGACCGAATGATTATTATTATTTATTTTTTTGAAGCGATTATTACCCTGGAAAAGCGATCTGCCAATCAACTAACAACCGGGTTTCTACTTACTGTTAGGTAAACAGAGGCATGTGGAGTAAGGAAACTTGGCCAACATTTCGCCCTGCCGGGGATTGAACCCAGGTCTCTCACTTGCGAGCCAAGCGCTCTAACCACTGAGCTACCAAGAGAGAGTATGTAAATGTTGAAAAGGAGGGGACCAAGGACAGGGTCCTGAAGGACAGGGTCCTGATGGTGTGGGGGCTGGAGGAGAAGCATTAGTGGAGACAAAGTGGAGACGGTGGGAGAGGTAGAATTGGAACCGGCAAGGGCTGGTCCGTGAAGCTGAGAGAGGAGGTGGTGTAGGAGGATAGAATGGTCGACAATGTCGAAGGCAGCAGAAGAGGACAAGAAGGCAGAGGGAGCCCTGGTCACAGATGGACAGAATGTCGTTAGTGACTTTGACCAGGGCTGTTTCCTGCTGCGGGCAGCACAGAAACCCTTTTTAAAAGACAGAATGGCGAGAGAGGAAGGAGCAATGGAATATGACGACTCGTTCCAGGACCTTGGAGAGGAAAGGGATTTGGGAGATGGGGCAATAGCTGGAGAGTAGTGATCGGTCCAGGGAAGGTTTTTTGAGGATGGAGGTGATGACAGCTGATTTTAGAGGGGTGGGAACTGTGCCAGTAGATATAAGGAGAGGTTAATGATGTTGGTTAAAAGAGGCAAATTTCCGTACTCCACACACCTGTTTACCTAGCAGTATGTAGGAACTCGGTTGTTAGTCGATCAGCGGATCGCTTTTCCGAGGTTACTAATCCCTTCAAATAGAAAAAAAAATGTGATCACTCAATCCACAACTGTTTGTGGGACACTGCTGTGCGCAATTGGCTGCCGTGTTTCGCCCACAAAATATACAGTTAGCTAACTTGGCAGTAAATTCTGTGAAGCGCTTTAGACATCTCGAAGACGTGACAAGGCGTTATATCAAATCCAAAGATTATTATTATCCATCCTGGGACACTAGAAACAGAAGTCAGCCTTTACTCCAGGCCCAATATCCGCTCTCCCCTCTCTTATTCATCCAGTCTGCTTTCACTCGCTCTGTTTGTAATTGAGCACAGGAGAAAATGCCTTACTCTCAACTCTTCTTTAAATGATCAAACATTCATTCATTAATTGCCTTTCCATGGTCTCCACTTCCATTTCTATCGATATCCTCGTAATTTGGTTTCATTGTTAACAGTATTATTGTTGAGGATCAGATGGGAATAATTACTGGGCTACACAGTGCCATCAATTAATGTGTTATGCGTAAACCAAGTTGTATTATGTGGTTTGTCTAAAGAGATGTGTGCATAGGGAATTACAGGTGCTCTAATTATTGTAATTAGCAACCAGTGAAAAGGTTTGGTGGGCGACTGCATAACTAATAAATAATTTTCATTGGTTGTTAACTATATAATGAAGGGTAGCTGTGATTTCCTCTATAAACATGCATTTACACATAGCACAAGACACACCTCTATAATAATAATCCATGCATTTGATATTGTGCCTTATCACATCTTCAAGATGTTTGTCTCAAAGCGTTTCAGAGAATATACTGTAAAGTGAATATCTCTGTTTACACATGGCAAGTAATAGACCCCAATGTGAGGCTACTGAATTAAAGGGACACTGACATAATGCAAATGATCTGGCAAATTTGTTTGATTTCTTTGGGGATAGGTGAAAAGTCAGAATAGCTGTGCACAAGTTTAATTATAACATAAACAAGTGAAATAATGTTCTACGCAGGTTAAGATTGTATTTGGTCTGTGGGAAGAGAAGACCAAACGGCCTTATCTTGTTGCACATTTTTCTTTTCTTATCAAATGGAAATAGTGTGATGATGCATTTCAGCACAATTATCACCACATCATGTTCTTTACAAATGAATGGAGAAAGAAAATATTTTTTTAAAGAAATCGACAACTTAATTTGACATTGGTACTTGCCCAGTTTTTCTTCAGTGATTCTTCCTCTCAGTAATAGAGAAAAGATGGAGCACATAGGACACAGAAATACACGGGATGGGAAAAGACCATTGGCTGACTGGCCAATCACATTTTAAAATACTATCTCTTCTCCTCTCATCTCACATATCCCAATCGCCTTTGCCATCAAAAGTGTATCCAATTCCCTTTTGCAACTACCTTCATTCTCTTTTGCACTGCCATTAACGAACAAACTGATGCACACACCGATACTGCTTGGTAATTAGAATTTTTCTGTTCAGAGTACCGAAGCTGGAAGGTGACTTGCCCACAGAAAATTGATTTTACAAATTAAAACCACCAATTTACAGGTCTATTAAGTTTTACCTTTAACAAATTGCAAAACTGTGGAGGCTCCATGAGTCAGAAGTCTAAGCGCTCTTACCTCCAGCTTATCGACAGCTTTCTGGTGAGTGCAATAATTATGTTCCCATATGAACAGTTTCTTGCTGATTTCTGACACCTAGAATTCAACACAGAAAATTATTTTCTTCCTTCCATGCAAAGGTTACTCAAGAACATCAGATACTGGGGAAGGAGTTACAAAGATATAATTCTTTCAATGAATTCAGATAACTCAGAGTTTGAATTATAACCTTTTTAAGCCACTCTCTATAGTTTTTGACCATGGTCACCACATGGTTTTCTGAGAGTTAAAATCATATTCAAATCTTACCGAGGAAGTTCTCAAACAGGTTCATGTCTTGCTAAATCTTACAAAAAAAGTCCAATCTGAAAAATATTACCTTCCAGGGACAGTCTGAGCAGGATCATCAAGAGGCAGAAATGGGGAAGCGGAAACTAATTAAATTGGATAAAGTGGGAATTTATAGAGAATCAAAATGCTCGGTGTGTCAGCGAAAGGAAAGGGGAAAGAGCAGAGAAGGAGCGACAGGCGAGTGGCAGAAAGATGGGAGAGAAAGAGAGAAAATGAATGAAATGGAAGGGAGAAAATTATAGCAATTAGCACCTTTCAAGTCAGGAAGATGTCTCAAAGCACTTAATAGGATTAATTGTCCAGTGTAGCAAGCAATATCCCACAGCAGCACTCTTGCCTCTGTGTCAAAAGGTTGTGGATTCAAGCCCCACATCATGACTTGAATGTACATAGTCAGACAGTCTTGTGTAGTACTGGGACTGGGTTTATATTGCTGGAGGTGCCATCTTTCAGGTGAGATGTTAAACAGAGGTCATGTCTGCCTGTTCAGGTGGAAGTTATAGATCTGGATCCTACTACTTGAAAAGAGAAGGAAGTTTCACCCAAGGTCCTGGCCAACAATCTCCAAGCAAAATTGGTAATTCACCTCATGGTTGTTTGTGGGACATTGCAAATTGGCTGCCCTGTTCACCTACAAAATACAGACAGTATTTACAGTAAATCCTTGAACCGGTTTGACTCATCCAACGTGATAAGGCGGGTACCTTAATTGCAAGGATTATCAAATGTAAAGCCTCTTTGTTAGTTATTGTAGATCATTGGTTGGAGCAGGGTGAAGGAATTGACACTCTCCATCTGGATATGCTATATCTGACCTGGGTGCTTGATACAAAGACTGGTCTCAAAAAATAGGACACAGTCCAGTGCCCAGCAGTGTCATTCTTCAAATGACAATGCAAAAACACACCAAAAAAGACCATCTTCTAGACAGGAGTACTGTATTCCCTAGCTTCAAAAAGTTCTAAAAAAAATGTATTTACTTTAAAAAACATTAACCCAAAACACTTCCATTTACATTATTTCTGTTTATATGTTCGTACCTTAATTAAAATGTTAAATTGTACTTTCAGTATATGTAAAAACAGGTTTCAGATATCTATTTCGCTGCCTGGATCAAAACAACCTACCCGTTTCTCCAGATTGGCATCGTAAGAGAGCAGTCTTCTGTTCTCATCCTCCTGTGGAAAGCAAATCGCAGACCATTCACTGAATAAGGTTACAAGTATTATAAAAGAGCATTCAAGCAACAAAACAACCTGCAACATCTCACCAACTTCTGGTTATGCACCAGCAGATCCAAGCAAATCCTTTCAGTAGTCTGTGCCCTTTTCTTCTCCTCCTCAAACCGTTTGCCCAGGGCTTGCCATTGAACTTGACCCTCCTGACTTTTAAATGAAACAATAATTAGGATCAAATATGAAAATCAACACAGTAATTTACATGACTAAATATATAGGCCCCGGTGCGGCAACTGGGTTGCAGGTTCAACCTCGTCTCAGCAAGACAGCAGTTAAAGCAGCCTTCAATTGGAGTTGCCTCCACCGGCTCTTGATTGCTAACCTGAAGCTCACGCTGGATGGTGCGTATGTGTGAACTTTGCCTGAGGACAGCCTCAACTGCAATGGTCCCGGATGCACAAAAATCCTGCTCCCAACTACTTCCACTTATTAACAAGGTTCACACATGAATGATATCCACTGGGTTGCAATACTTGAGGGCGACTGGCACTTGTGGAATTTTACCAACCCAGAGTAGAGGAAAAATTAAATCAAACACCTTTAGTAGAGCAGAAAAGGACAAGAAGGCAGAATATTGGAAGACAAAAAATGGTGGAGGAAAAACATAATTCTAAAATACAGCACATGCCAGTTATTGGAGCTTATCCAAACTGAACCTGCTCCAAACCAGCAAAGTAGCTAGGCATCCTGAAACTGGCTCTGGTTAATATTTTGGAGACAATTTATTTTAATTCCAAATGTCTTTGTCTCCATCCACCTCCCCTCTCCCTATAGGGCCAGTGACTAAGTGAAGGGCACTATATAAATTAGGACTTGTTTAAATATCAGAGAGAAAAAATAAGGTGCATGTAAAATAATTCCAAATCCACATTACTATATTTACCAACCTTGACCCACTCCAATCGCCCATTGTCTGAGTTCATGACTGCATTGTATTGTACAAAGAATGCTCATGACTTACAAAGCTTGATTCTAACACTAACTTCCTCTTGCTGAGTTCACTTCCTGCTTGTTTTTATCTTTTAAAAAATAGGTATTGTTTTCTTCTGAACATTGATTGTTATTCTCACCCTTGCAGAGTCCCCTTACACCATCTAATATGACTCAACCCAGCCTACAGATGCCACTTGTGAGCAAATTGCAAAGTGTACACAAATCGGTCTTAGGCAACAATCCAACCAAATTTCCCTCCCATGGATAAGCAGCCAGCTTTTGCTTTGAATAATTTTGGTTTGACTAAGCCCCCATTCACATGACATGAACAAAATGAGGAAATTCTATTGTGCTCAATCCCTCGTGACATACCGCAACTGGCCCTAGTAAACCTACTCCTACAATTTCCCTCTCTTTTCCCCTTAAGCAAAACAGGATCTAACCTCCCCTTCAGAGGCCCCATATCCTAACGGTCTCAAATGTAGAGACAGGGTAGCGTAGAATTTTGAAAAATTCTGTCTTCATTTGGAAGTCAATTTTCCACAGCTCTTTTTAAGAAAAATATTATAATCTTTAATGGTGTCATGGGATCTTTAATGTCCACTGGAGTATAGAAAAACAAAACCTCAGGTTAATGCTTTATTTATTTAGAACAGCACCTTCAACAATCCAGTGCATCCCAGAACTGTACTCAAGTGTCAGTCTACATTACAAGCTCAAGTTTCTAAATTGGGCTTATACTACATAAATATCCCATTCACGTACCAACTGAGCCAAACTACCAGCCTTAATGAAATCCAAATACAGGGCAACCCCTTTATAACAGTTAACTGGGTCCAGCTTCTCAATCCCTCATTATAAAGAGGTACACTGAAACCAAAATGTATCGCGCAAATGTGTGCACATTGATATATCGTAAATCTAACCATGCCCCACATAGGGGGGAGCGGCAGAGAGTCGTGACAAGATCCACCTTGTAACTGCTCTCTGCAAAGGGCAACAGAACCCTGAGGTGGGAACACTTTAATCCCTCCACCTGAGTGGAATACCAGAGGCAACCCCTGCAACACTGTCTGTTGTGTATTGTAATGAAACGTTAGCGTGTTGTGGTTTTTCTTTTCTGTCATGGGAATTGTTCAAAACAAGTGTAAATATATATTCTATTCACCAATAATATATATATTGTATTTTGTTTTTTAAAAAAATCTAGAACTCTGCAGCCTGTGTCTTCTCCCATGGAGTCCTGTAGCTCAGTGGTTAGAGCACTCGCTTTGCAAGCGAGAGACCTGAGTTCAATTCCAGACAGGGAACAAGATCCTTGTTCTTGCATTTTAATAGTCTTGCAATCTCCATCACCCACGTCAACTTGGTCATTCCCTCCACTTGGCCAACATGTGGCCAACTTCCAAAAATTCCATTACTTTCTTCAGCCCCATGACCTGTGACCTTTTGTCCCTCCTCCCCATCTGACACTGAATCTTCCCTAGGGGATACCTCCACAGGCATAACCACCCTCTGGTTCCTCCCTCTAAATGTCACTTGCATGAGGGATCTAGGAATGGAGTTCTATGTGTAAGCCCAGACAGTAGCTGTTGACCGTTGGGGTATGACAGCCGATTGAGATCAGGATTTACCTCAATCCTGACCTCATCCGGGTTCACACACATTCACTTTCCATCTAGGGTGAGAGGGATGAGGGTCAATGGATAATGATCCTGTTCATTTTTACCCTATGTAACCCAGAGGCACTGAATTCAATCGTAGCAACACTCAGTTTGTCCCAGCAGAGATGAGATAACTCAGCCCAAGTCTGGATCTTCCCAGACCACATCAACAACAACAACAACCAGATTCTATTTATAGAGCGCCTTTCACGTCGGGAGCACGTCCCAAGGCGCTGGACAGTTGGGTCAGGATCCGAGCAGGGGGGAAATGGTGAGGGGAGGGAAGGGAGGGAGCGAGGAGGCGGTAGAGAGTCGAGAGGGGAGCTGAAGGCACGGTCAAAGAGTTTCACAAAGGGCCAGTTTCACACTGAGCAATAAAATTACCAACTGAGCCAGTCAGGAAACAATAATGTTCTGTCTACACTGGACTTTGTGGTGGAATGTGGGCTGGATAATACACTTCACTGATGTTGGGTACTTTTTATTAAGTAGATATTAATAACATATGTAGGACTGAATTCATTTTTGACATGTTGTTTATTCTACTCAGCCAAATAAATATTACCTTCTGATGACACAAACAGAAATCTCAGCACAATAGAAATTCTGTGGAGTGATGGGGGAGAGATGGAGGCGAAGGAAAGACTTGTCAAGAAGAAAAATAGATTTGCACAACACACCACAAATCACATTTTTCCCTTCTCCGCCCCCTCTTGATTCCTACCTGCAGCTCAGGTCCAAGCCATCTCAACGATGTCCCAATTGCAAGGATTATTATTATTATAAAGCAGGATTGTTAAACTCTTTGGGACATCCTCCCGATGTAAAAGATGCAGCTTAAATGTAATTTGTATTGTGAAGAAGTATTGAATTCTAGTTGCTGTTAACATGTAGCAACTTTGACAAGGCACATTTCTGCAGGTCTGGTTATATTAGGTCAATCTCATTAGACGCTGGCATTTCAACTCTAGCAGGCAAAAGTGTTCCATTTTATTTTTTGAATGCATATAGTTTTTTAAAAAGATACTGCTGCTGATAATCGCATCAAAGTAGAGTACTGAATAAGCCAGTGACAGCAACAGCTATACTTCCTCTATCTTAATAAATCGAGCCGGTCATAGCTTCCTTCTGCGCATGTCACGGCAAAAGAAACATGATGCAGCAATCCTGAGGGGCAGAGTAAGAGTAATTCTGGCATTCTGTCAAAATCCAGTTATAATCAAGAACCGGACTATTATAATTAATAATGCAATTAATTAATTAATAATCCAAGGATTATTATTATTATTTATACTTTTGGCACGCTGGCATTTTGTTACTTACTTGTTAACATTTTCATCAGAAAGCACGTCTACATATGAAGCACTACTTTTCTTCCCTCCTGTATAAAAGAGACAGACAGAATTTTTTTTATTCTTCACAGAAGAATTTCAGGATTGCTGAATCCAAACAGTGTAATATTAAATCACCAGGAGCATCTTGGAAACTGAAGCACAGTTGGAAATAAATGGAGCCTTTTCACATCGTCAGTTGTCTCTTTCTCTCTGGAAGGAAATCCCATACCTCTGATCACCAATTCCCGCCGCCCCCCCACCAACACACACACACAAACACACTTTGTGGAAAACACTTTGTGTTTCCACACATCTTTGTGGAAATAACTCACATGATGAAGTCCAAGAATGGATTGTCATGTTGTGACACAACAACAACTAACATTTATATAACGCCCTTCAAGTGAATAGGTCTCGGAGCGCTTAACAGTGTTAACAGTGCTTATAGATGTCATAGCAGAATAACTCCTAAAGATTAAAGTAACATAAACAGGTTATGTGTTTTAATGGATTGTAAGGCAGCAGGAACATTGATTGACAGAGACCTAATTTCTGCTGCTTGAAAGTTCCTGAAATTTCTCTTGCTGGAAGCTTCTGTTTATCTGGGAACACAACTCCAATCAACCACATTAACTGGCATGCAGTGAAAATGGAAAGGTCAAACTCTTGACAGTCTATATTTGATTCCCTCTACCAGTGACTTCACCCACCTCATTGAAAAAAGATTCTCCTTGCTCTCCCGTCCCCATGTAAATTACCAAACTCTAGAATACATATGTGACCCTGCACTTACTATCCTTCAGCTTTGCTTTAGCACACTATTTACCAGAGATTTAACATATTCCCACAGCAAAATTATTTTTTTTAAAAATTGATCATTCACTTCATGGCTGTTTGTGGGACATTGCTGCGCGCAAATTAGCTGCTGTGTTCATCTAAAAAAAATACAGTCATTACATTTTACAGTATATATCCAGTGAAGCACTTTGAGGCATCTTCCTGACATGAAAGGCATTATATCAAATGTAAGTTTTATTATTACTTTGTGTGTGTGCCGGGGGATGGTTGGGGGTTCTTACTTTCTCTCTCCTCCGTCTCAGGGAAGTCACTGCTGAGTTGAGTCTCGCATTTGTCCAGCATTGGAAGTCCTGAAAAGCTATCTGTGTCGCATAACAGTGGCGGGCAACTCTCTACACTGAGTAACTCTTGTTCGTCAGACTGAAAAAGGCTTGCTTCCCTGTGGTCAAAAAAACTCTCCTGTTTCGTAAAAGGTGCTTTTGTCCACGGGATGTTGATGTTGGTCAATCTTGATGTTGCTTTGATGTTGGTCTTTTCATCACTGCAGTCACTTTGTTGAGTCCTGGATTCCCAGATGGTATCCAAACTTTTGCTTGTTTTGATGAGCGGGACAGTGCTGCTTCTTCCACTTGGCTGAATGCGGGACTTCACACACCTGATAACATGATTTTGCCCAATAGCTGTTTTAAATTGCTTTTCCTCTCTGGTCTTCCAAGACATTTCCACTGAGGTCTATTTGTGGAATTAAGAACAAAGCAACTAATGACAAAAAGGGAAGCTTAAAACAAACTACTAGTACATGCTCTGGGGGGAAAAAAAGGAACATTTACATTTACATTACATTTACAAGGAGGCATAGCCTTAAAATCAGAACCAAGACAGTTAGAATTGAGGTCAGGAAGTATATCTTCACACAAAACGCTGTGAATATGTGGAATGCGGGTGCCACAGAAAACTGCAGATAAGGATGTTTAAAAGAGAAATATACAAATACTTGGGTTTTAGAGATTTTGAGGGGAATGTCAAAAAGGCGGGACATTGGGATTAAAAGTTCTGACAAGATCTAATAAACTGTTGGAACATGCTTGATGAGCTAATTGGCCTCCTTTTTCTATGAGATAATGGGTTGATGCAAAACAAGTTTATGTTTCAAAGTAACACTAGGAAATAACTAAGGGAAATGAACAGAGTCAAATTACTAACGAGTGGCTATCCTCCTTGGAGAGGTAAGTGAGGTCTCCTTGGAGCTGAACTGGCTCCAAGGTGACTTGCTTGGCAACAGAATATCAGAATCGAGTCAATCCTCTGTAGTGGTCTTGGTAGTGCGGTTCTTGAGCCAATCTGTATTCCACTGTATTCCAGGGCACTGCTGATGATGGCCCAGCCAGCCTGGCTCATTGACAGGACTTGGTGAGGCAGACACTGAGGACAGGGATTCTTCCTGATAACCGCTCAAGTCAAAGCCCTAATGGGCAGGGTGGTCCTAGCTAGACAAACAGTGTTTTCAAAGACAAGCTATGTAATTTTAGCTGGTTAAACACCAGCAGTATCCCAAAGCACATTATGGTGTCCTGAAGCATTGGTTCTTGCCAACCTGCGCCTAATACTCTCTGGAATTATTTAAGCAGGTACATTACGAGTGAATTTCCACATAGAGGTGGGATGCATGGAACTGTAAGTTTTGTTTGCCACAGAAAGCTTTGGTTTGGATTCTCTTAAGCACCAAAATGGTATCTACATGATCAAAAAACAAGAGTCCTCAATCATTCTGTTTCTTCCTGGAAGATAAACCAGCCATTTTTGCTCATAAAATCCTTTTCAAAGCCATAAAATAATGTTAAATAGCAGATAAATGCAATTGCAATGATTGAAGCTTGGTGCCTTTGTGATTCATGAGTTTTCAAGGCCAGACCCCTTTCATAACTCCTTCATTTACTGGCCGTGACACCAGATCTGTTGAGAATAGCAGATAACTGGGAATGTTTCCAAAACAGCAATCAAATCTGAGGTGGGTGGTTGGGGGACACAGGAGGATTTAGTGAAAATTAAAAAGTATTCCTTGAAAGTCATTTAAACCCCAGATTTAGGTCAATACCTTGTAAACACTTCCATTCCAAATATTACTTTAATAATATATAAACTACTAACGTTATAGTTTGGTTTCATTTGATTTAAATTCTACTTTTGGCCCAACAGTGGTTGTCACTGCATTTGGCTCAACAATGTTGACTGCCAGCACCCTGCATGCTCTTTACTCAATGACACATTCATATTGAAGGATTAATGACTTGTGTTAATGATGGCACAGTGCATCTGGAAATAATTTTACAGTTGTTTACCAAGAAGTGAGATGGCCAAATATAATGTAACAGCAAATGCTCCTCTAACATTTTCATCTAAAATATATTGAGTTTGGCATTCTGTAACTGTTCTCTCTCTATTCCCCCACCCCCCCAACACAGACACACACACACACAAACACACAAACAAATGCATGTAATGTTCAGTGTCATTTGTTGTGGGTCAGATTTCCAAGTGGCAAAGCGCAGTCCGAATATAGTCTGCATCTGCAATTACAGATTAAAGATAAAGCTTTTATCTGCATCATGCAGATGCTGGCCGAATTCTGGGTAATCGTGCAGTTCAGCGGCCAGTCATTCAATTAAATTTTCATTCTTGTTCACAATTGCAATTTGATTGCTTGAAGCACAGTGGGGGCAGTGCTTTGAGACATCCTCCTGATTTGGAAGGCACTATACAAATGTAATTTTTTGATGTTGTTGAAGTGGGGTTTTCTACAGAGGGAATGAGATGGGTGAGCGGGGGGCTGGGGGGGGGGGGGGGTGTCAGGTAAGGCTGAAGGCTCAGTTTCCTGGTGCTGTGCCCTCACACAGTTTCTATTCTGATGAAATGGGAGGATCAGCTCAGGCTAGGCCTTGTGAAAAACGTACACTACTAATGAAGAAGAAACTCAACACCAGCATCCTGCTGGCCATGAAGATAAATAGGGCACACATAGTGATGCATGGATCAGAGAAGTTTAATGGAGCTAAGAAGATGAGAGGAATCAATATGAAGAGAGGGATGGAATGGGGTCGGGAAAGAAGAGAGGAAGAGAGACATGTCAGAATTGCCAAAAGGAGAAGAGTATATGGGATTAGTATTAGAAAAGGATGAAAACAAAATTGGGAAAGTATTGGTTAATAATAGTTGATGGATAGGAAGCAAATTAATCATGGTGTTCATGCCAACAATTGGTAACTGTATCAGAGATTCCCAAATGTGGAACTGCCGTTGAAATCAATTCAATGCCAGCACATCATCTTTTTCTTCTATCTATCTTATCATATATATACCTTATACTAATAAACTGACAATGTCTGTCTGCGCTTCAAGAAGGATCTCAATAACCGATTGATGTAGAGGCATGATTTATACCTCATTGGAAACGTCTTGCATCTGGGAATGACGTGTACATATATTCACCCACAAATATACAGTCAATTCACTTTACAGTCTATTCTGTGAAGCGCTTTGAGACATCAAGAAGACGTGAAGAGCGCTATATCAAATGCAAGGATTATTACGTAGCCAAGCGTCTGGAACATACGTAGCCAGGCACGTATGAAGCCAAGCGTCTGGAACAAATAAAGAACGCAGCCAAAGCTAAGCCGCAGCAACAACAACAAAATTACATTTTTAAAGGGCCGAGTCTTCCCACTGAGTCCTCCCAAAAGAAGTCCTCCCACAGGAGTCCTCCCAGATGAGAAATGATAAAGATGAAATGTCTGTCTGTGTATCTGTCTGTGTGACAATCTACATTCCATATTGGATCCTTTGGTTGCAAGTGAAGTCGCAACGGGCACAGCTAGTAATTCAATAAATGCGATACCATTAAAGAATCCGAATTTCTCATTGCGTAGTATTTAAAAATATACAGTCAATTCTGTGAAGCGCTTTGAGACGTCTCAAAGACGTGATAAGGCACTATATCAAATGCAAGGATTATTATTATTATATGGTGCCTTTGACATTTGGAAGGACATCTTTATGCACTAAACACAACTGCATGGGGGACTGAGTTGGAAGCCTGAGTTGGGGGTGAGTTGAGGAAGGGAGGGGAATAGGTGGTGGATAGTTCAGTCACATACAAGTCTTAAGGCCCATTTTGAAGATGGAGAAGAAGGTGGTAAGATACGTGGACTCCAAGTTGGAGAGGTCCAGGGAGCAGGGCAGAATGACTGAAGGCTGTTCCACTGTCAAACTTGTCACGAACCCTAAGGAATGCTGCATGCTTAAGAGTATCCAAACCAGACTGGGAAACCCACATATGAATGCCACCTACAAATGGAAATTCTGCATATTGGAATGATATGTGTCTTCCTGGAAGTACGCAACTTGTTTGGCTAAATCCAGAGAGTATTAGTCACAGATTAGCAAGAGCTATTGTTTGGGGTCCCCAGAGTGTGCTTTGGGGTACAGCTGGAGTTCAACCAGCTAATGCTGAAAAGCGTGTCATTGAAAGCACTGTTTGGCTTGCAAGGTTAATAGAAGCCACATGGGAAGACAGTGGCTGTTCTGTCTCTCCAAGTCCTGCCGATAAGGCAGCCTGACCGGTCTATCATTAGCAGTGCTTTAGAGTACTGCAGAACTCTGGCACAAGAAGCAAACTACCAAGACCGCCACAGAGGAGTGACCTGGTTTCAACAATCTGTTGCTCATGTCACTTTGGATCCAGCTCAGCCCCAAGGAGACCCCACTTACTACTCCCCCAAAGAGGATGGTGAAAGAAATGTAAAACAGAAAATATTTGAAAGAAACACATGTGCAGGTGTGCATTCTCTCTCTTGTGTGCTCCAATTATAGAACATGGTACATTTGCCATTCAGGGTTATCTAACAATTTCTCTCATTCACTTTTTGGTATTTTAGATTATCAGTAGATACCTGCACATTACGAGTTCACACAAAGACTATGCTTGTGTATACACTCTTATCAAACTGTGCAATCATTTAGTGTTTTTATCTCAACTGATTTTAGAGCAAATGGACTTAAATCTACAGAAGAAATTATCATGACCTAAAGTTACTCTACAACAACAACAACAAGATTCCATTTTATAGAGCGCCTTTCACGTCGGAAGGACGTCCCAAGGCGCTGTACAGTTGGGTCAGGACCTGAGCAGGGGGGAAATGGTCAGGGTGAGGGGAGGGAGGGGAGGGAGCAAGGAGGGGGTAGAGATTCGAGAGCGGAGCTGAAGGCACGGTCAAAGAGAAAGGTCTTGAGACTGGCCTTGAAGGAGGAAAGGGAGGAGGCAAGGCGAAGGCACTGGAGAAGGCACTTCGCGAAGGCGAAGGCCAACTGTGGCCTATTCTTTGGCAGGACTTGGAAGGGCAGACCTGTCACTGGAGGCAAGATTCTTCTTCTTGTGCCATTACCAGTTCCGCCTTCCTCCACCTCTGCAACGTTTCCAATGTCTGCCACTATTCCTCCCCTCAGGCTGCTGAAACCTTTCCTTATCTATGCTTTCATTACATCCGGGGTTGATTATGCTAACTCCCAAGCTTGGGTGTACTCCCGACATAAAAGGCGCTATATAAATGCAATTTGCTGTTGTTTTACATCTCATACAAATGTATGAATTTGCATTATCAGCAAACCCACATTACCACAGTATTGTAATTCTTCCAAACATTTATTTTAAAAAAAACTCCAAACTGGATAATTGGTAGAGGAACAAGATGAATCTTGTTTTTATCTCAAAGTATTAAAACAAGGAGCTGAGCTAGAGACAAACTGAGTATGAGAGCCAATGGACTAAAATATCAGCGACAGAATAAACTAAGAATAATACATTGTTATTGAGAAAGAATTAGGCACTGAGCATAATTTTTTGCTAAATTTGAGGTTAAAAAGTGGTTTACAAAATGTTAATTTAGGGTTGTCAAAGTTTCTAGTTCAGTTGTTGATATAAAGCCCTATATAATGTATAAAATTCTAGATACTAGTATGTTCAGGATGAATCAACATAAAAACATGAGTACAAAGCTGGTCTTCCTCAAGTTCCAAGTTACTCACCACCACCATCCTCCCCCTGATAGAGAGAAACAGTAAGGCAGAAAGAAGGGGAAGTGGTTAACAATACTAAGAGTACGTTTATAGGAAGGTGTGAGAAGACAAGATTTGAAGGCATTTTAGAATTTGTAGTGATAATAGAGTTGTAATAATGGATAGTGGAAACCAAAATAAGAAAAAAAGTATAGTAAGAGACTTTAAACCTATCAGGGTTGACTGGGATATGGCAAATGCATTGGACAAATATGAGAACTGTTTCCTTAATCTATATATCATAAATCCAACAAGAGCGCTAGATCTGGTTTGAGGTAATGAACTGGGACAAATAAGTAAAGTAAAAGTAGAGAACATTTAGCAAATAATGACAGTAACCTAATTAGGTTCACAATGAAAATAGAGAAAGAAAAATGAATTAATATGTTGAACTGGAAATAGCCCATTTCTGAGAGAGGAAGGAAAATCGACCTCATATAAATTGTTTGGAGAAATTGGCAAATAAAGTGGGAAATATTTAAATATGAGATTCTTAGGGTTCTGGTTAAATAGTAATAACAATCCTTGCATTCATCCTAAAAAAGAATAAAAGTGGTGCATCAAAGTATCCATGGCTATATTGGTAGATTAGAGCAAACACGGGGATTAGAACATATTCTGTTTGATGAATACAGAACAAATAATATAGAAAAAACATGAAAAATATTAACACTTGAAGAAAAAAGTGAGATGTGAAAGGCTAAAAGAAGTACAAACATGCTTCAATGTCACCATAATGAGTAATAGCAAGGGCTTTTCAGAAGCACAAAAAATAGGACAGTAAAAAAGGGTGGATCTACTTCTGGAAGCAATCTTTTACTGAGAACGAAGGAATGACAGATATGCTTAATAAGTACTATGTTTCTTTTTTTTACAGACAAAGATGAAAGTGGAACTGTACACCAGAGGAAGATGTGAAAGAGTGTTCTACCGAAACTAAATATTAATTGGGAAACAGCATTTAAAACTTTATATCAACTTACAAGTAGCCAAGTCTCTAGGACCGGATGGTACACATTCCACAATATTGAAGGAGTCTGGGGGAGGATGCAATGGCCCTGATTTTCAAAAGATCTTTGGAAATGGAGATTATGCCAAAAGATTGGAAGGTGGCAAATACTGCAGCCTGATCAGAAAAGAGAAAAAGATGTCAGGGAAATTAGAGGCCTATTCACTTGTGTGTACATTTGCAGAGACTGTAAAAGGGGATGGAAAATGTGAACATTGAAAAGCAAGGATTGATGCAGGAATGTCAGCATGAATTGTAAATAGAAGGAAATATTTTACTAATTTAGTAAATTTTTTTGATTATGTCCAAGTATAAAGATATAGAGAATGTAGCTGATGTTGTAGCTGATGTTGAGTATGTTATTTTCAGAAGATATTTGATAAAATTCCACATAAAAGACTGGTTGAAAAAATTAAGATACAAGAGATCCACTATTCCCTCTTGTGTTGTCCCATAAAACTGTTGTACTTAATCACTGCTCACATATGTAGAATACATATATTTAAAATATTGTACCTTCCCTATTTTTTTTTGATGGGAGTGGGGGAGAGGAGCATTCAAGAAAGACACAGGGTTAGAGTTGTTAAAGGCAATTCAGGACAGATATCGGGACGTGTTTGTTTACATCGAGGATAATCAATGTCTGGAACAGGTTGCCAGGAAAGACCAGGGCACCAGACTCATTTAAAAAACAACCTGATGCAGTGACGGGAGGACGGTAGGGTGGGTGTTCTGGAGGGATGAGATCAAATGGATGAATTGCCTTCTTCATCCAGACCAATCTTGTGATCTTGCACATGTATTTAGGGATACTTTGGGACGTCCTCCCGACGTGAAAGGCGCTCTATAAATGTAATGTTGTTGTTGTTGTACTATGTGTGTATGTGTGTATAACATACATACTATGTGTATAACATAACATGCTATGTGTATGTGTGCCTGTGCATAATGATGGTATGTATATGTTTCATATATACAACCTAAATATATATGTGTGTGTGTGGGTACTGTGTGTGTATATGAACAGAGAATGTATGTATGTGTGGACACAATGTATGTATGTATGTTTGTGTGGACACAATGTATGTATGTATGTTTGTGTGGACACAATGTATGTAATGTTTGTGTGGACACTATGTATGTATGTATGGACACTGTTTGTATGTATGTTTGTGTGGACACTATGTATGTATGTATGTGTGTATGTATGTGTGGACACTATGTATGTGTGTATGTATGTTTGTGTGGACACTATGTATGTGTGTATGTATGTTTGTGTGGACACTATGTATGTGTGTATGTATGTTTGTGTGGACACTATGTATGTGTGTATGTGTGTTTGTGTGTCTCACTCACCTATCACTTCCCTGGTGGCTCTGGAATGTCCCCGCCCCCTTTGCCCCCCAGCACGTGCCCCCTCCAAGCCTGTGTGACGTCAACCTCCACTACGTACAGGCGCGCAGACAGCCCGCGCGTATTCTGACGTCAGACGGTCCGCGTGGCCCTCTCTCTCTCTCTCTCTCTCTCCCCCCCTGCCTCCCCATCTATCTGCTGAGCGGCCGGGGGTGATATCACTGGCTGAAAATTAAAGGCGTCCTTTATTTGTCCAGCCGCGCGCGTGCCGCTCTCCTCTGTTTGCCCTCTCGCTCCCTACCGGATAGAACTCCGCTGCCGTTGCCTTTTATTTACTTGGGGCCCCAACAATATTTTTTCCCCCCCAAAAAAAAAAAAAAAAAAAATTTTTTTTTGAAAGCGGCGTTAGGACCAGAGGAGGAGGAGAGGGGGGGGGGGGAGAGCTGCAGGACGGATCGGCGGCAAGGTTCCGGTGACGTCACACGCCTAGCTTCACAACCGCCATCATGCAGCCTCTGTCGTTACCGCGGGCAACAGGTCAGTACAATTCCGTCGTTTAACGGCGCGGTTAAGGGCACCGGGTGATGCCGGCGAGGTGGCGCGGCGCGTGGGGGTCCCGGGGGGGACGGGACGGAGGAGTGAGTGAGTGAGCGGAAGGAAGGAAGGAAGAGTGGGGGGGGGAAGAGAGAGGGGAGGATGGAGAGAGGGGAAGGTGGAGAGAGAGAGAGAGAGAGAGAGCGGCGGTCGTTTTGCATATTTTTTTCTCCCCCCCCCCACCCCCCACCACCCCATCGTTTTAGAAAAAAATAAATAAATCCGATCCCAAAAAAATGTTTTTTTGTGTGTGGGGGGGTGGGGGGGGGGTCTTCTTTAATCCGCTGCTTTCTCCCCATCATTCCCCACTTCCTCTTAATGTCTCTTCTTCCCCCCCCCCCCACCACCACCACCCCGGGGACCCCGCAGAGCGACCTCCTCCTCATCACAGTGACTTTGAAGGAGGAGAAGAGAGGGGATGATATAACACCCCCAAACCCTCCCCTCCCCAACCATCACCCAACAACGAGCACTCACACTCCCCCTCCCCCTCCCCGATGGTGGGCTGGGAAAAGGCTCCGGCCTGCACCCGCTCACTCTTTCCCCTTCTCCTTCCTCCCCTCCCCAGTGTTTTTACATTAGAGTACCGGGGGACCTGGATGGTGCATTTCTCTCCTCCCCCCCCCCCCCCACACCACACGCACACACACACACACAATATATATATATATATATATATATATATATATAAAATTCCGACATCTTGCGGGCCGCGGGCCCCTGGTTTGCCGTGCGGGGCGTTTCGTTACGGGAGGCAATTGTTTTAGATGCCGAGAGACGGGGGAGAGGGGGGAGGAGAGAGAGAGGGGGGAGAGGGGGAGGGAGAGAGAGGGGGAGGGAGGGGGAGGAGGGAGGGAGAGAGGGGGAGGGGGAGAGGGGAGGGAGAGAGGGGGGAGGGAGGGAGAGAGAGGGGGGGGAGAGGAGGGAGGGAGAGAGAGAGGGGGGGAGGGGGGAGAGAGAGGGGGAGGGGAGGATAGAGAGAAGGATGGAGAGAGAGAGGGGGAGGGGAGGAGGGAGGAGGGGGGAGAGAGAGGGGGGAGGGAGGGGGGGAGAGAGAGAGAAGGGGGGAGAGAGAGAGAGAAGGGGGGAGAGAGAGAGAAGGGGGAGAGAGAGAGGGGGGGAGGGAGGGGGAGCGAGAGAGAGAGAGAAGGGGGGAGAGAGAGGGGGGGCGGAGGGAGGGGGAGCGAGAGAGAGAGAAGGGGGAGAGAGAGGGGGAGAGAGAGAGGGGGAGGGAGGGGGAGCGAGAGAGAGGGGGAGAGAGAAGGGGGGAGAGAGAAGGGGGGAGAGAGAGGGGAGAGGAGGGGGGAGAGAGAGGGGGGGAGGGGGAGGAGGGAGAGGGAGGGAGGGAGGGAGAGAGAGAGAGAGTAGCGGCCCCTGGGGTGGGGTGGGGTGGGGCGAGGCGGTGGTTTAAGAGGGAGAGTGACCCCCCCCCCCCCCCGACTCCTTGTATATCGGGTCTCATGCTGTCACTGAGGAGGAATGCGACAGTTGTGCGCCGAGGTTAACATTGCAAAAAACGCGCACACACACACACCCACACACACCCACACGGGCGTCGCTGTTTGGGGCGATCTTTTGATTTTTTTGATTTTTAATTTAAAAAAATGCGGAGAAACCAACCTGAGCCACAGCCCCCACCCCCCCCCCCACCCCCCACCCCCACCCCCACCCTCCGGGACAGGCGAACCGAGCAGTTTAGGGAGCGGAAAGGAGGCGGGAGAGGCAGATGTGTTTTACTGCGGTTATTTAGGTTGAGAGGCAAACCCCGAGGTTTCAAAAAAAAGAGTGGCTCGACGTTGAGGTTTGAGGTGGATGTGAGTTGGGGGGCGGTGGGGGGGGGGAGGCTGGGGGGGGGGGTGGGGAGGGTTAGGGTATTTTTCTGAGCGCTTCGTTTTTTTTTGGTGTAGAATGTTTTTGTTTCCGGTCTCGGAAATGTACATAAAAAGAGAGAGAGAGAGAGAGATAACAGAAGTATGATACTGGGTCATGTGGTACACCTCGTGGTTAATACAACCCCCACCCCTCCACCACCACCACCATCCCACCCCCGTGGGGAAGTGCAATTGCATGTAAAAATGGTTCGTGGCACTAGCTATACCCATTGCATTAACATCCATCCAACCCCAGTGTTGTCCACGTTGGGGAAATTTATGATCATTAACAGAGCTCCTGACATCAAAATGGAACACCGTTTGCAAAGTTTACATGCCTGGATGAGTCGGTCTGGCATGTCACACTCAAATATGTGGAAAGCTAACTGGGTATTTGTATAAAATGTTAGCCATAGGTGAGAGTGTAGTTGCTTCTGGTTTGGTTGCTTGCAGACCGATCAAGAGGAGGAAGAGTTAGAACTTAGTGAAGGGCAATCATGCCGGATGGAGGTTTGGTGGACGGGTGGGTATATTCTGGTTTTCCCCATTTTTAAACCAGGGCACGTAGAAATGCCTTGGCTCTTGGTAGCTCGGCTGCTATATTCAAAATGTTGCTTCAGTCACATGAATACATTGGTATCTTGCATGTTTAAATTGGAAATTAGAATGTACCCTTATGTGCCAGAGGCTTGAGTCCTTTCTTTCCCATCCCTAACTCAGCAATGTTCTCAATGCCACTATCCTTGAAAGTAGGTTGTACATTTGATAGCCGGTTAGTGATAACAGATTTTAAGTCTTTTTTTGTTTAGCTTACCTAATAACCAGTTGAATATCATTCCCAGTGCTTTAAACATTAGCACTAAGAATGATATGGAGTGCACTGCCTTTAGCAAGAACAATTCTAGTCAATGTATTATGAATTTATAAATTTAAACCATGTGTTAGTCTCTATTGTGATGCTTCAGTTGCATGAATACTGAGTTGGCTCAGTTTGATAGCACTCTTGCCTCTGGGTCAAAAGTTTGCGAATTGCAAGTCCCCCAAATCAGGACTTCAGTAAATAACCTAGGCCGACGCTCCAGTGCACTAATGTGAGAGTGCTCATTTATCTAAGGTGCCACCCTTTAGTGAAATGGTAAGTCAAAGTACTGACTTTCCTAGCAACTTCAGTACTGCTAAAGTACTGAAAGCCATTAATAGTATATGTAAGATGCGTTGAGATCAACGTGATAAAATGTTGAGGCGTAGGCGTGCAATACAATTTTTTTTAAATAAGAGTAGCTATTCAGCCACACAAACTGTTCTTAGCTGGGTGGCACTAGGAGTGCTAAAACAGACCTTGGCACCCTAGATATTGAGGGAAGGGGAAATCGGTAATGTGTGTACTCGTAAACAATACAGTGCCCTCTGCTGGGAGTGCACGTTTATGGATAAGAATAGGGATGGGCTAGCAGTAGGGGGGAGCAGGTAGAACATGTAAAGGTTTGAACCAGACAATAGATGTTCAAGGGACATAAAAAGAAATCTGATGATGTAGAGAACTAATTGATTATAACAGTTAGTTTTGCAAATCGGCTTTTTTTTTCACCAAAACCCCATCTCTGCTGAGAATCTGTTTTTTAAATCTGCTCAATAGCCAAGTTTCTTTATAATCAATCCAGTACTCTTGCTTGATCCACCTTGGGTTTAGTCCATGTTATCTTCCTAGTGTATCTGTCCCATTCCCTGTTTAATACCCATCTGAACCGTTGCCCACCCGGTCTAATCTTGTGCCGTGCATTTGTATGTTCCAGCACAGTCTTGCCCATCTTGTCAGGCCTTTATTCTGTCTGAAGCCCTGCACTGTGCTCTCTGATCCATTCCGCCTGTCCCACCCAATCTATTCTACCTGTTTGCACTGATGTGTTCCAAACTATTTCAAGATTCAGTATTACTATTTCTGCATCACTAATTAACCGCTTGGGTGAACACCATGACACCAATGATTCTGTTTATTCTGAGTAAATTTGTAATTCTACTTAATGACATATTTCTACACCAATTGTTTTTCAAACGAAGAGAAATGATGACAAGGAGCAAGAGCTAAAGAACCTTACCATTGAAAGTTTAAATTAGTTCAAGGGTAGCTTACCAGCTGAGAAAAATCCAGAAGAAATTATTGCAGTTATTATGAACTTAGCTGCAATATTGTATTATAACATTTTATGCTGAAGTAAATTGCAGCCATTGCTGCAGAAATATTTAACAAATTGATCGCTGTTGTACCCTTTTTAAAAAAAATGTTTCAGTTTGTAGCTTGATCTGAAATAAAATTTATATAATGTTATCAACTTTATTTTCAGCTTAAAATGTGATTGATTTGTTTTTATTAAAATGCTTTCGTATTAAATAGTCACACTAATTCATGTTTTCAATGCACTACAGGTTTATAGGGAGATGTTTTTCACTGTAAGTGTTCTGGGAACTATATATACCTGTATGGCTTAATGTATGTGCACTTGATGTGGAATATATACGTTGTGGGTTTTTTTTGTCTTGTAGGTTTAGGGTCTTCAACTCCATAACCGCTTGATTCCATATCTGTAAGTAGTTAGTAATAATCATAAAGTGTTGTGGAACTGCTTGATACTACATCTGATTCTGATAGGATTTTGTAATGGTATTTACATTGACAGAATCCAGTATTTTTTATGAGGGCAAATCAATATGGCTGTACTATCTGTATTTGATTCTGCCAACAACCCTCAATTAGGGTTGAAACCATAGAACTGCTAGGCAGTAGGCCTAGTAGTTGGCAAAAGGTATGATATGAAAAACGCTGGTCTAACAACAGTATGGAAATAAAAAATTATGTTTCCTGTATTTGTATGCAAAACAATTTTTTGAACAACGGTTTGTAAAGTTCTGTACAATAAGGGGACCGAGTGCAGTAAACACTCTGGCATTATGATGCTATCAGTGGTTCACTGGACCAGTCAGTTTCCCACTATCGCTGATCCTTAATGGTGTAAGGTAAATGGGCCAGTTGTTAATTTCAAACCACTCTTAATATGTATCAATGGACAATCATTTTAATGACGCAAAAACAAAGTGGTCTGGATTTCTAAATGCAATGATTTCTAATGAAATTGTTACTAAATTAAATCAATTTTAATAATTAATGTAGCTGTTTCAAAAATCATGAGGATCTTTCTTCATCTTAATGTTTATAAGGTGGTTGGAATAACAAGTTGGCAATGCCCATGTAGAACCTTTTTATGACTTTATTGTAGATTTCAAAATGCAGTTGACAGGCAAAACGTCATTCATACTAATGTGTAGTGAAAGTTTGATGACTTTGAATTTCTGTTAGCAGAACTAAAATGATCATACTTAAGATTGATTTTAGAAGCTCTCCCAATGGCCTAGTTGGTAAAAGCAGCCATAGAGACCAGAAGATTACAGTTTCAATTCTTGGTCTCTGCTGATTTCTGCTGGCGGCAGGAGTTCTAAATTTGGTTAACAGTACACTTGAATGAAGAGCGCAATTCAGTCAAGGTTCCCACTTACAGTGCTATCCAGTGATCTCTGCTGAAAAATGCCTGTGTGTGAAAGCTAGCTGAGGATACCATTGGGCTCAGCCAGTAGTGGTTGAATGACCTGCTGACACTCTGTCTAATCTCACATTTAAAGAATGGGCAATTGAGGCAAGGTACGAGTCGACTGCTGGTGCTTATGGAACCCAGTAGGAGTTGATGTATCAGGGGATATGGGAAGGCAATTGGCAAAAAAAAGTTTAGTAAAAGCTCAAAATGAGGTTAATTTAAATAATGGGTCTCGCACCAGTGAGAATTTTGGTACAAATGTTGCTTCCTCATCATCTGGAGAGGATTGCTGAGATGTTTTTCAGCATTTTATAGGTATGCAGAGTTCTTGCTGCACTTGCCTGATGACCAGACCTTTTTGTTCTCGCATCAATCAGTGTGCACCCAAGAGTCCTCTGCCACCTTTTATGCTCCATTTAACTCTTAAATGATGCTCTTTCCTCCTGCTCAGGAAGATCCAAGAAGCCGGGACTATCCCGGTCTATGCTGCTCTTTGAAACCATTCCATTGCATGTTATAAATTGCGACTATTTCATTTTGTCGTTGTCCAGCACAGGAGTTAGTTGTTGATTAAACCACAACTCTTAAGGGTAAGGCTCAAATGCTTGTGTTAATATGAGTTTGTCTCGTATATCAACTTTCCTTCTCCAAAATGATGGTCAGCCTAACCCTCAAAAAGGTTATCCCTCTTGCTCTATGGGGTCTGCATCTGTAACACACGCACATTATCCATCACCTTGACATTTCTGGCATAATTAGTTATTGCTAGAATGGATTTTCAAATTGGCTTCTACTACTGTTCTTGCCTATGTTACACACCTATAGATCTCTGCTCCTGAAGACTGGTTTTCATTTATCATTGCCTATGGGAATAGCACTGTGGACCAGATAGATTGCCATTTTGTACTTTTCAACAATCTAATCACTATCTGTTCTGTAACCTAGAAGCTTCATCCACTCTTTCCCGTCAAATCAAGGGTTTTCCCCACTATATGTTCCTCCTTTATATCCATGATCTCCACTTATCATTTCACTAATTCAGCTCTATCCACTTGCTAATTATGCCATTCTACATTCAACTTCCTTCAGATTTAGTGTACTTGGTGCACATGACGTTCATTTTTCTGAATAAATAAACGATCTCCTCGACTGTCTAATGGGGACAATAAAAATTGTATATATTTGTATCTCTTGCGAGCTTCAACAAGCAACTACCACCTCTTGTCTCTTATTTCACCATCTATTGATCTTATTGATCTCACCATTTTCTCTGATCTGAAATGGAACTTGGATATCTGAATTGCTAAAGCTGCCTTCAAAAGGCACACTTCCTCATTATGCCAACACTTTTCTCCTCGTAGCCCTGTAGAAAGTCCTATTTATTCTGTTCTTCTGGCACTTTGACACTTGTAGATTAGAACCAAGAAAGTTTACCTAATATTTAATTCTACTATCATTTCCAATCTCCCTCTCTCTCATAGCATTTGTCTTTCTGTATATTATCAATGCTACTGTGGTCACTCTTTTCCGTACTTTCCATGCTCTAACTGCATCTTGAACCATTCTCCTCTTCCTTCCTGCAATTTCACTTTGTTTTTTTTTTTAAAAAATCATGCCCTATTCTTAACGCATTCTTTCCCAGGACTTCAAGACTGTGGCAGCCCTTACTCCCTACAGTCGTACTTTCATCCTGCGATCTACAAGCTTTTAAAATCAATGCTTGTTACTATCAGTGCTACTTGATATTTCTGTTTTCAACCTTGCTGTGGCTTGGTCCAAAAACTACCACTTGGATTTTCTTATAGACGAAAGAAAGCACGCAGTGGTAAGGGAGCACGCAGAAAAATGTAACACACTAAGGCAGTCTTAAGTTTATTTTTTAAATTGTCCAGAGGAAGGAGAATTCAAACAAGTAATTAATTATTTCATATTATGGTGAATGTTGTGCTCAAATGAAGGTTATCACTACTACGGAAATTCTGCTTTAACCCATTGAGAATTTCCAGAGTGGTTCTAGCACAGGTTAACCATGAAGATTGAAGCTCATTTTACCATACCCAACACTGTATCCCAACCTCAGAACAGCATCTGGAAATTTTAGTCATTTCTTACACTAGTTATCTTTCCAAGATTGCCAATTAGGTCCAGATTATGTGCAGTTTTGTCCTATGGACCTGCACCCATGGTTTTAGACAGTCCAATCTAGGATCCATTCGTGCAATAGAGTGAAAACTCATCCCATCAGTCAAGACTGGATATGAACCCAGACTCCAAAAACAGTCTGTTGCCTCAAAGGGGAAAATTACTGATGGGAGAGGGGAAAGAAGTGTGCAGATTGAAAATACTCTGCTCAGTGCCAAACCACTGCGTAAGTCAGTGCACCGGCTCGCTTCTGGCTGGGAAAACCGACGGGACACCAGCAGACTTCCCACAACTCTGCACATTTGGAATTTCTCCTCGCAGGTAGGAAGAATTTTTTGAAAAAATATTTATACAACATTTATGTGGGGATTGCTTTTGACTGAAAGTACTTCTCCCTTCTCCCCCCCCCCCCCACCCCCCATCAAAAAAAACATTTGTTTCTCTTTACACATTTCCAAGTAAATGCTTCAGTACACTTCATTTATTTATTAGAAAGGTCTTGGAGCGAATGTAGAACAGTAACTCCCAAACTCCTGAACATCACTAATATGTATAGCTGAGCTGTACATACTGGCAAAATGGCTGGCACGTTCATGGCACATGAAAGGTTGCAAACACCTTTTTGCCTATATATTCCAAGACTTCTCCCATTATCTGTAAGCCACCCTATCGTGGTGGATGAGTACAATAAACTCATGGGAAGGGTTATTTTGACTGAATCGAAAATGTGTAGGTGATGCGTGAAAGGACAGATGAACATGCAGTGTTTTAGTATTTTTTTGGATCTCTTGTTTGGTGTCAACAGCTATTGGTGTATAAGGCATCCGATCCTGACACTGCGCCAGAATGCAAGGTGTAGCTAGTGGGTAAGTAATCAGTGGTCAGTTTTGTAAACATCCAGCAATTCATTTGTCCAATTTGGATTGCTGGTTCATTTGTCAGCTTGAATGCAGGTCACAGTGCATGCCAGCTGTTTTCAGATGTGATGTGCATTTACAGAGGTGTGGTATGAATTTCTAATGTAGGGTTTTTTCTCTTGACCAATGTTTTCATTAAAGGGTTGATAAAAGGTAATGAGGTTTGGACAGAGTCTAATTCAATGAATAAATTTGTATGTTGACATATTTTAAAACTAGAAACTGGTTGCATTAAATAACTTGTGTTTTTACTTCCTGAAAAGAAAAATTCAGCTGTTTGGCATGTGTTCTAAATGTCTGTTGTTTGATTTTTAAATTGGATATAATTGGGATGTATACGTTTTGGTTTCTTGGCAAAATCAATGATATAGTCTGCTACAACTCCTGTGATGTTTGCAGTCTCACAGCAGACCATTTAATGTCTTTCGTCATCCATCAAGATGTATCATGATTTCATGACAAACAGCTGTATGACAATCTATGTGTGATCTTTCACCTTTTTTTGAAAAGCTTGTAATTGTATACAATCACAGAATTTTCACACAAAAGGTTTTAAATGTTGGCAACACAAGAAGAGCCTACTATTTTGGATTGCCAGTGGATTTTCTTTCAATGTCAACATTCCACACAGGCTTGAAGACTAGTTAACTAATTCTTACAGTGGCATATGTCACCTTGGATTTTGTGGGATTGACACAATGCTTCCTGAAAGAGTAAAACTAGCTTCATATAAATAAATATTGAGATTTTCAGTACTCTTCATATATCACATGATGGAAGAGATCGGCATCGCAGCTTTATGGCTTTGGATATTCCACTGATAGATGTTGAGGGTCACTGATTCGGAATAATGTTCCTAAAGAGCCAATTCTATTCCATTTTTTAAAAAAAGATATTTCTGGTAGGTTTAAATCGCCATGATCAAATACTTGATAAGATGTTAACCTTAAGAAAATTATTAAGTTAGAAACGAGATATTTTGATCCTTGTAAAATCACATGAAGGATAGACAACTAGCAAACTAGAGGGAAAATGAAGTGAATTGGAGACTTTCAAAAAACACCTGATGTAAAGAAAGTACCCAAAGAGGAGAAAAAAGTATGGCTGGTTGCTCTTGGAGCCAAAGGAGGGGTACACAAGAACTACAGCTACTGCATCCTGCACTAGAGAAGGGATCCACCTTTATGCATTTGAATCCTTTGACTGAAGTTGGAAGAGTTAAGTTTAGGGGCAACTTTCATTTAGGTAAGTGTTGCATTTAAAGTTCTACACATTACAAAGACTTGATGAGATTGATTTGTAATTTATAGTTTCATGTAAATTCCTATAATATTCATCTTTGAAAAAGTTTTAAATTTTCTACATTCATAGTACACTTTATGGTTAGATTACTTTTAAAAGGAAGATAGTAATTCATTTATGTGCATACAAACAGGCTTATACACCTGTTTTTTTCCCTAATGATTAAACAAGTGCAAAGGTCATCAGGGGAGCAGTGGTCTGTCAGAGGAGTGCCCACCACGAGTGCAGCTATTCATCCCACAGAGGGCTTTTGCTGCGCTTCGTGTGCCGCCACCTCAGGGAGATTCAGCACAGGCAGATGTGTCACCATTGGAGGAGGGACCAGTTATCGGAACAAGCACATGGCAAGGTAGGTATCGGCAGGCATCTATCGTGGATGTAGACACAGTGTCACAGGAGTTGCTTCCCCGAGCATATCGGGATAAATTTGGTGTGAGACGTTGAAAATGGGGGTGTTTGGGATCTGTAAAATAGCAAAGAGGCTGCCTTTGCATATTGATTTACGCACGAAAGATGAAGCTACTTACTATGACATGATAGACGTGCAGTGCAATCTATTGACATCAACTGACAGTTGTGGACTGGTTTCACCAAGATTCTGTATACAGAGGCTTCGAGAGTTTGTTTTCACCAAACAGTTGAAGACATTGGTTGTACAATCTGCTTTATTACTGAGGTGGCAGATAGTTTAAAAACCTCCATTTTCATAACATGGAGGTCAAGCCAGCTTCTGGAAAACTGCACTGGTGAAAGAACAGATTGTCGGCCCAGTAGACTGGTACTGTGCTTTTCAACAGACAGATCAGTCATTCGCCCTGATTTTGATTCTGCCTTTGAACGCCAGCAATGTCCAAAAAGGTAATATACAGGTTGTATCCATACAGAAATTTTTAACCAACCACCCCATGCCCCATGTTTGTGTTTTGAGGTGTATTGTTTCCAGTGGAAGTGATGTAGAGTGGGAAGCTTGATATTATACAGAGAAAATATTTTCTCTGGTGGGGAAATCCAGAACAAGGGGCCATAATCTTAAAATTAGAGCTAGGTCATTAAAGAATGAAACCAGGAGGCAGTTTTTCACCCAAAGGATCAACACAGTCGATCACGCCACCGCCTGTACTCCCTCATCCACCTTAGTGGGACTGTACTCGCATGGTTTGAGTCTCAACGAACTGCCAACAATACATCTTGCAAATGTTTTTTCCTTCCATCCCTGCCAGGTCATTTGATGGGTACCCCAAGGCTCCATCCTTGGCCCCCTTCTTTTCCTTATCTACACGCTCCCTCTCAGCGATGTCATCCACAGACATGGGGTTCACTTCCAAGTGTATACGGGTGGCACCCAAATCTGCTTCTCTTCCAGTGGCGACTCCAGTCCGCTGATGTCCTGTCAGCTTGTTTGACGGACATTAAGGCCTGGATGAGAGCACATTTCCTGTAGCTAAATGTCGGCAAGATGAAAAACATACTCTTTGGCGCTCATTAACGTCTTCTGCGGATCTGAACTCTTCAACCTCCCCAGGCTCTTCCTCAGACTCATGGAACCCATGCACCACTTAGGCGTCAGGTTCAATCCTCAGTTCTCCTTTTTACCCCGTATCCGTTGCCTGACCAGAACCACTTTTTTCCACCTCCGTCACATCGGCCAGCTCCGTCCATACCTCAACCAAAGCAGCCGAAACCTTCGTCCACACCTTGTCACTTCCTGGCTGGATTATTCCAGTGGTCGCCCCAGCTCCACTCTACACAAAATTCAACTAATTCAAAACTGCCGCCCAGATACTTACACGCACAAAACTCTCTACCCCTGTCACAACAGTCCTTGCTAGGCTCCACTGGCTCCCAATTACCAAATGTATCGCTTTCCGGATCTTCTCACTTCTCAAATACCATAATGCTCTCACACCTTCCTACCTATTTGATTTGCTTACCCCCCACTTTACCACCCGCTGCCTCAGTTCAGCTGGTTCCGGCCTCCTGTTTGTCCCTTGTTCTCTCCGCTCCACCATTGGTGGCCGTATCTTCAGCCACTACACCCCAATCCTTTGAAACCTTCTCCCTCAATCCCTCCACCTTGCCCGCTCCCTCCCCACTTTCAAATCCTGCCTAAAGATTTTTTTTTATCATGCTTACAGTCACCTCCCCCCTCCCTCTTCCCCTGGTTGAGGTCAGACTCTGCTACTGTCAAGCATTCCAGGATGTACCCCACATGAAGGGTGCTACATAAATGCAAGTTGTTGATGTTGTAGTGGAAATCTGGAACTCTCCACCAAAAGGCTGTGGAGTCTTTTTAATACTGATATTTGTTAGATACGGATATCAAGGAATATGGGGCAAGGGAGGGTATTGGAGTTGAGGTACAGATCAGCCATGATCTTATAGATTGGTGGAACAGGCTCGAAGGGCTGAATGGCCTTCTGTTTCTATAGTCCATTTCTTTCTCTTGTTATATTAGCTGAGGAGAGGTCTGCAAACGTGTTAATGGCGTCGGCAGAACCTAAATATCGGGTTTTTTGTTAATGTTTAGTAAAATCCACAAACATTCCTTTGGAAGTTCTTGGGTATTCATTTTAGGTGTCCTTTCTGAGCTGAGCCTGGTTTCTTGCATTTTATACTGCAGTAGTTTAAATTGATATGCTCCTAAAACTCACTTCCAATGCGATCTAGGCACCAGGGCTCCCAATGCAGTTTTGTATACAGATCACATTGCCCAACCAGGATTTATGCTGCACTGCTCTAATTTATTGCAAACAGCAGAATATAAACCGGGCATCATTTAAGTACCTAGATGCAAAACATCTTTAGTTTCCGTAATGCTTCACTATCTGATTTCACGTAGATGTTAATATTACTGAAATACTCTGAATGTCAGATCGTGGTGTTCTAGGTTTATGTTCCTCTGAACATTAGATATTTTTTGTTCTAATTAAGTTGTTCAGTTTGTCCAAGTTGGTATTGATTGGGAAAGGTTTTTGAGTGGGTCAGGTGATGTGTATATATATATGTATATGGTCACGTGGTCAAGTACAAATAATTGAGTGTTAGTGTCATGAAGAGTGCACCTGGAATAAAATGTCCCTAAATGCTGTGTCCAGAACATATCCCTGACCTCTGTCCCTGGGCTTTCATGGTCTGTCAGCCTCTGTGGTTAAGATGCAGTTTCTTTTGCATAATTCAGAGGAGGGTAGATAGTTGTTTTTTATAGTTTGTCTGCTGAGATTGGAGCTCTATTGGAAGGTACCGAATGTTTGCTTCCCCAACATGTATTTGATTAATAAGTTGTGTGAAGGAGTCTGTTGAGGTTTCTTTGTAGTTACTTCTTTCCCTGTGATTTGAAAACATTTTGGTGGGTTGGATGGTGCACAAGTTGATTTCCTTGTATTTCTTGTATCAGTAGTTATTTATATGGGATAGTTGAGCAGTTTAGGTAAAATTCTTTGGCATTGAAAGGTTTATAGCAAGTAAAGTACACGAGAAGTGCAAAAAGGGATGTGTGTTATGTTGTATTTATATCAAAATTAGCATTTTGTGATCTAGAAAGGGAATTCCGTTTCTTAAAGGCCTAGTGAAATGGTTTACACTCTCACTTCTCAGTTTCCTGTGTTTAATGGTATATTAAACCAAAAGAGAGGCTCCCTGATGGCCTAGTGAGTAAAGGCACCTCCTAGTGCAACACAAAGCCATACGGACCAGAATGTCACAGGTTTGAATACTGGTCTGTGCTGAGTTAGCTGATCTCAGCTTGGGCTAGCAGTTGGGGTGCTACAATTGGCTTCAGTGCCCCTGGGCTTGGGAGGGAAATATCAGCCTGGGTTCCCACTCCTGATTGCTATCCAATGACCCCTACTGGAAAGTATGTGCGTGTATGTGAGTGTGTGTGTGTGAGAGAGAGAGAGAGAGAGAGTGAAAAGTGAGGATTGGATCTGGCTTGGCTGTGATGACCCCCTCCCCCAATAATTGATTAGCCTGCCAGCAATTACTGTCCAGGCATACATGTGAAAAATGACCACTTGTGCAAGGTGCCGGAGGGCTACCAGCACCTGTGGAATCATTCACCACATAAGTTGATGCCTTCAGGAGAGGAGAAGGGGAGAACAATTGATGGGAAACCAAAAATCCACTGGCTTTAGTACAAGACTTGTTTGGGGACTACTTTTAGTGTTTAACGTTAACTATACAGTTTTATACTCTTGAAAGCTGAAAGTTTTTTTTTAAAACAACTTTATTTTCCTCTACCTCTTTTAGGTCCCTTGGTGCATGGTGCAATTCTCTAGTGAGAGAGTGGACAGACAGGTTGCACCCAGGCCTCTTGCTGATGCTGCTCTTGAGACAGCTGCTAGGAGATGCACAAGAATCGCCCTCTGATTTTTTTCCCCCCCATCCCTCTAGGAAAATCCCTGGCTGCACTTTGTGTCTCCCTACACTTGCACAACTGAGATAGAGAACTTACTGTATGAAGAATCGTGGGCAGAGATTCTGCCACTCCATGCCACAACATATTGTACCACTTCATCACAGTCCCATCCTAATGGTTTCCCCCCTTAAATATCTGCCTGTGTAGAGAGTTGACAAATCTTCTATTTAGAGTACTGTGCTGGATTTACAATAAGATGTGTGCTCATGCTGTCGGTCCTTATTTTTGAGTAGCAGTCGTCAATGGTTTCTGTTTGGTGTCTTAAAAGGTCAGAATTTGTAAGTGGATCAGTTAAGAGTGACCTGTTTCTGATCCACTCAAGTGCCATATGTGTTGCAACTAATATGCTATTATCTAGCTTTTGAATTTCATGACAGTGTTGGAGATTCAATGATGTGTACCATCAAGTAGACAACTTAAGGCAATATTGTCATACAGATTTATCAATAGGAATGAGTAGGGTAAGTATCAATTTTCAACTTAATTCTGTTTTTGAGGTATTGAAACAGAATGGTTGCTGAACATAATTTAACAAAACTTTTTTCATTTTTCTGCTGTTCACCTTATAGCTGTTAGTCATGGTTCTTGTATTGCATATCGGAAGAGGTCAGGAACCATTAGCCTTAAACTAAAATACTGGTTTTACATTCTTCATTCCTTCCACTCTGGGAAGGGACTATTGTTGGTCTGGGTTGATTCTGACTGGTAGAAAATAAAGTGCAAACAATTCTTGTGGCCTTCTTGAAGTTGTGATTTCCATTAATAACAGTGTTTAAAGGGTAATTTTACCAACCTCTTAAAATACGCAGTCATGTACATTTTCTTTTTTAGGCATTTGTTTGAATTAATATTCATGGTGCTTCATATACAGAGTTTTAACAGATCAGAATATTGTTGATCAGTGATGCATGGAGTGTTTGTATCGTAAGAAAAATAACCTGTAGCTCATATATAGACATCTTTCTGTTTTTGTATTCTAGGATGTTGATGCCAACAATGCATATTGGCATGGAATGGAAAAATCGCAACTCTGTCCTCAAAATCAGTATTGTTCAATCAGGAGATCATTGCGGTGCAAGAGTCATCCGAGACTTGATCAGTGTTTCATATTGGTTGAGGAGAGACATCAAAGGGGGAAAAGGTTTGTTTATCCCTATTTATAGTTACAATAATATAAATTCACATTATGCATGTTGGAAGAATTATACGAGTTGTATCTTGCACTTTAAATTGCAGTATCACATAATTAATTAAACCTATTGGCTGAAACCTAACTTTCAATTCAAATGGTGACGGTGCCCTTGTGGATTAAGATTAAATTGTCTCAGATTAAACTTCAACTACAGAAACCATTGTTCATCATGATGTCGCCCAGCCATGTGCTTGAGCCATTCCTTTTCGTACGTGTCCTTTCTCGCTCACATCCGGTCCCTGATTAAGACTGCTATTCTTCACTTCTGCAAAATTCCCACGGCAAATACTGCCAAAAGCCTTATCCACACTTTCATTACCTCCTGGCTGAACTTTTCAAATGTGTTTCTCACTGGTCTACCTAGCTCCACTGTCCATAAATTCCAACTTACCCAAAACTCTTCATCTGCACCAAATTCCACATGTCAGCCGCCCCAATCCATGCCAGGTCCCACTGTGTCCCAGGGATTGAATTTTAATGTCATCACCCTCATCTATAAATCCTTTCATGTACTAGCACCTCTTTATCTCCCTGATCCTCCCTTACTTCACTTCTCTGCTCAGTCAGGTTTACTGCATATCCTGTACCCTCTCCATCCCCTCCAGTGGCTAAGATTTTGGACTATATGCCCCTAAAATTAGGATCTCTACTCCATCTCACTCACTCTATGTCCATGTCCTAGGACTATGGCCCCCAGATCAGCATCAGACCCCATCATTGTAAAGTGCTTCACACTCTTGTCTGAACGGTGCTATTCAAATGCAATTTGTTGTACTTTTCCTGTTTCTAATTGTATATCCCTGCACATGAATACAGATGGATTATGGTATGCAACTTCCCAATTATACTGGCGCACATGGATGCTTTGGTGTCCTATAAATTTGGGAGAATAAACTGCAGTGTAGATTTATAATCATACCATACCCCTAACCATAGAATTCTGCAAACAGAAGAGAGTCATTCTGCCCAACATATCTGTTCTGGTGTTAATTATCTTGCCAGAGCTATTCACTCAATCTCTAAACATACCCATCACTATTTTCATTCAACTATTTATCCTTTTAAATACTGCTGTGGATTCTGCTTCAAAAGCCAGTCGTAAGACATCCATATTCGGATCACCCTCAGTGTAAAACGTCTTCTAACCTTTGTTCTTGTGACTTTTTAAAAAAAAACTTTTTGTGCTCTTTTCTTACTGTTCACTGACATACCAATCTGCAAAAGACATTTCTTTAATTGAGTCCACATTACTGCTGCTAGCCTACTCTTTCATTTTTAGGAAAATCTCTATTTTTAAGCCTATTTAAGTATTACTCTTATATTGTTATTTTACATCAGGAAAAATAAAAGTCAACATTGATGTGCAGCATTATTTGCCCCTGGCGTACACAGCTAACTGGTTCTGCAGTCTTAACCCTAGTCCACCTCAAAACTGAGACTAGCTAACTAGATCATACTGCCCTCTTTACCAGCTTCTCACAATTCACAGGACTCACTGGACTATCCAGATTGCGGCCAATGTTTGCTGACCGTATCAAGTTAAGATGTATTATCGGAGTTGTACAAACAAATAGGTTTTGGTCAGTAAGTATAATGTTGATATTGTAAAGCTTTAAACCATAGATATGTTTTATTAATAGGTTTGCTATTTGTAGGTATCTAATACAATAGTAAACAAAAAATGCTGATGGTTATTGACTGGCTACGAAATTGACAGGAGTTAATATTCAGGATAATTCAAATAAGGATGAATTTAAATACTTCTAATATGAATAGCATTAAAAAAAACTGGCATTGGTAGATAGGTTGTTGGTCAAAATGTTAAAAAAAATTGTGTTACACTAGCTCTTAGAAGATAGCTAATGTGTAATAGAATGTTTTCCCAAAATTGAACCTATGAAAATTGTGAGACGTAATGCCAGAACAAATACTTCGACATTACAGAAACCTCGTTCTTAGCTAAATAGTGCTACAGAATAAGCTGATAGTGTGAATAATGTTCCTACCTAAAACAATTGGGTAAAACTTAAAATGAATAATTAGGTTGTATGTAAGAAATGACAATGTGTGCATGTTGGGGAGGGGGTGCCACCATTCCAGTGAAGCGAACCAATAGAGACAAACTAAAAGGAAGAGGAGGGGTTAAACATGATTGAGTTCTGTGGGAGATGCAGTCAAATTTCGTATTTAACATTCTACCATGGAAGTAGCTGAACACTGAGATGCCATTAGCTATTCTTGTAATAAAGTAATGCTGCAAATGGAAGATGTGTAAGATATGAAGGATAATATTTGGGATTTATTGGAAAAATATAGGAAGTGTTCATTGGGAAATCCAAGTAGAAAATAACAGACACTGGGCTTTTGTTTCTTTAAAATGTTAGAATTAAAGTGTAGACCATTGGACTTTTTTTACAATTATTTTAAATGGGTTTAATATAATAGCAACAAATTACATTTGTATAATGTCTTTCACGTTGGGCGCTATATAAACTTCTCCTGAGATGGATTCGCAATCCTGATCCCAATCAAAGTCCCTCATCAATGTTTTATATTGCCATTTTAGAAGGTATTTAATGTGACCATATTTGAATTAATGTATAAGTCTATTTTAATGGATGGGAATATGCATTGTATTCTTGTAAGTCAAGTTAACAGAGTTGTCAAACCAATATGGAAATAGTCTTGCTGAGCTTTTCAGTAATCTCAGCTGTGAAGTAGTCATCCACTCAGACTCCAGCTTGAAGCTGCTTTAACCAGTAATGATTTTCAGGTACCCAAATAGATCACTACCCTCACTGTTCACCTTCGGTTTTTTAACATTAGATCTAGTACAACAACAAAATTACATTTATAGAGCGCCTTTTACGTCGGGAGGACGTCCCAAAGTGCTGAATAGTCAGGTGTCGGGGCCCAAACATGAGGGAGGGGTGGTGTAGGGGTGAGGGAAGGTGGAGAGGTGGGAGGGTGACCAAAGGCACGATCGAAGAGAAGGGTCGAGACCAGCTTTGAAGGAGGCAAGGGAGGAAGGGACCGTGGGATGGAGTACCAGAGTATCAGGGCAGAGAGGCTGAAAGTCCGGCCGCCGATGGTAGGGCGAGTCGGGCGGGAGACGTAGAACAGACGTTGTAATCAGATTTGACTTATTGCTCCTATACATTTAATAAGCCCGCTGAATGGAGGGAGCGGACAGGTTGGTAGGGAGTCAGCACATCAACAACAACAACAAGATTCCATTTATAAAGCGCCTTTCACGTCAGGAGGACGTCCCAAGGCGCTGCACAGTTGGGTCATGACCCGAGCAGGGGGGAAATGGTCAGGGTGAGGGGAGGGAAGGGGAGGGAGCGAGGAGGGGGGAAATGGTCAGGGTGAGGGGAGGGATGGGAGGGAGCGAGAAGGGGGAAGAGAGTCGAGAGGGGAGCTGAAGGCTCGGTCAAAGAGAAAGGTTTTGAGACCGGCCTTGAAGGAGGAAAGGGAGGAAGCGGCGAAGGCACTGGGGGATAGAGTTCCAGAGCCTCGGGGCTGAGAGGCTGAAGGCCCGACCACCAATGGTAGGGCGATTGGGGCGGGGGACGTGGAGCAGACCGGAGCCGGAGGAACGGAGGGTACGGGCAGGTAGGTAGGGGGATAGTAGGTTGGAGAGGTAGGAGGGAGCGAGGCCGTGAATGGCCTTGTAGGTGAGGATGAGGATCTTGAAATCAAAGAGAGGTAGGAGGGAGCAAGGCTATGGATGGCCTTGAAAGTGAGGACGAGGATCTTAAAATCAATCCTCTGGGGGATGAGGAGCCAATGGAGTCGGGCGAGGGTGGGAGTGATGGGGTCACAGAGCCTGGTGCGTGAGAGTACACGAGCTGCAGAGTTTTGGATGATCTGCAGATTGTGAAGGGAAGAGTTGGGAAGGCCGATGAGGAGGGAGTTTCCATAATCGAGCCTTGATGTGACATATGCGTGGATAAAGGTTTCGGCAGCCTGAGGGGTGAGGCAGTAATGGAGTCTGGCAATGTTGCGGAGGTGGTGGTAGGCAGTGCTGGTTCATGGGTGGATGTGGCGGAGAAAGGACAGTTCAGGGTAAGACAAGACACCCAGGTTCCTGACTGGCTTAGTGAGGTTGAGTGTGCAGCCGTGGAGGCTGATGCTGCCAGCGCCCGAGGTACGGACTTGATATCGGATAGGCAATCGGTCAGGACGCCAGTAGTCCTGAAGTTCAGGGTGGAGGCAGAGAGATAGAGGTGGGTGTCATCCGCATACATGTGCAAATTTACCCTAAGTCTGTGGATGATGTCACCAAGGGGAAGCATGTAGAGGGTGAAGAGGAGGGGATTGAGGACAGAGCCCTGAGGAACACCGCATGAGACAGTGCGGGGGCTGGAGGAGAAGCCGTTTCCATGACGGAAGTGGAGGCGATGTGAAAGGTAGGACCTGAACCAGTCAAGGACAGAACCTTGAAGATTGAGGTGGGAGGAGAGGCGGTGGAGGAAGATTGAGTGGTCCACTGTGTCAAAGGCGGCGGAGAGGTCGAGGAGGCAGAGGGCGTTCTGGTCACACCTGGTCAGGATGTCATTTGTGACCTTGACCAGAGCAGTTTCCGTGCTGTGAACAGTACGGAAAGCCGATTGGAGTTGTTCACATTTCAACAGTTTCAATAAACTGTTTTGACTCCAGACTATAGCATAAAAAGGGCCTGAAGAGATGGGCTTATGCTGTTAGTTTTTTTCTCATTGGGAGGATCAATTCACAGCCACCTTTTCCTCTGATCATAGAATTCTGGAAATCATAGCATGGCAGGCCACTTCAACTGAATTAGTGTATTTGACTCGTGCACACGTTATGCAAGTTATAATAGCTTGGGTTTTATTTGACATTTCTCCTATACTTTCAGAGTTCATGCAAATACAGTATGTTTATCATGTGTGTTTTGCCCTTTTTATTCATGTTCAATCCCCTGGAGGAGTAAACTGATTTAAGACAGGAATTCTTCTCATTCAGCTACTACAACAACAACTTGCACTTATATTGTTACGGTCACCCGTTTTGTTTTCTATGCCTGGCTTGTTTTAAATATGTGGAGTAGTGCTTTAAATACTTCTTTTTGTGCATTTAATGTTTTTAATACTTGTTGTGCCATCAAGTCTGACTAGTGTCCATTACAACAATTTGGGGTAACTTCCCATTCCAATATGCAAATGAAGGATTGGAAGTGTACTTTTCCCCTATTGGGCAACTGAGGGAAGGATCTGATGGGGACCATCAACTAATTGGTGCTATACAATTACCATTGGGTACCCTAATTCAGGGAGGGGTTCAAATCCCATAAAAGAACAAGCGCCATGTGCTCCTCCTCGCTATTTTTCTACCTGATGACAACAAAGGTACATGCTCTGACTATTAAGGAGTAGTAGTCAGCGGTTGGTTCTTCGTGCACTTTTACATTAACTTTCATTACAAGTGGCTGCTAGTGTGTGTAGTTTAAATGTGATTAATGTTTGTTATCTCATAGTTGTTTGTTGATTTTTATCTTGTTTAGGATTTAATGCTGAGATTTGTGGATTTTATTGAAGTTGCAATAAAATTCTGTTGAGCTAATTTAACAGTGCTTTCTCGAGCTTTCTGTATAAATCAAAGGAGGGAATATACAAACAGATTCAGTCTAGGTCACAGAGGTGTAAAACAAACTTGATTGATTGAAGCTTCCCAATTTTAATTTAAATAGCAATTGGTAGTTCCTGTTGTCATGGAAGAACTCATTAGTCAAATTATAGGGACTCGCATTCATTAGTGAGGATTGAGCACAGAGGCCACTCAGTAGACTCTGCGAGGTGGAGCGAGCCACACCGTGGGTGTACATATAAGGGTAATAGAACCGTCTCAATAGAGCGCCCTCCCCACGAGAGAAGCTTGCCTGTCAGTGCTCTTGTGGTTTTAGCTGGTTAAACTCCAGCAGTACCCCCAATAGATTATCCAGGGTCCCCAATTCTTGATTTTTGTCAAATTGCACCTAATGCTCAGAGTGCATTCCATTCAGGTGTGGAAATTTCCATGAGTTAAGTGGCATGCAAATGTGGAACTCCCTGGTTTCTTAAGAATGGTGATGAGTTTCTACACATATAGAAGTGATTGACCCCATCCCACCCAAAAAAACATGGTCATGTGTCTGTATTTAACTCCTTTTTTTAAATCATACTTTCCATTTGCTAGCAAGAGCGATGTGGAAGGGGATTCATTTTCCCATGGGATCTGCATGATTTGCAGGATTATTGTTGATCTGCACCACTATAGAAAATGCTCTTTGCCTTGAACTTTTGTCATCCATTCTTTAATATTTAACTTCTTGGCAACCTTTGCTACACTTTCACATCTTCCGCCCCTACTTTCTGATAGTTCAATAGACTGTGCTAGCCTTGGCATTTAATTCAGATTAGACGTTCCTGGTCTGTTTTAATGCTGTTTCTTTGCATTCAATTTTCACTAAATTTTAATGGCGTTGACCAATCACATCCAGAAACTGCTTACACTACATTACTCTGAAATATTCCGCATCAGATTTCTTATAACTAATTCCTGGGATTCAAAGTCTTTTATACTCAAAATACAATGGTAAATCACAAATTTCAACTGAGGATGCTTAGTGTGTCGCTGAGATTGTAACAGGACAGGTTTTCTTTTGAATTTATTGTAGTTGCTTTTGCTAATCCTTTTTGCCTATTGTGTCAAACTGGGTTTGAATGAAATTGAATCGAGGTTCCTCCTTTTACCAGATCACTACTTATTCCTTTTTTAAGCAATCGTTCTCTAACCACTTAACATTACCTCTGCAATTAGCTCCATCTACTGAATATATATGTAGTTGCATAGGACTTGAACCCAATGCTGTAAATTGGCAGATTGCAGATGTCTATTCCATTCCTCTTTTGATATGGCCATACTTTTACCAACTTCTATCTCATTTTTCAGGCAGATAAATGAGCTAAAACTGAAATTAATAAATGATCAGAACAGCACTACAGCAAATATTCATAAATCTGAAAAATCGGAGTGATATTTCTTTTGCTGCTAAATCAGTGAATGTTTATGGAAGTTGCTATGCTTAGCATTAGTAGCAGATACGCTACAGCTTTTTATATTAATTGCATTCAATATAGAATCTTTTGGCCAATGCTGAAGAATGAACAAATGTAATCTGAATTTGAAAGAGATAGCATTATTGCCCCCATCTCTACACTACAGAATATTTTTAAATAAAATGTGTTTTTGGGGGGGGAAAAACTTATTAAATAAGAGCCTTGAATTTAAAGTTTTTAAAAGAAATTATTGAAATTGAAGTGATTTTTACTGGAGTTTCAAAACATCCATTTTGAAACTTGGCAAATAAACTTTCAGCTACTTCCACAAAGCTAGATTTAGTGTGCGACACTTGTACTTAGAAACTATCGTAAAGTATTGCATGTCAAATGTTGCATATCAAATGTTGCATAACATATCTAACACCCTTTTTTTGTATGTAATCAGTGACGTTCCAACGTGATGGTGATGACCAACCTTTTTGAACTGCGACTGTAGTGACTAATGTGAAAGAAGTCAGAACTGGTGAAGACGAAGAACAAGTAATTCTCTTTTCGTTGAAGTCCCGTTCTTGTTTCAGCTTATCCCTGTGAACTATTTACCAACCGAGTCATTGTGTCGTAGTTAATAAGATTAAAAATTAAACATCTGATTTTCCTGGTGCCAAATTCCTGGAGAGTGATTGTTAACAACTTTGCAGTTGTCGGAAGCACAAGTGTAGATTCCTAACGTGAAGAGTTTCAGAGACTTACAAACATGGATGATGGTAGACCATCATGGGAGAATCCCATGCAGTTTGTGTTCGCCTGCATTTCTTTTGCAGTGGGACTGGGGAACGTGTGGCGTTTCCCGTACCTGTGTCAGATGCATGGAGGAGGTAAGCTTGATGTATTTTTCTTCTCATTTTTGCTGTCAATTGGTCAAGCTCTAGTGAAAGATATTTTCAAAACTGAGCTGTTTGCTGATAAAGTATGAAGTTATTAAACAAATGCCATTCTCTGTGGAAAGCTGACAGAAATCATTTTTAACCTTTTCCTTATTTGCAGGTTCTTTGTGTAGAAAATGCCTTTTAAATATAAATGTTTTTGATTAACTTTCTAATTTATAAATTGTTGACTCAACATAATTTTGTGTATTGTGCGGCTTGAGGGTGCATCGTTTTTTTATATGAAAAAGTTTAAAGTGCAACAGCCGCTTAGTTGCCTAGAGTGAATGACATTGGCTTCTTCTTGGTTATCTGCGTTCTTTTATTTAGTTCAACCATAACTGAAGTGTTTTCCCAAAATTGATATGCTAAATTACCTTGTTAAATTACGCCTGGATTGTTTTCTGCCTGGGTTGTCTTCTTTACTCTTTCAAACTCCATTCATAAAAACTCCAGTATTAAATGAATATGAAGAAATTTCTAAATTCAACAGTGGAAAAAAACTGTTAAGAGGTGCATAGTATAAGAGGCAGGATTAATTTTGTAATGTAAAATATGAATGTGTTGCTACATTGTAGTTGAGACATGAGTCTTTCTAATGCAATTCAAATGTATACCATTTTTAACACCCTAGAATAAAATCTCAAACACGATTTTACCGTTGGTAGATATTAGACCAGGGATATCATTACTGGTTTAATGCTTTGTCTGTACAAGCCAAACATTTTTATCTAAGTTGAATGCTTTGGAAAATTTAGTGTAATCTACATTTTCAATGCTTTTATATATTAAAAAAAAATCTGAACTTGTTTGGGTAAGTGTTAGTTGTACGTTCTCTATTTTAAGACCCTGCATTATTAAAAAGATTGAACAAATGTTGCATATCAAGATTGAACATAAACACACAAACGATATTTCAGCAAGTTGGATATTGGTACTTTTTTTTAGTAACTAGTTCTATTCTGAAATGTTTTGAGAAGCTAAATAGTGAAGGATTGTTCCCGTTGACTAGTAAATTGGCAACTGGTAAGCTCAGGATTGTTACTGAAAGAGTTTTATGGCAATGTTGGGGGTGGGGGGGGGTTCAGAGAGTTAGACCATGGAATGCTTACCCACAGTTAGCTATTGGAGCTGAGACCATTTTATTTAAAAAGTAATGGATGAACAATTGAAGATGGATAATAACAGGGTATGTGGAGAGAGTGTTGAATTGGATGGGTCAAATGGCCTCTGGTGTAATTTCTTGGCTTCTATAAATTGTACTGTAATTATAATGGAAAAGATTCAGAGTCCATAGAATGGTGTTTTGCAAAGTTTTCCCTTTATAACTTTTATGGGTCTGCGCAGGGTTTAAGATGACCAGTAAAGAATTTTAGATAATTTCATGTTTACGAAGAAAAGAACTAACCGGACGGACAGTACTGGCTAGGCTATCATTGTAATCTCAGTACAGTGGAGTAAGCAGTTTGCCTTGTAGAGAAAAGAAAAACGAACAAAAACACAAATGAGTGCTACAGCACTGAGTTCATTTTGTTTAGCATAATGATAAATAACTTAACCTGTGGATAAAAAGAAAAATACTGTACACTATAAATATTGATTTTGTATCCAGTTATTTAAGCATTGGTATAGAAAGAAATGTAGTTTAATCGCTTTAGTGGACTTTGATTTGATAAAGCATTTATAGCTTTTTTTTAAAGCATGGAGAGTGAGTTGAATAATTTGCTAACAAGTTTTGTTCAACTGATGCTTTTTGACAGACCTAATAGTTGTTGAAATTTCAACAGGGAAGTCTTCTCTTATGAAGTAGGTATTATGAAATGCAATCTTATACCTCTACATTGATTTGATGTTGAAACGGTCAATGTTGTAGGGTACACAGCAATCCAAATAAGATGACTCATCTTATTTGCTCAGTTTTGCCAACCTGGCATAATTAGTAGCACTTATCATTGAGTGAGAAGATTGTAGGTGCAATAGGAATTAGAACTGATATAGTCCATGCTGATATGCCAATGCAGTGCTGGGGGTGTGCTGTATTGACAATATTATAGTAGCCAATTCAAGTAGAAAAAATCATTTCTCTTCCCCCATGGTGTTTTGACCAAAGCCTACAGTTGCCTCAGTGTTACATATCAGTATGATTCTAGGTTGGATCTGTTATCTATGGTGGGTTAGCTGATTTCAACAGGAGCACCAGTAAGAACTCTTCCCCAGAATAGAGAAAAAGAAAATTGGTCTGTTCCAGTTTCTGATCACTGTATCATAACTGAGAAAGCATGTGTTTGTGGGTGTCTGATAAAAGGATCAGGCTTGGTTATGGTACATCCTATGATTAATACAGAAGTTGATAACTTGACCACTGAAGCAAACAAAAAAAAAAACTGTAGCCCAGACTAAGTTTAACGTCTCAATTCACTTTATTTTGGGTCCATTTTTGTGTTTTTTCTTATTGGATGTATCTTTTTTCCTTCCTCCTGTGAAATTGTATGTACTGCCATTGTTTTTTGTGCTCTGCAATGGTTGTCTTACAATTAATCACTAGAATGGATTACAATCTGTAACCTCTTCCTCCCCAACAGTGACATTATTATAGTGTATAACAATAAGCTACACCAGAAAAAATTACTGTTTTTTTAAAAAAAAATCACTATGGATTTATCCTTTTTATGAAGCTTTTTCTAGGAAGTTACCATTCTAAGAGATTTTGGATTTGCTGCCAAAATAGCTGATTAATTTGATCTTTTTTCTGAGTTAGCACATTCTAAACTTCAGGGGATATAAAAATGATTGAGGTTTTCAGAGGTGAACACTAGTTTGCTTATTTGAATTATTAAATTGAATTAGAATAAAGGCCAGGCAGTTATATTCATCTAACCATGACCAAGTGAGTGGATGGTATTATTTAGGGGTGCCTTTAAGACTAAATTTCTGGTTCCTGATTCCCTCTCTGATAAGCCTGCTTTCATGAAGTTACTGTTTTAAGTGCTTTCAGCATATCCAACCCCACTCTGGAACTCCATCCCAGAGTCCTTTCGACTCTCCCCTTCCCTCACCTCCTTCAAGCTCTGCGCCGTTGACTCGCGCTTTTGGCAATTTTCCTCCTTCGACCTCCACCCCCAGCTCAGGTGCAAATGTCTTGGAATGTCCTGATGTGAAAAGTGCTATATAAATTTTGATTTGTTTATCAATTAAATTTATAAATCTTATGTACAAAGTGAGAAGTTTGTATTCCTGTATTTAAGATCAATTTATCTTCTGTGTACAGTTTGCATTAAGTTTGTATAATTATACAGTTAAGTAAAAGAGTATAGCATTGTACAAGTTTTGTAATGGCAAATATCTTGCCTGACAGTGTACCTTTTAACACACTGGGTACCCAGATGTTGTCACTGCTCTTTCAAACCATTCAGTAAATGAGCATTTTATCTGCTATATTTCATATTTTAAAGGGTGAAAGATCACGGGAGAATAAAATGCTAAGTATGCATTATCATTGTTATGTAATGTGATTATCCGCTAAGATCTTATTTAATAATCCTTGCATTTGATATTGTGCATTGAAAAAATATGTGGGTGGAGGAGATTGCCAACCATATAATTTTCTGACTGAAGAGCAAAGTGATAATCTGTGGAAGGAAACAAATAGAAATATAAACATTGTTAACCTATAGGACACTACACAAGAGAAGGGTTTAGAGGTACTAATGAATTGATCACTAATATCAACAGAAAAATGTACAACAAAAGGATAATAATACTTGCATTTGATATCGCGCTTTTTACGTCTTCTCGATGTCTCAAAGCGCTTCACAGAATAGACTGTAAAGTGAATTGACCGAATATTCATGGGCAAAGCGCGGCAGCCAATTGCGCACAGCAGTGTCCCACAAACAGTCGTGGATTGAAAATGATCAATTATTGTTTTGTTTTGGAGGGATTATTTATTAGGCGTGTGGAGTAAGGAAACTTGCCCAAGGTTTAGCCCTGCCTGGAGTTGAACCCAGGTGTCTCCCTTGCAAGGCAAGTGCTCTAACCACTGAGCTACAGGACTCCACGTATAGAGTATACTCCATGGATAGAATATAACTGACAGGATGTGAGATGCTGCATGCATGAAGGGCGCTACAAACTTAAATACAAGTTTTTGTTGAATTTGTTGCAGATGAGAACAAAGTTTTACCCTGTACAACAACAAAATTACATTTGTATAGCCGTCGGAGGACGTCCCAAGTAGTTGGACAATCAGTGTTTCGGACCCTGACCTGAGCCCTGGTTAAAATCGCTATATTTTGTGGGCATTTTGAAAATCAGACTGAGTCTGAGACAGGGAATGGTGAGAGAGTTGGAACAGTGCAAGTTGTAGATGGGGCAATAGTTTATGAGAGAGAGTCTAGTTTTGAGAATGGGGATGAAGAATACATTCGTTTTGAAAGAACGTGCAGTTCCATTAGGTGGAGAGAGGTTTACATCTTGTTAGCATGGGACCAAGAAGAAGCAGATCATCATAATCCTTGCATCTTTTATGTCACCTGTCATGCTGGGAGGATGTCTCAAAGCGCTTCTCAGGAGGTATGCTCTAAAGTACGTAATGCACATCTTTTGAGCTGTCAATTTCTGTGGTCCTTTACGTAAATGGGACTTAAAGGATTATCTCTTTAAACGATCCAGCGCACGCTCACAATGAGCTGAATGGCCAACTTCTGTGCTGTAAATTTCTATAGTTTCTGTGGTGTAGTGACTCTTGTTGGGAACAGGAGAATTGTAAGTATTGTTCAGTTTATACCCTTTATGAATTGCAATACTTGAATAAGATCTACACTGAGCATTCTTTTAGTGAGAATGTTCCCAATTTATTCAGTGTTTCCTGAATATACAACCGGAATAAGCAGATTGTCATTAAATTCAAGAAGAAAATAGCTATTTGGTAAGCAGTTCAATTAAATGGTATGAGTGTGTAGTGTTGTGAGTGTTTTGTTTTAATTGTGGGACAAGGCAGATAAGCCCAAATGATTTTTCTTGTACTTATGAAACTTGGCTAGTTCTGATGCATTGTTAAGTTTACACTGATCATTTTCCAGCGCAGTGAGCTTCCCAATTTTATTGTTCCTGGTAAGTGAAAATGTTTGCCTATGGAACATATGAAAAATATGCAGGCAAGTTACCCCAGCCTGCTGTTGCTAACGCCCAGTTACAGAGAAGTTTTGACAGGTGCTTGGGAGCAAATCCCTTGCATACCATCTTGAAGTAGCACAAGGAAGTGTAAGGGGGGTGGGTTGCAGAAAGGATCAAGTAACTTTCAGGAAGGAAAAACCCACTTATTTAGAGAAGTTACTATTTAGATTCCTTTCACAGATATAATTCCTTTCCATTCAAGGCAATTTAAGTTTCATTGGTTTCAAAGATTAGTTAATTTGATTGCCTCAAAAGTTAATGCTTCACAAATGTGCTGTACATTTGCACACAAACTGGACATTAGTTAGCAGTTCAATAACATTTACACTTCAGGGCTCTACTAATCCTTTCAGGCATTGCTAAAAGACATAAATCTTTCTTAGTTCTTAAGGAATGCGTAATTTTGCATTTTGACAGTAATGCGATTTTGTTGAGTTGCCACAGCTTTGTAAGGTTGGAAGTCTGGAAAGCTTTCAACCATTCTGCCCCTGCTCTACAGAACTCTATCCTGCAAGGTTCTTCTTCAACAACCCCTCATTCTTCACATTTAAAGCCCACTTGAAGACCTTAATTTTTTCAATTGTGCTTTAGGTCACCTTTCTCTTCCATTTTCCTCAGTTTCCCGCACTCCTAGTCAGCTCTGTAAAGCGCTTTGAGAGATCCTCCTGACTTGAAGTGCAATAAAAATGTAAATTTGCATTCTTTTTGTCATGTCATTTGAAGAACTTTGTTTCCACTGGAATTTTTTTCTATTTGTGCCAGTTATCTCTCCTGAAGCTCCTGACTCAACTTGGGTCAGTCATGGGGGACAAAGCAGGTGCACATATAGGTTTGTGTTAAGTAGGTCACTAGGATTTGCCACAAAATCAGATGCTCTGTTTCTTAACAGACTTATTTCATAATTCCAAGCATACATGTGAGAAAAGCTTACAGTTCTGTACTTGCGGGTGGAGAGTGGAGAAAAGCATATATATATATATATAGAAAGTTTTATCTACATATGCAGAAATGCATTCACTCAAATGAAAAGGAGGGCTATTTCATAGAATAGAAATTAGCCACAAACTTTTCTTACAAGTCGGAGAACCATTTTTTGGTGGGGAGGGTATAAATGCATACTTTAACATAAGAAGACATGGAACAAATGAAGGTCATTGCAATTCTTCCACAGAATGGGAAGCTTGCCAGACAGTGCTGAATGGCACGCTATGCGGTTTTAGCAGGTTAAACTTCAGCAGTACCCCAACACGCACTCAAGGCTCCCTAAATCTTGATCCCCCCCACTTGTACTAATACTTTACAGAATTACAGAGTGCACAATCTATTCCAGACGCAGGGAAATTTGAAATTTCAACATATGGCATACATACGTGGAACTGACTGGTTTGGCTACTCTTAAGCATGATTACGGGTTTCTGAATACATCAGCCAGCTGACCAAAATATGAATATCATTGCAAATTTATGTATAAATAACATTCTGATCTTGAAAAGAAATCACATACAAAAGATTTATTAATTTTCACTGTTCAATCCTGCCTCTTGCCCTTCAGACATTGTTTTCTCTCTTCTCCCCCCCCCCACCCCTGCCTTCTAACGCCATAGTGTTCCACTGGAGTCATTTATTAGTCTTTCTGGCCCTATAACTTCCATTTCCATTTTTGACCAGTTATTTCAACACCAGTGTAGTGTGATAGGCTGTCCAAAAGCCTGTTGTGAACATGTGAGCATGTTCACCAGTTTTCTTATCTCAACCCTGTGCTAATTCAAGGGGTTCAACTTTTGAGACTGAGGAATGAAAATTAAGTGAATCTGGACACTACTCCCAATTGACAGTAGAACAACATTTGTAGAGTTTGGGGAACAAATTCCCAGTCTCCTCAGCAGGGAATATTCTCAATATAGGTGGGGGAGAGGGACTGAAAAGAAAATGGAAGGGAAATATTGCTCTATTTTAAAATGTAATTAAGTGAAAAAGCAAGGAGAACCAACTAAGCAGGCAGTTTGTATGAATTTCTTGTCCCATCAAATTTCGTGAAGCTAATTCTGTTCTTGCCTCTTTCAGGAGGATTTTTAATCCCATATGTGATCATGTTAGTTGTAGAAGGGCTACCTTTGTTCTATCTGGAGCTGTCATTAGGACAATTGCTACGTAAAGGAAGCATTGGAGCATGGAAAACGATCAACCCGTATTTGGTTGGAGTTGGTATGTAATGTCATCCTGTTTATCTTTAAAGTTTAATACCATACAATGACCCTTGGTTTTGTTGAGTAATTGCTTTTTTCTTTATTAAATAGGTGCTGCGAGTGTTGTTGTATCATTTTTGGTCTCAGTGTATTACAATGCTATAGTGGCCTGGAGCTTCTGGTATCTATTTCATTCATTTGAGGTATGTTGATTTAAGAGGATTTGATTTGGAGATAAACTATACAAAGATGAGACCTATTTAATTCTGCTTGCCAGACATCCTGTTTCTCATTTTTTTTAACCTAATTTTTCCTATGCAGTTAAAGTTTTCTATTACCTTTTCTCTTTTTAAAACTAACTTCCCCTCATTTGTATTCCTCCTGGTTTCTGTTGTCCATTTTGAGCCAAATTGATTTAAATGACTGAGGGAACTTGATTCATTTTTCTGTTTTTTCCTCATTTCTCTCTTTTCAGCAAGAGTTTAATTTTTGTTTTATCATTTGGTGTTGGTTTTGTAACATACCCGGATCTTGGGAGTTGACAACTAAGTATGCTCTCTGCAATGATTGTATAATAATAATAATCCTAGTCTTTGATATATGCATTTAATACATAATTGTATATAATCATTCCACTGTAATATCACTCATTTTCTGTACTGATATCGGTGCTATTTCAGCAAAATACAATGTACGTAAAATCATTACTTGGTTTTGCCATATGAAACTGTCCAGTAACTTGTGTTGACTTCAGTGGTTTAACCTGAGTCTTTTTCCCCCATCCCATTCACAGAATCCTCTGCCCTGGGCTAGGTGCCCTTTAACTACCAACAGAACTGAGTATGTTGAAGAATGTGCCAAAAGTTCCCCCACTGAATATTTCTGGTACAGAGAAACTTTAAACATCACTTCCTCAATTAACGAACCTGGGACCTTCCATTGGGGAATGGTTCTTTGCCTCATATTATCCTGGCTAGTGGTGTATCTCTGTATCATTCGCGGAACTGAATCTACTGGCAAGGTAACTTTTTGAAAACAGAGACCCTTTAGTGAGGTATTCAGTTGAACATTATTATTGGAACACATGTATCAATGTTTTATGGAGCAGGTGAGCACATATCAAGGCTTGCTAGTATGAGAAGTTGGAAATGTAATTTTATCAATTTATTGATACATGTCTTAAGAATTAAGCTACTGAAAGATCTGAATGTGACATCATCCTGATTATTTTGAAGCTGTAGAAGGTTACTTTTCTAAATTTGTTATGAATGACATGAGGGTCTTCATTTCAGCCCTATGAGATTGAAAGGCAACTATTTCCCTCTAAAGCCAAATTGGCAACCAGACAAGTGGTTTGGATGTGATTGAGCTGTTGCAATAGCTCCTCGTTCACTTATTTCCTTGAATTTTACACAATTGGAAGTAGCGATAATAGGTTATAAATTTTGACATCTGATTTGATTGTTACTGTGGGCACTTTGCATGCCTATCATCCCATCTCACCTGGTTCTCAGAGATCAATTTCATAATTCTTACCTACAAATCCCTTCAACTATAGCACTCCTCTCTTTCTTACCTCGGCCCCCCTCTACTTAGCTATCTCCTGTCTCACCATCAGTGTGAGTTTTCTGATTCAGTGCCCCTAGCCTCTGGAACTCTCCCTCTACTCCTTCATTTTCTTACATCCCTGTCTCTTGTTAAGTCCCATCTTAAAAAGTAACTAGGTTTCAAACAAAACTATCACCACACATTCATGTCACCAGGTCCAGTAGTCTTTCTAGGATCAAACCTTAAAAGTATTTAACTTGCTTATAGCTGATCTTGACAAGTGATCTTATACTTCAGTAAGATTTTGATACCTGATCTGACATCCAGATCCATCATGAATTTAAAATTAACTTTTTTTAAAAAATTATACTGCCTTATACTAATTTTATAAGTTGCCAATGAATGCTCCCTTCTAGCTATTCAAGTTTGGATTTTCTAAAAGTTAAGAGCAATCTTTTCAGGGCCCTTCAGGGTGCTTGGTAAGTGAAAAAATACAGTTACTGCACTTTACTATCTATCTATATATATATATATCCTTTGATGTACTTTGAGATGTTATCTTGATGTGAAAAGTGCTATATCAAATAAAGATTATTAATCAGCTTGTTTAGCAACACGGTAAGGGTGCTTTTTGCAAGATTGTTGAAAGTGGGAGCTAGTACCTTGACCTAGAGATAGTACTCATTAACTTTCCCTTTGCAGAAGTCGCCCTAACCTCTATTAAAAAAAGGTTACATAGTGAGGAAGAAAGCTACACATTTTGTCCTGTTACATCATTGTGTTGTCTTCAATAAACTAATGAAATATTTCCCGAACAATTTATCATAACCTTTCCCATTTAACATTTCTTTTGATAAGATACATCTATGTGAAATTGTCAGAATTAGCACAAACTAGTATTTTTTAAAAAAATAAATCAAGCTGCTCTCATGGTTTGAAGCCAGGACAGTATATAAAGTAAATAGTTAATTGTTCCTTTTGGAGGAACACGCAATATTGGCACGTTTGACTGATTCCTAGTTTCTAGTAATCCATCAGTAATCAATAACATTGGATGGAAATTTGACAAGAAAATGATTAGTAGAGCTTGTAAATTAGTGAGACTAATTATGCCAATTACATTTTTCTTTTAAATAGGTGGTGTATGTAACTGCCTCTTTTCCATACCTGGTGCTCCTTATATATCTAATTCGAGGAGTGACCCTCCCTGGAGCAGTGAATGGACTCAAGTATATGTTCACACCAAAGGTATTGTACTATAGTGTTTGATAATAATGATTTTAGGTGAAAAATATTGTGCAAGCTAGTGCACTAGGAAGGTTATTTAGGGGCACGTGTTCTAATTTTGCCTGCTTATTCCTTGATATTTTTAAACAATCCATTAATAAATCTATTTCAGTATTTCTCTCATAGCTTGGCTGACACAGGGAGAATCAATCAGAACATTTCCTTAATATTTAGTACACTGCTAATGCTCTGATTGATGGGAGGCAGGAAAAAGGCCCTTTCTCCACATTTTGATGCCTCTGTATTCTTTAGACTGTTAAGTGAATTATTGGTAGGCTGAGAATAGATTCTTAACTAGTTTATACCCTATATTGTTAGCTCTGTGTCGCAACTAGTTTTATATTCCATAAGCTCTTTACTAGTAGTCTATATATTCACGTATAGATTTGCATTTAGTTTGTCTCCTGGCTTAGGTTTATATTCCATAAATCCTTTGCTAGTATTTTTGTGCATGCCAGGTAGCCAAATCACCACTTCCCATTGAATATTCAAAGCTAAATCATAGCTACCCATCCATGGATGAAATTTGATCTCGCATTGGCCTTTAGAGGTTTGCAATCCTGTTTATCATAAAATTTGTAAAGTTGGCTTCTTTGAGACTAGAGTGAGTTCTGTGCACCATTCCTTAACAATTGGCAAAGCAAAGAGAAAATGCAAACAAACCTTGGCACAATCCACTGGCAAGTCTTTATATTAAGGGCTAGGTTTGTACTTCTTTTTTTCAAGTGGAATTAGTCTATCTTTTATTTTTATGAGTTCTTATTTTTTTAAGGGTCAAATTCAGAGGAATACATCTATTATGTATATTTAAGTTACCAGAGTGGTTAAATTCCCTGATATTACTTACAAAATAATAACAAAACTTTCCACTACTGTCATTACATAACCCAATCCATTAGACTTTAAAACCTCAAATGTTGTTTAACAGTTTATTCATTTAATATTTAGCACTTTTTTATTGTACCTAATTGAGATGATGTAACTTGTTAATGTGTAAACCTGTAGCAAGTGCTTAGTTGATATTAAACAATCGTCAATTTGATCTTGATGTCTAAGGATACATCATAACGATAGCATAATATTTTCTTTGTTCAGCTATTTGAGCGTATTAAGAAACTTATTGTAATTTTAGTTATCCTAATCTAATCCCTATTTTAATTACTTTAATTTTAGCCTTTAGTTTTTCACAATTGATATCTTGATTTGGTCATAATTTGATTTTAGTTCAAAGGAGCCTTTCTCGGGCCATTCCATTCATCTTTGGCCTCCAATCAATGCCACTTGCTGCTTTTAAGATTTTTATCGACTGTCATGGGAACTTATTCACTGTTACTCAATGGAATTGATTAGCACAACCAATCGATTCCCTTGAACACCATATACCTTCTAAAGTTGTGAAACTTACTCCAATATAAGCAAGAAGTGTCAATGCAATTTTTTCATTTATTTGAAGTCTATCCTGGTTACATGATGTCAAAACTTAGTTCCCAGGATTAATCAAGCCCTGAGTATAGGACATATTTTCCAACTTCAATCAAGTGGGGAATCAATTTGAAGCAGGCAGAGATCACTAGAGAAATTTGAAAATGCCTTGCCCAGTAATGTTTGCACAACTAATCAATTCAAGCAAAGTTGGCGATTCTGCAGTAAGTTTAGGATTGGGCAAAATAAGTGCTGACTAAAGCAAGAAATCTATTTTGCTAAAATGGAGTGACCATTCCTGTAAGCACAGACTTCTTCAGTCAGTACTTTCGCCCTAAAAGGTGAATCAGCAATAATGATATGACTACTAATAATAAGCCAATCAATAATGACACTGTCAGTTAATCAGTATTGGTTAATGTCACTCTTGTATTGATAAGCATTCTGCAGATGAAGCAAATCTTGATTTAGAGGATTTATCTTGCCTCTTGAAAGTAATGCATTATTGATCATTGATACCCTGTCTGAGCAGATGGATTTAATCCAGTTGGTCATACTGGAATGCAAGTATTGATGCCTTCTCCCATGCAGATATACAAATTATTAGACTGAATGATGCCAAAAACTGATCGTCTGACCTAAATCAAGTGGATTTAATCTTGAACTGATATTCATCCTATCCTCTTTGAAGACTTTTGATTTGAGCTATATTTATCAAGATCTACAAGCTATGTATGACATTGGAATTTCTAAAAGAGAAATGAGATTGGTGTGCAATATCTAATAATAATAATCCTTGCATTTGATATAGCGCTTTTCACGTCGGGAGGACGTCCCAAAGCGCTTCACAGAACACACTGTAAAGTGAATTGACTGTATATTTGTGGGCGGACGCGGCAGCCAATTGCGTACAGCAATATCCCACAAACAGTCGTAGATTGAAAATGATCAATTATTGTTTTTGGAGGGATTATTATTAGGCTCTGTGTGGAGTAAGGAAACTTGCCCAAGGTTTCGCCCTGTCTGGAATTGAACTCGGGTCTCTCGCTTGCAAAGCGAGTGCTCTAACCACTGAGCTACAGGACTCCACCTGTACAAGTTCAAGAGTTTATTCTTGTATGGACTTGCTTGCCAGATTAATTGAGTTCTGCAGAAAGCCAATTTGAGGCTGTGCAGTGAGTGCTCTGGTCAGATCCAATCTGAAATGCTACCTACCGTTCTTGTTGCAACATAAGGCACCGCCCAGGCCTTCAAGGCAGTGCAGGAGAGGCTTAACTAGTCTGATCCATAGGATTGGAGCAAAGAATGCTGAGGATGACTAAGATGGGAAGGATAAGATCAAATGGCTACCTTCATCTGGACTTCTTGTGAAGTCTTTGGCATTTTGATTGTCATGTTTCAAAGAGCTGAGTGTTCTGAGAAAATTTGAACTGCCTGTTATCTTTCAAGGAACAGAATTTTCTGTTGCATTATGGCACACTTGGGATTCTTTATGTTGGAATATAATTGTAATGATTGCCCCTGAATGTGAAGGCTATCTATTTGTTACTGTTTGCACTTTAGGACTTAATGCAGATTAGTAATGCATTAAATGAGATGACTCAGAGAAAAATATGGGCAGTAGTTAGTGATTTGTTGTATTGTGCTTGTGGCATAATAGCACAAAACATGGGTGGCTGCTGCTCCTTGTATTGTGGAGTCGACTTAAACCGTTCGATCCACATTGATTTACAGACTTGTAAACCATGTTCATTGGAATAAAATCCCTAGACGTTTCCTTTATTTGAAATGTCATGCTTGAGTTGGGATATAACACTATTCCACACTCGCAGTAGAATACTTCAGAAGCAGTTATAAGATATTGTTGCACTATAATCAGTTTTTGCTGGTGCGCTTCCAATGAAATTTGGATCTGTCCCCTTGGTACGCAAGTAATTGACTGTATACTTTGCTCTCATAAAACTTTGATTACATGTAACTCAAGGTAATCTCCTGATTGATTATCAGGTGATAAATGATGGAGTTGAAACCAAACATTTCAAAAGTCCTTCTTGAGCATAGGTGAAGTTTCGATGTACGGTGGGGATGGGGTCGGTGTTTATTCCAATTTTCATAGAATGGTTTAAAATCTGAGGTTCTAAAGAGAAGTTCCATTATAGGGTATATTCTTAGGAAATATAGCAACCAACTTTGCACACAGCCTTGAGATCAATTCAAAATGGATTTTTTTTTACAATTTGTGGAAAGCAAACTGTTTCCACGATGCATTAAATCTAAAACTAATGTTGCGGCAAAAACACTTATTAATTCGCAATCATTTTTATTCTTTTTTTTAAAACTCAAACGGAATATTTAAAGATTTGTTTTTTGAAAAAGTCATCAAAAACTGGCTTTTTAATGAGCTGCACTGGTCCAGTAATTTTCCATGAAAAATTCTGTAATACAATTTTGAAGAAGTCTCAAGAGGAAGGGCTGTTATTCAAAAGTCCACACTGTTCAGAAAAGATTATTTTTCTACTGTTTCACTTTTATTATTGAACTTTTTGTTATTCCTCCATGTTTTCAGTGTTTAATTCAGTTGGGGGGAATCCCTGTTCTTTGTGACTAGTCTGCCTCACAAAGTCCTGCCAATGAGCCAGTTTGGCTGATCTGCCATCAACTGTGCCCTGGAGAAATGCAGACCTATCGGTCTCAGATCACTGAAAACGGATTCTTGCCACTCAGCTCCTGTTAAACCTTGCAAGCCCGAACCTTAATGGGTAGGTGGTTCTAGTTTGACAAGAAGCAGGAAGATTACCAAACAGTGCTCTCAATGGCAAGCTATGCATTATTGGATGGTTAATCTCCAGCAGTAGCCTAGCACACACTTCATTCCATTCCAGATGCAGGGAACTTTGTGTGGCGTACATATATAGACTATATCCTGCATTCTGGTTCAGATCCTTTTAGTGGGCTGATGGGTTTTCCTGTGTTAGACTTCGCTGACCAAACAAAGTTAATTAGATTGTTTTTTTTAAGTTTCTTGTCATTTGAAGTTACTCTATAATGTCTGTGTGTTTGTTCTATAGTTTAAAAAAAATCTGATAGTTATAATTGATTTCCCATTCACGCTGAATTCTGTTGTGTTTTCAGATTGAAGAGTTGATTGACCCAAAATCCTGGATTGATGCCGCCACACAGATTTTTTTCTCACTTGGGTTGGGTTTTGGCAGTCTGATTGCATTTGCCAGTTTCAACCAGAAAAATAACAATTGTGAGAAACAAGCAGTTATCATTGCTTTCATTAACAGTCTGACATCTGTATTTGCCAGCATTGTCACCTTCTCTATATATGGCTTCAAAGCTACACATAATTATGAAAGCTGCCTTGACAGGTAAGTGTATATTAGAATAAAATAATCTTAATATATTGCACCTTGCTCTTCCCTTTTACCTACAATAATCTAACAATTCTATATTTAAACAAAACCACCTTATCTTCCCAGTTTATTCCTTTGCTATCTTAAATTGATACTCTGGCTCTAACTAGCAGAAATCCTAATCTTCACGCAGAGGGTAGTGAGATTGTCAAAATCGCTGTCTAAAGAAGTGGTTGAACCAAATAGTATAGACGAGATAGATCCCCAACTCCTCCCCCCACAGGCTGCAGATCATCCAGAACTCTGCAGCCCATGTCCTCTCCCGCACTAGGCTCCGCGACCCCATCACACCCATCCTCTGCCTTGCTTCTCCCTACCTCTGACCTCACAACTATCATGAGCAAGATTAACCAACCTGTCTACTCGCTCAGCGGGCTCCAGCCTGCTTCACGTCCCCTGCCTTGCAGTAGGTCTTAAGCCTTTCTGCCCCCACCCTCTGGAACTCCACCACAGTCCCTCCACCTCATCCCCTCCTTCGTCTCCTTCAAGACCTGTCTTAACATCCTCTTAGACCGTGCCTTCAGTCACCATCCTACCCCTACCCTCCGTCCCTCCTGATCCCAACCACCAGCTCAGGTGTAGATATCCTTGGGACATCCTCCTAACATGAAAGGCGCAATAGAAATGTAATTTGTTGTTGTTGTATAGATCCATTCAAGAGGAAGCTAGACCTTCACATAAGGAAGAGTGGAATAGAGGGTATGGGAGGGAATAAGGAATGGGTGAAAACTTGTATGGAGTATAAATATCAGCTTGGACTAGTTGGGCTAGTTATGTTTCCGTCTTTACATTCTTTGTAAATTAAGCAACTACATTGTGTAATCTAATTTAAATATTCAATTCATGTAATAAAGATTCTTCCTCATTTTATATCCTCCACAATATCACTAGACTTTGGTACTGATATTTTATAAGGGGGAATAACTATTATTTTCCGTAAGGCCTTTTGATGTTGTGCAACCTGCTGTGGAGGACATCGTTCATGATTCCATTCCCATGATCTATATCAGTGCAGTTCTGATGTATCAGCACAAGCCTGTTTATTTTTCCCCACTTTCAATGCCGCTTGGCAAGGCTGGCCTATTTTTCACCTCTAGCTGTGAGATAAATATACATTGTCTTGTACCAAATGCCAGTCCAAAAGTGGAATTCTATAGTTCAGTAATTAGAGCACCCAAGAGACCTGGGTTCGATTCCTGGCAGGGCGAAATATTGGGCAAGTTTCCTTACTCCACACATTTCTGTTTACCTAGTGGTAAGTAGGAACCCGGTTGTTAGTCGATTGGCGAATCGCTTTTTCAGGGTAATAATTCCTTCGAAAAAAATTATAATAAATTGGTCACTTCAATCCACTACTGTCTGTGGGATACTGCTGTGTGCAATTGGGTGCCGCATTACAAAAATATACAGTCAATTCACTTTACGGCATATTCTGTGAAGCGCTTTGAGAAGTCTTAAAGACTTGATAAGGTGCTATATCAAATGCAAGTATTATTATTAAGAAATATTCATCAATCACCTTTTATCACCTCTGTGGTAAATGAGTAAAGAAGTCATTTGATTTGTGAGACATGATCTACACTTCACAAAGTCATGTTGGCTCTATAATCTGTGCAGAATTATCTAGATGCTCAATTATTTTGCTCATGATGGATTCTAGTAATTAGCCCACTGCTGATGTTAAATCTACACATGTAGGTGCATACTTTGTCTCTTCCTTTCTTTTGAATAATGGCATTACAGTTTGTTGTCCTCCAAACTACAATTCCTGATTCTATTAAACTTTGGAAATTTATGACAAATTCTACAATCTCTTTCCTTATTTCTCTTAGTACCCTAGAGATTGAAACTGTCTGTACCTATCGATTTATCTGACTTCAGACCTATTAGATTATTACTTTGTTTCTGTATAATTGAGCTTAAGTTTCTCCCTTCCTAAATTTCAGCCCCTCCTGAACCTCCGGTGTTTCATCTTCATTAAGACTATGTATTCTATTTCTAGATAATCCAACCCAGAAAGTCTGCAAGCCTTAGCCAACTCTTTAGAATAATTAGCAGTAATGTTAGTCGACTGACGGATCGCTTTTCTGGGGGTCAACCCTTTAAAAAATAATAATAATAGTTTGGTCATTCCATCCATGACTGTTTGTGGGATGCTGCTTTGATCAATTGGCTGCCGCGTTTCGCCCACAAGATATACAGTCAATTCACTTTACAGCATGTTCTGTGAAGCACTTTGAGCCGTATCGAAGACTTGATAAGGCACCATATCAAATGCAAGGATTATTATTATTCTAATGAGGTGCTATACCAAATTATTAATAATGGTGTGTTTTTTTGATTACAGGATGGTATTGCTACTTATGAACACTTTTGATTTGATGGAAGGAACAATAACTCACACAAATCTTAAAGAATGGATGAATTTCCTGAATTCAACAGATCCAGACAAGTTTTCTACACTTATTCCCCATCTTGAAACGTGTGATCTACAATCTCAATTAGACACGGTATTTTAATACTTTTCTTTCTGAAAATGAGATTTGCTCTTTAAGGCATTTTTTATAAAATTTAAACTGCATACAAGTTAAAGGATGCAGTTTCCCTCTCAACTTTCTCCCCCTTTTCTTTGATGAAATGACAACAGTCAGAATACTCATGTTTTTATGAGGAGGATAAACAGAGAATAAAATGCCTATAGTGAATTATAAAATACCAATGCAATAGAGAGGTTTGCATATTTTCAGTTGGCAACAATCAAATTATGTTCACGTGGCCCCTTTCATGTTGGGAGGACGTCCCAAAGCGCTGAAACAGCTTGCATATGAGAATTTAAGGATGTTGACTAAAACCTTGGTCAGAGGAGTTTGAAAGTTTTGAAAGCAGGGAGACGAGACAAAGGAAGTTTAAGAGAGAATTTTGAAGGAGGAAGTGAGAAATTACCAATTAGACCATAGTCATTGGAGTGGAGGAATAGATCCAAAGGAAATGTTATAGATAGAGGTCTTAAATTTAAGTAGAGCCAACTTTGCTGGTATGAGAGAGGATTTAGTTAAAATAAACTGGGAAATTAGACTTAAGGATTTGACAGTAGACCAGCAAAGGCAGATGTTTAAGGAGATAGTGCAACATTCCCAGCGAGCACGTATTCCTTTGAGGAATAAGAATGCCACGGAAGAGGTGGGGCCCAACCGTGGCTAACTAGAGCAGTTAGGGAAAGTATAAAGTTAAAGGAAGAAGCCTATAATACAGCTAAGATGACTAGTAAACCCAAGGATTGGGAGAACTTTAGGGATCTACAAAGGAGAACCAAAAAAGTGATTAAGAGGGAGAAAATGGAATATGAGGGCAAACTACTGAGGAACATAAAGACAGACTGCAAGAGTTTTTACAAATATATAAAGAGGAAGAGGCTGTCAAAGGTAAATGTGGGTCTGTTAGAGGCAGAGACGGGGGGAATTATAGTAGGGGACAAAGACATGGCAGAGTCATTAAACAAGCTACTGTCTTCACCTTAGACACTGAAAACCTACCAAGAATAGAGGGGAACCAAGAAGACAATGCTAGCAAGCAACTTGGGGAAATTAATATTAGTAAAGAAATGGTTTTAGGTAAAGTATCAGATCTTAAAACTGATAAATCCCCTGGACCCGATGGCCTACATCCTAGGGTTTTAAAAGAGGTGGCTACTGAGATAGTTGATGGCTTGTCTTTGATCTTCCAAAAATTTTTGGATTCTGGAACGGTTCCCATTGATTGGAAGATTGTAACGTAACACCACTATTTAAGAAGGGTGGGAGAGAAAAGATGGGGAACTATAGACCAGTTAGTCTGACATCAGTGGTTGGGAAAATTCTTCGAGTCCTTAATTAAGGATGTTGTTATGGGATTCCTGGAAGACCATGACAAGATTAGGCAGAGTCAACATGGCTTTACAAAAGGGAAGTCATGCTTAAATAATCTTTTAGAGTTTTTTGAAGATGTATCTAGCAGGTTAGATAGGGGGGAACCAGTAGATGTAGATGCACGGATGTGGGGGGGGGTGAAGGACAGTGGAGGGTCGAACAGGGTGTCGAGGTTCTGTATTGTAACCTTAATTATAACCGTAATTTATGAGTTCCTTTCTAATGTAAAGTTTGCCTCAGTATTTTTGCAATTGGCTATTACAGAAGAATGAATAATTTATGTTGTATCCACTCATTGGTTTGCCCATTAGCAAATTCATTTCAGGGCAATTCTTATTTTCCTTTTTGATGCTTCTTCACAGCAATATAATTAGTCTGAAGCACAAAACCACGTGTATCTAAGCCTGGTTCACCAGCATCTTACAGATGAGGTTTAATGATTTCGGGACTTGGAGGTTAACAATTAATTCAGGGGACGTTTCATCTCGTCGTCGTTTTATTGTGAGGTTTTTATTTTTCTCCTAGGCTGCTGAAGGCACTGGACTTTCATTTATAGTCTTCACTGAAGCAATTGTGAACATGCCTGGACCGTCCCAAATCTGGTCCGTTTTGTACTTTTCAATGCTGTTGATGTTGGGAATTGGTAGCATGGTGGGAAATACAGCGGGAGTTATCACTCCTCTCAGTGACATGAAGATCATTTCAAAACATATGCCAAAAGAGGTCATGACGGGTAAGGCTGATTAGCTTACACTTTCTTTCTGTGCCTCACCAAGGTGTGAGGGCTATCAGTGCTGGAGAATGGAACACTTTTCCACGTTTTGCAGCTAGTCTCAGCCTTGAGCACTCCCTGGGTGGGTGTAACATAGACCAGGGGCAGAGTAAAGCTCCCTCTACTCTGCTCCAACAATGTGCCTTAACCCCAACCCAGAGGGGCACCCCATCCCCCCCATTGCACTTGCATGATTTCTTCCACTGCCCGCATCACCAATCCTTACTTCTCTGAGTGAAATTGAACATTTATTACCATTTAGTGTCTAATGGTGTTCAGTTTTGCGTTAAGGACTCACACCCTCTAGGAACTGGGTTGAGATTGCCCCAAAGTATATCATGTAGGACCATTTCAGCCAGCGGAGAGAGAGGAGACTTTCATCCCATCAGTCTGGACTGCATTGAAACAAATTATAATAAAGTAAGAGTATAGTGCTAATGCACTGTATTAACCTAGTCCCTGTCTGCTTGCATTTTCAAAAGGTGTATTTTGATACTTCTGAACTTGCGCTGACAACAGACATACTTGACTCCACATGTTCAAATTCTGCCTTGGTGATCAGTGTCATTGTTTTCTTTTTCTAATTTTTTTCCTTCCCCTCCTTTTTAGTCATCTTCCCGGTTCCCCCATGCCACACTTCATGATGAAGACCGTGGATAGGCAACCTGCTCCTAGGCTAGGCCTCTGCCAGTGGTGCTATGGTGCTTTTGAGCCAGCTGCTAGGAGGTGCACAACAACAGCCAAGGGTGACTCACATGCCTTTTGTTTTGTTTTTCTTCTCTCAGTGCCTCCCCGGCCAGCATGGTCAAGATCGGGAACTTGCCATATGGGAAATTGCCATTGCAGCACGTTGTGACGCCACACTGCTGAGTATTTGTCAGATTTTATCTGATTTTGGAAGGAAAAATTGTGGGGAGATGGGTGCGGGATAAAATTGGGACTTCAACTTTTCATTAATTTGTAAACTGTGCCATTCAGAACTGCTTTATGTTCAGAAATTTTGGAAGAGTTTAAATGTTGTCCCATTTGAATTTTCTGGGATCCAAAACAACCGTTCAAGTCCACCCAAAAACAGTTTCCTCGCTCAGAGCACAGGGAAAGATAACCCTCAGACCATGTAGTCCCTTTACACCACAGGGTGGGATCTTCATTTTAGTGAGGCTTTCCCCTCCTACCCCCTTCTTCCATCTCTGGCCTGGCCCTGCCCCACCTGACCTGTCTGATGTTAATGGGTCACATTTATTTATATTCTGCCATCCACAGCCAGGAAGTAACACATCTTCCACTTAACTAACATTGAGGGGAACAAAAACAAACCCACTGTGTGCAGTCTTTCACAACTGACTTTGTTTGTTTATTGTTTTATTACAGCAATATAATCTCCATAATGGAAAGAAGGCAAAATATCGATGTGCCCGATATCTCGTGAAAGTAAATCAGTTGACTTTGCCCCAGTTTATATGTTAACTTGTATATCAGAAATGCACCCTTTGCTTTGAGAGCCATGCAAAGGAATGTAACAGTGAGGTATATATTACAGAAAGGACATTTTAAGGGTGATTCTCCGCTGGTCAGTAAATGGAGGGATAATCTGTCTGATTTCCGTTAGCTGTTTGGTAGCGTGCGCTTGGAATGGAACTTATCCATTATAAGCTCAAACTACCTAGGTTGGTAAATGTATCGACCAGTTGAGAATAAAATGCGCTCTCTCACCAGATCATTAAATTTACCGATTGGAGAATCCCCTCATGTTGCATGATGTTTTCTTACTGCTGCTTAGAATCATATGCATCACTTGCGAATCAGCATTTTGATTAAGGCCGTTCTGAAAAAGCAGGTCCTGAAGTGAAACTTTATCCAAGGAGCAAATGGTTGTATCATTAGTAATAATGGGTACAAAACTGAATTAACAAAAAAAGTGGCAAATTTTTTATTGGTGAGTAACTCATGGTGAACATTCAAGAACTTTTTAAAGAGTAATCAACTTGCTAACTTTTGTTTGTCCGCCACGGACACCTTTGCCGATACGTTTCCTGGTGTAAATTATTCAGTTTTATGCCACTATCCTTTACTTTGAGGAGGTTACAGACATAATACAGAATGCGCTGCAGATTCTCCAGAAGCTTCTTCACACGCTCGGGAGAAGAAACAGTTGACTTTTTTAAAAAAAGTTGTTCACTCTTCTGTTCCTGTCTGTTGGACTCATTTCGAGCCCATTTTTGAGTAATTGTGCTTCTCCAATTACTTTTTCAGTAATTTTGTCATTTGTCACCTTGGTGAACTCTCCCAACACTTTTAGGATGAACTGCTTTTCATGTTGGTTATAAATTGGAATGATGTCATTAAATAGGATCACAAATTGTATAACTCAGTCACCATTCAAACCAGAGGTTATACGTTTATACTGTAAAGTTTTTCTATGGTTTCTCCTCAGTTTTAAGCAATGTGTTTGTAATGGGAGTCATGGCATATCAGCTGGTAGCTACTTTTTAAGTTGTTTTCCATACATTAAGCCAGTGTGTGTGTTTTTTCTATTACAGGGATTGTATGCCTTCTAGCTTGTTTGATTGGACTTGTTTTTAACATTGGTTCGGGAAACTACTGGTTTTCTATATTCAACGATTATGCAGCCACTTTGACTCTGTTGCTGATAGTCTTAGTTGAAGTTATAGGCATCTGCTACGTCCATGGAATCAGGAGGTAAGTGAATTTTTTTTGTGATCTTTCACCAACTAATGGTTTTACAGGAAGAATTCTAGTTCCTTTGTAGTATGTCATCCCTCACCAAGGCTCATAGCTGTTGTACTGAATAGTTTGTTGAGGTATACATTATGTTTCAGTGTTCTATATGCTCAAACGCTTCATGTATAAGACTCGTTTTGCCCTATTTTCCTCTTCCTTGTGCCCACCCCATATATTTAAGTGCAAGCACAAAACAAAATGACCAGAAATTTGTTTTTTCAGCTAAATATAGGGGACATTTTACTTGGTTTATAACTACTCTAATTTCTTAATCTCTTCTATCCCATCCTTAGGGTAGTTTTAATGAAGGGAGGAGCTGTTTCTGCCCATTTGATATTTAAACATTATTTCCTGATCTTATTGATGCACAGTTGAACTCCTCAGTGAAAAATGAAGGATTAAAAGCAATAGGGTCTTCCATGAACAAATTCATCTATTTCCCAGTTGTGATTATACTAGAAGTTTTTTTCCTTTCATGCACAACTTTTTTTTGTGTGTCTGCTATAACAAGGATTGAAACTTGAGTTTTAATGAGACTTTCTGCATATAAGTAATGTCATGACCTGACATTACATTAATTCTTATATTTCAGTGCAGCGCCTTTCACATGAGGAGGATGTTTCACAGTGTTGCAAAGTGGAGTGACTTTTGTTTGTGGGTAAACAAAAATTCTATCAGACTTTTGAAGATTAGGCCCCTATCCTCCATTTGTAATACTGACATTCCTTTTATAACCATTCCACAGAGAAGATCTTGGGTTATAAATAGATTTTTCTCCCTGATTGATTTTGTAAATTGGATTAAATGCCTACTTCCTTTCTTATTATGAACTTTTATCTTCCAATTTTTATTTATCAATCTTTACAATAGAATGGAAGTTAAGTACAGCACTGTTTTCCCATACATTTCTGGAACTGTCTGTTTGAGACTATGCAACAAAGTTAAACCATGGAAAAATACAGCCTCTATTTCAAAACCAATGTAGACACTTTTTGGCAAGGTGTCAATTTCAAGTTCAGACCCTCCCACGGTGAACTAATTCAAAAAGCAGTGTTTGCCTTTAGTGCTTACTTGAAGTGGTGCCAAGTTTGGCTCTTGTGCATGAGTCATTTTGAGGTGGAACAGCCATTGATTGTTCTGAGCAGAACAATTGTGAATTTTTCACAATTTAGTATAAATCGGGAGAAAATCTCCAGAGATTACTCCCACATTAACTCTTATGTTGCTCTGTTTCATTACCATTAAAGAAAGAGTACCACTTTTCCTTCAGATTTCTTTCCAAACTTCACTGTCCAGATAATATGTGGAGTCCTGTGGCTTAGTGGTTAGAGCATTCGCCTAATAAGCAAGAGGACCTGGGTTTAATTCCTGTGCAAAGTGAAACATTGGGCAAGTTTCCTTACTCCACACACTTCTGTTTACCTAGCAGTAAGTAAGAACCCGGTTGTTAGTCAATTGGTAGATTGCTTTTCCAGGGGTTATAATCCCCTTTTTTTTTTTTAAAAAGTCAAGTAATCCAAGACTGTTTGTGGGACACTGCTGAGCGCAATTGGCTGCCACGTTTCGCCCACAAAATATACAGTCAATTCACTTTGCAGTATATTCTGTGAAGCTCTTCGAGACATCTTGAAGACGTGATAAGGCGATATATCAAATGCGAGGATTATTATGTTATAATAATATGCAGTTTTTATTTTTAACTCATCTAAATGAGTTCCAGTGCAGGCCAAATTACTCCTAATTCAGGAAATTAATCGACCACTTCAAACTTGTTCATAGAATTTGTACTCCATTTTACTGACCTTATTTGAGCGGTCAAATTAGAATTAACTGTACTTTTTGATTTTGTGTACACCCATAATAGAGCAATATTTTACTTCCCAACTATTTGCTCATTTGCAAAACCACTCTGGACAGATGACAAGTGTCCCATTCCAATGCAGACGATTAATATCAACAAGAAGATTCCATTTATAGAGCGCCTTTCACGTCGGGAGGACGTCCCAAGGCGCTGTGCAGTTGGGTCAGGACCCGAGCAGGGGGGAAATGGTCAGGGTGAGGGGAGGGAAGGGAGCGAGCGAGGAGGGGGTAGAGAGTCGAGAGGGGAGCTGAAGGCACGGTCAAAGAGAAAGGTCTGGAGACCGGCCTTGAAGGAGGAAAGGGAGGAAGCGGCGAAGGCACTGGGGATGGAGTTCCAGAGCCTCGGGACTGAGAGGCTGAAGGCCCGGCCACCGATGGTAGGGCGGTTGGGGCGGGGGATGTGGAGCAGACCGGAGCCAGAGGAACGGAGGGTACGGGCAGGCAAGTAGGGGTATAGTAGATCAGAGAGGCAGGAGGGAGCAAGGCCGTGAATGGCCTTGTAGGTGAGGATGAGGATCTTGAATTCGAATAAAAGCATAAGAGCCAGAGTACATCAATTTTATTTCCAACTGAATGTTATGTGGAGATAGTGTGTCCTGATATAATTCAGGGGTTTAATAAGCTAATTTAGCATTACTAAAATTGTCACCCATTATGGTATGATGCCAAACCAGGCATTGAGACCTCTTCATTCTGACCAACTCAGGACTTATTCTCCTTGGAGAAGTATTCCCTTTGGGGCTGAGTTGTTTTTTGAAGCTGACATGACTGGCAATGGAATGCCACGTACACTCTGGGATCCCTAAGCCTTGGTTCCCCAATATGCTTCATTCTGTAAATGATTACAATTGAGATTTTAAGTATTTGCATTATGTGCTGTTAGAATGGTAACTAATTATAAACTGTTTTTTTTTTTTACAGATTCCGGAATGATATTGAAATGATGATAGGACACAAGCCAAACTGGTACTGGGTGATTACCTGGACTTTCGTAAGCCCAGTGTTAATTGTGGGTCTACTGATATTTTACGTAGTGGATTACATTATGTCTGGAACATTAACATACAGCACATGGAATTCAGTTGAGGTATGTATAAATCAGAGCTTGCTTAGCTATATTTATTTAGACTTATTTAATATAATTATTAAAGCAGAATAAATAGTGATATGGTGATGCATTTGCAATCGGAAGCAGAAATCTTGGCTGATTTGTTTTACCTCCTTCCTGAGCCTACATGATAAATTATATGCCTCAAGCTGTTGCCTTGGCTGAAAACAGCAAACTTGGGGTTTTCCTTACTTCTATGGCTAACTACCACACCAAATAGCAAAAACATTTAGTTTAGGCTATTGTGACGTCCCAAGATAAACCATTTCTGGAGATGGAAATAGAAGACTGTTCTCTAATTCTCAGAATTTCTAGTCTTTCCTCAATGGTTCTCTCAAACCCTTACTGGCCACATAATTTAATAATTTCACGTGGGATGTCCTCTTGATGTGAAAGGTGCAATATAAATGCAATTGTTAACATATTTCTGTACCTTAATAACTTTTGGTTATGAAATATTTATTTGGGTATCAAAGGGAGACTGGGACCTTCCTACAAATTATAGCACAAGGCTATCCTATTCTCTGAATAATATTTCTTCTAAATAAAATCACTCTACTACTCTTAAGGCTACCTAAAACTCTAGCCAACGATTTGAATCTGCCACTTGCTCCAAGAGACTTAGTGAAGAACTAAGAACTTTAAGAACTAAGTGAAGAGCTCAGTACCGCAATAACTCTTCAAATGTTGGCTTTTTAAAATAGCATGTCTAGTGCATTGACTGTAGGGATCAGAGTTAATCACCATAAGCCAGAGGTTTAGAATGATCAAGCCAATCCTAAATCTATGCTTCTATTAATTCATTCACTTATCCTCCGTGAATGTTTCGTGGTTGATTTAATCATTTGGTTGGTCAGTTTATTCTATAAATATTTTTCAAGTGTAGCATGATCCACTCATGAACTCTTCAAAGAGAGGTATGCCTGTCTTTAATAATAATCCTTGCATTTGATATAGCACTTTTCACGTCGGGCGGGCATCCCAAAGCGCTTCACAGAACACACTGTAAAGTGAATTGACTATATTTGTGGGCGAACGCGGCAGCCAATTGCGCACAGCAATGTCCCACAAACAGTCGTAGATTGAAAATGACCAATTTATTATTGTTTTTTGTTTTGGAGGGATTATTATTAGGCGTGTGGAATAAGGAAACTTGCCCAAGGTTTCGCCATGCCTGGAATTGAACTCAGGTCTCTCACTTGGAAAGCGAGTGCTCTAACCACTGAGCTGCAGGACTCCTCTTTGAAGCTGTAATAGATGAGAGACTTGTAATATAGTATTTGCTGAGATATCAAGCTATGGAGCCAGGCAATGATTAGTGTTCAGTCATCTAATTGCCCCCCTAGGACATTATCCCAACATGAAAATGCATTATAAATTTAGATTGTATTAGATTCTCCAGTTTGTTGCAAATTAGCTCAACTGTTTACTGGAGGGGGAGGGGGGGAGAGAGAAAGATCTGCTTGGAACCAGGTTGCTTAGGGCTTTGGCTTGGACTGTTAATAGAAGCCCAGTGGCAAGAATCCCTGCCCTTCTGCCCGGTTTGTCCCTCAAGTCCTGCTGACGAACCCTGTCACTATCACTGGTTTAGAATACTGTAGACTTCCCTTGGCTCATGAACCATAAAGGATTGACTGTTCTAAAACTCCAGAGCCAGTATGTCACCTTGGATTTAGTTCAGTTCCGAGGAGACCCTGCTGAAGGAGACGAGTATAAAATGTAATGAATCCCAACAAGATTGGAGATCAAAAGGAATTATTTTCATATAGTCGTCATAAATAGATGCTCATCTAAAATGGTTGATGTTGTCCTAAGATAATTAAAGACCTAGAAGAATATGTCTAGGAATAGAATTGAAGATTACAACTATACATACAGAGAGGTCATCTTTGTGCTGCCACACATTTCCTGAGGAAAATTTTTAACATTGCTTGGTAACTAATTACCAGTAAATCTTCTGTTCCGTTGATATCTTCACTCTAAATTCCACACTTGCTGGATTAATTGCAATTTTGCATTTGTATGCCTAAAGTAGCTTGTTGAGGTACCATAAACTGCAAAATGCTCTTCATTGAAATTGCCTGCTCATTGACCTCCACATTTTCACTTAAGCTAATCTAATTACATTTTGTGTGCGAATGAACGTGAATCCGTCCTTGGGTGCCTACACGTATTATTTTTAACAATGGTCTTTCGACAGCAGTCTGGAGCAGGAACCGTACATACTACTCTTCCCCACTCCCTACCGTGGAGTATTAAGGCCAATTGTAGTATTCTAGCTCCTGCCAGTCACTTAGAGCTTTATGGACATGTTTCTTTTAGCAAATTAGAATTGGAGAGCATGTTTATATCCCATACAATTAGTAAAGAAACTCACACCCTGACTGCAGCTAGTAATAGTGTTAATGATGGCATAATAAGATTTAAAGTATTAAGATATATGGCAGAATGGTATGGCTGGTAAGACAAAAGGACCAACAAGAACTTGCATTTACATGGCACACTTGACGCAGTGTTGCATCTAAATAATGGCATAGTTTGATGCCGAGCAGGGAAAATCACTTATGCTGCTAAATTAAAGCCAAGTGATTGTTCTTTGGTCGGTTGATCCTCTTCAACGGGAATTCCTGCTATGTTGATTTCTTTCTATGATGCAGAACATCAATAATTGAAGTGAGCACTTACAATCTTACAAACCAGAAGATTAAATGGAGATGTAATGGTATTGAACTCTGAATTAAGACTAAATATCAACAGTACATTAATTTCAATGGACAATATCTTGAGCTTGACCTGCCCACAATTCTTAGTATTTCAGTCCTTTAGAGATTATGGGAAATTTATTAGACTCTACAAGCTGTAGTAATTAATGTAAAATATTAGCACCGTTAGTAACCTACTTCAGTTCCCACACAGACTGATCCAGCAAATGATAATAAGAACTGGATCCCTACTCTCAATTTGCTTACCTTTTTCTGAAATAGAATTTGCCACCTAGTGGCCCAGCTGCAAACTTAATGTTTAAAAATTGTATACATTAATAGTTAACTTGGGAGTACTGGGGCCTATTAAACCTCACTCAGACAAACTCATACTGGCTTTATTTGCAGTGTACACTTATTCACTGAGTTAATTCTAATTGCCCATATGCTTGTGACTTTTTATTTTTATCTGAGGCGAAAAGTACAAGGTTTCTATGTACTGAAGGGTCAACATTATTTCCAACAACAATAGAATTACATTTGTACAGCGCCTTTTACATCGGGAGGACATCCCAAGGCACTGTACAAGAGTTTCGGACCCGAGCTGGGGGTTGGGATCGGGAAGGGTGGAGGGCGAAGGGGAAGCAGGGAGATCGAAAGCATGGTCAAAGAGGAAGGTATTGAGGTGGGTCTTGAAGGTGGCGAGGGAGGGGGCGAGGCGGAGGGACTGAAGGATGGCGTTCCAGAGGATGGGAGAAGTCTGTCCACCAATAGTGTGGTGAGCAAGGCAGGGGATGTGAAGCAAGCCGGAGCCTGCTGAGCAGAGGGGGCGAGCAGGATGATAGGGGGTTAGAAGGTTGCAGAGGTAGGGGGGAGCAAGACCATGGAGGGCTTTGAAGGTGATCTTGGAACTGTATCCTCTGTGTGATGGGAAGCCAGTGGAGTCGGGAGAGGATGGGGGTGATAGGGTCACGGAGCCTGGTGCAGGAGAGGACACGGGCTGCAGAGTTCTAGATGATCTGCAGCCTATGGCTATCCTCCTCCACCACCTCTCCTCCCACCTCAGCTTTCAAGGTTTTGTCCTTAACAGGTTCAGGTCCTACCTTTCACACCGCCTCCACTTCGTCTCTGCATACAACTTCTCCTCCAGCCCCCGTGCTGTCTTGTTCGGGATTCCTCAGGGCTCTGTCCTTGGTCCCCTCCTCTTCACCCTCTACATGCTTGGTGACATTATCCACAGATATGGGGTAAATTTCCACATGTATGCGGATAACACCCAACGCTATCTCTCTGCCTCCACCTTCAACTCCAGGACTACTGGCGTCTTGACCGACTGCCTGTCCGACATCAAGTCCTGGATGAGGGACAACTTTCTCCAACTGAACGTCAGCAAGACTGAGACCCTCCTGATTGACTCGCGCCAACGCCTCCGCACCTCAGGCGCTGGCAGCATCAGCCTCCACAGCTGCACACTCAACCTCACTGAGCCAGTCAGGAACCTGGGTTTTTCGGTTGACCCCGAACTGTCCTTTCTCCCCCACATCCACACCATGACCGGCACTGCCTACCACCACCTCCGCAACATTGCCCAGACTCTGCCACTGCCTCACCCCTCAGGCTGCCGAAACCCTCACCCACTCATTCGTCGCATCAAGGCTCGATTATGGAAATGCACTCCTCATCGGCCTTCCCAACTCTTCCCTTCACAAGTTGCAGATCATCCAAAGCTCTGCAGCTTGTATACTCTCACGCACCAGGCTCCGTGACCCCATCACTCCCACCCTCGCCCGACTCCACTGCCCCCCCCCCCATCCCTCAGGATCAAATTCAAGATCCTCATCCTCGCTTTCAAGGCCATCCACGACCTTGCCCCCTCTTATCTCTCTGACATGCTGACTCACTACCAACTTGCCCGCTCCCTCCATTCAGTGGACTCCGGCCTGCTCCATGTCTCCCTCCCTACAATCGGTGGCCGAGCTTTCAACCTTGCTGCTCCACACTCTGGAATTCCATCCCACAGTCCCTTCGCATCGCTTCCTCCATTGCCTCCTTCAAGGCCAGTCTCAAGACCCTCCTTTTCGATCGTGCCTTCAGTGGCCCTCCCACCTCTCTGCCTTCCCTCACCCCTACGCCACCCCTCCCCCATGCTCGGGTCCTCACCCCTGACTGTCTAGCGCCTTGGGACGTTCTCCCAATGCGAAAGGTGCTCTATGAATGTAATTTTGTTGTTGTATGGGGGGAGGCCGACAAGCAAGGAGTTTGCATAGAGTCTCAACGTAATGAAGGCGTGTATGAGGGGTTTCAGAGTGCTGCAGAGTGAGACAGTGGCGGAGCTGGGTGAAATTGCGTAGGTGGGGGATGGCAGAGCAGGTCATGGCACAGATGTGGGGTTGAAAGGGTAGTTGAGGGTCAAACAAGACCCCAAGGTTCCGGACTGGCTTAGCAAGGTGGAGTGTGCATCCATGGATGGTGATGCTATTAGCGCCTGAGGTGAGGAGGCGCTGACGGGAGACAATTAGGAGAGCCTCGGTCTTGTTGATGTTCAACTGAAGAAAGTTAGCTCTCATCCAGGACTTGATGTCTGACAGACATTCTGTCAGGACAACAATGGTCCTGGAATCCAGGGTGGAGGCAGAGAGGTAGAGTTGGGTGTCGTTCGTATACAGGTGAGAAGAGAGGCGGTGGATGAGGATAGAGTGCTCGACGGGGTTGAAGACAGCAGAGTGGTCAAGGAGGCAGAGGGAACCCTGGTCACAGATGGACAGAATGTCATTTGTCACTTTGACCAGGGCTGTTTTTGTGCTGTGGGTGGCACGGAAACCTGATTGGAGGGGTTCACAAAGGGAGTGGCGGGAGAGGAAGGTGCGAAAATGCGAAGCAATTACTCGTTCCAGGACCTTGGAGAAGAAAGGGAAGTTTGAGATGGAATAGTAGTTTCAGAATAGAGGTGGGTCCTGGGAGGGTTTTTTTAAGGGTAGGAGTGATGAACGCTGTTTGTAATGGGGTGGGAACAGTACCAGTGGATAGGGAGAAGTTTATGATGTCTCCGAGTAGAGGGGCAAGGAGGTGGAGCTAGGAGGTAGGAAGGAGGATAAGGATGGGATCGAGGGAGCAGGTGGTCAGTTTCATGCAGGTGGTGGTGGTGAGAGGAGTGAGAGGCAGGTTCGAAGGTGTGGAGGGAGTAGGGGCCGTGTTGGGAGGGGGAGATGGAGAGGGTATAACAGGCGGAAGGCCAGAGGCAGCTGAGCAAATCCCCTCGACTTTGGATTCGCAGAAATCCAGCATCGCCTCACAGTTGGCATTTGAGGTGAGATTGAGTGAGGCGTGAGAGTGTGGGTGGAGGAGCCGGTTTGTGATAGAGAAGAGGAGCCTGGGGTTGTCCTTTGCTTCCAAGATTGTCTTGGAGTAGAACGATGATTTAGCGAGATGAGGGCGGAGCGGTAAGATTTGATAAGGTCCAGCCAGATCTGTTAAGTTTGATGTAAGTCAGGTGCATTCAGCAGCAAGCACCTGTGCTTTAAGGGAGGGGGGGTGCTAGTGTACCATGGTAACTTACTTGAATAGGAGAAGGTTCGGGAAGAGAGGGGAGTGAGGGAATTGAGAGTGGAGAAGAGGGAGTTGTGGAGAAGAGTGACTGAGGAGGATACGTCATTGCGGAGGACTCCCAAGGCAACTGAGAGGGTGGGGGGGGTGGAGATATTTTTCCAGTGGCAGTAGGAGATGGAGATGGGTTGGGTGGTGGTGGGGAGAGGCATTGAGGAGTTAAGGGAGATGAAGTGATGGTCCGAGATCGCTTTGTTGATGCCGAGACTGCGAGGCCCCGAGTGATCACCAGGTCGAGGGGGTGACTGCAAACGTGGGTGGTGATGTGGAAAGAGAGGTTGAGGGAAGAGATAAGGGAGAAGTCAGCAAGGTAGAGCAGGAGGGGGTGAAGTGAAGGTTGAAGTTGCCTCGGGTGAGGAGGTGTTTGAAACAGAGAGAGAAGGAAGATAGGAGGGTGGAGATGTTGGGGATGAAGGTGGGGGGAGGTGATAGATAAGGAGAATTTTGAGGGAAACATTGGAGGGGTGATGAAGGGTAAGGTGCTCAAAGGAGGTGAAGGTTCCAGGGGACTAAGGGGATAGGCCGAGCGGGGAGATGAGAGCCACACCGCCACCACAGCAGTTAGGTCATGGGGTATGATGGAAGTTGTAGCCAAGTGGCATGGCCTCTATCGGGGAAGGTGCTGCCTGGAGTGATCCAGGTTTCAGTGAGGGCTAGGATGTCGATTACCCTTAACTTTAACACCTGTAAAAAAAATACTGAAATTACTGTTTAGCCCAGTGATGGGACCCTGGTAAGTATTGGGGTGATGGGTGTGTAGTGTTTGGTATAGGATAAGATGTAGCTACAAATTATTAGCTGGACCTTGTGGTCGGTGGAACTGGAGACACCAGTTGAGTGCATTTGACAAATCACGATGAGGTGACGAAAGCATGGATGAGGGTTTCAGAAACATTTAATAATAATAACAATAATAATAATAATCCTTGCATTTGATACAGCGCTTTTCACGTTGGGAGGACGTCCCAAAGCGCTTCACAGAACACACTGTAAAGTGAATTGACTGTATATTTGTGGGCGAACGCGGCAGCCAATTGCGCACAGCAATGTCCCACAAACAGACGTAGATTGAAAATGAACAATTTATTATTGTTTTGGGTTTTGGAGGGATTATTATTAGGCTCTGTGTGGAGTCAGGAAACTTGCCCAAGGTTTCGCTCTGCCTGGAATTGAACTCAGGTCTCTCACTTGCAAAGCGAGTGCTCTAACCACTGAGCTACAGGACTCCACAAAGGATTTGGTGTTGAGGTTGGGTTGAAGATGACCAACATGGCAGTAGTGAAAGGAAACAGTCTTGGTTAGGCTGAATTTGGGAGAATGAGGGCAACTGAGGATCGAACTGAATGTGCAGTAGTTCAATAAGTTTGAGAGAGGTTGAGGAAGTCAGAGCCTCTTTAAGCTCCACGAGGAAATGCACTTCAATATAGGTTGAGAATAATGACCTTAGTCTCTGTCAGATTCTCATTACAAAGCTACAAATATCATGTGACATGTATTTCAAACGAGAGCACTAAACAAGTTACAAACCAGTCATTTACAAACCCTGAGCTTCAATCTAAATAGCTCCTCTGTAATCACACTTGGAATTTGGGTTTTAAGAATTCAATTGAACCTTTAATTCAAGTAAGCATCCAGTTTCTTCTGGATATTCTGGAAAGAGTCGGCTCCCATGAAATCAACTTGACCCTGTTCCCACCTCTGGCGACGTTCCTCTGAGGAGGCAGTCACTGTAGGTGGAATGATGGAAAGCCGTGTTAAAGCCTCAGTAATCTTTTCCTCTTTTGTGGAACTGGTTGCCTCTTCAACACCATGTTCTGTTAGCATTGGCAAGACTGATGATGTGAAGTTATCCCACCACATGTATACATATTCAGGATGAGTAACCGATAAATCATGATCTTTCACAAGTTTTGTATTTGGGTCATAAGAATAGTTCCATGGTTTGGTCTTGCCAAGAAAGTGAATTACTTTGGCAGCAGCTGCTTGTGGTTTCAAAGTTGAAAAATGAACTGAATTGCAATTTAAGTTGTAAGTGAAGGGCAAGTGCTTAGAAATGTCTACTTTTGCCCAATTGCTGAAGAAGCTGTTCAGCAAACCTTGATTCCCATTATCAAAGCTCCCCTTCTCCATGGCAAACTTTAAAAGTGCCTTATGTGTATCTGTGGAAGGCTTAAAAACAAACACTCCTGTGTTGAAACAGTCAGAACAAATGTCATCTGCTACTGCAGACAATTCCTCCCATTCAAAAAGTTCATCAATGTTCATTAGTGCCATTGTGTCTGCATCCATGAATACACATTTCGAATAGCGGGTAAGATCCCAACAATACAATTTTGCAAGCATGAGACTGAGTTCAGGTGTTTTTTTNAGGATTAACTTACTTGAATCTTGGCTTTTCAGTACATCCACTAATAGAACTTCATCAAAGATTCTCCCTAGCACAGTCCTCACAGTTTGGGAGACTTGGGGGGTGATGAGAACCACCAGCTGCCTTGTAGTTTTGTGTTTTCTCAGTGAGCAGCCCAATACTAATGAACCTTTTCCATATAGGTCATTTGCTGCTAATGTAACAAATGCTTCATTCGGTTTTTTGATGGGCCGCTCCATCCTGGATATTGAATACTGAAGCCCAGGGTGATCGTATAGTCTGTTTGGTATAGCGTAGCTTCTAGCACTGGCTGGATCCTGCTCAGTTGTGCAGGGCTGACTCTGTCTGCTCTAAACACTGTGACTTCTGATGTGATCCTCGGGTACACAGCTCTGTAGTAAAGTTAGGACTAGTTTTATTAACAGTGGCAAATGTGGAAATAACTAGTTCTAGAATTTCCTAAATTGTTGATATACATAAAATGGAAAATGCTACAACTCTACTACAAACAACATTTAGCAACTAATTTACACAATTTGTTGAGCAACCTTTCAAGCTGAATACGGAAACCACTCCTTTCTTCTGGCGTTGTGATCATTTAAATGCATCAAACTGATTAATAGTAAATTTGGCTACATACATATTGTGTAAATACAGCTTGTGTATAAAACCTGCTGCTTGTGGCTACTGTACTGCTAGTGTGTTCTGATTGTGACATGGAGACTCCACACACTAAAGCTAGAGTTTTTATATCACTGCAACTGAGAAGATGAATAATTGAAGTGGGAACTCTCAACCACTTGCAGCTATACACTTTTTAACTTATTTTTAAAAATGGTCCTTCTAGGGGACAGGGTATTCTTCACTTCTAGGTCAGTTATGTATACATCATTGTGTTGAGGCTGTTGGTTTTTCATGGGGTTTTAGGTAAGTTTACAGGATAAGCACAAACCTAGTTTTAAAGCTTTAAAGATGCTCTAGGTTCCTGTTCCTTTTACTTTTCACTTAAAATATTAAGTCAATTTTGTTCTCTGGATTGCACAAACCCCATGGTTTTAAGCATGAGTTGGGGTGGCTTATTCTGATTATTCTGACCCCAGGCTACGTCTTACTAAACCACAGTTGGGTCCCACTAGCCCAATGGACAGATCAAATTGAATGCAAGAGTGAGGATCAGAGGTGTAAATCTTCCTCTTCAATAACTATATCCAAGATGTTCCTAGGGTCTTGGATGCATTTCTTTGGGAGTTGACACATTCTAAATGAGCAATCAAATCCTGTGTAAAATTGAAATTTAGCTTCATGTGATTAAAAATTCTGATTATTGCACATTTGGTGTGAGAACATTGAGCATGCTAACCTGTAATCTGTCTTCATAGAATTATACAGCACAGAAGGAGGCCATTCGTGTCTGTGCCAGCTCTTTGAAAAAACCTAGCCCAGTAAACTTGTCCTCCCCAAATAATTATCTACCTCTCTTAAAAGTTATCGAATCGGTTTCCACCACCCTTTCAGGCAATGCATTCCAGATCTGAACAACTCGCTGTGTGAAAACATTTCTCTTCACCTCCCCTCTGTTCCTTTTAACAATTATTTTAAATCTGTGTCCTCGAGTTACCAACCGACTTGCCAGTGGAAATAGTTCCTCCTTGTTCACCCTATCAAATCCCCTTATAATTTTGAAAACTTCCATTAAGTCTCCTCTTAACCTTCTCTGCTCCAAGGAGAATAATCCTAGCTTCTCTAGCCTCTCCTGAGTCTTGTGAATAAAAGTGACATGCATTGTATCTATTCATGTTTGAACTGCAAGTGAAGTAGACAATCAATCCAACACTGTAACTTTGTTTTACAGGGAAAAACAGAAAAAGATGAGTACCCTGTCTACGCATTGGTCGTAATTGGATTAATGGTGGCCGGTTCCATGGCTTGTATTCCATGTTTGGCATTAGCCGTGTACATGAAGAAGTCGTGGCGGGGGAAAAAATAATTATTAAATAATTGGGGTGATTTTAAAACCATGCTTTAAAGAAGCATTCCTTTTGTGGACTCTGGAAAATAACCAAAAATTAGATATTTTTAAGACTACACATTTTCTGATTTTATTTTTAAATTCACACTTTACTGAAGGGCCTGGAGTTCAAAATAGGTGGCATTGTGTATTTTGTTTTTCATTTTTTAAATATTTAGTTTACCTGTATGGCTAAATCATTGGTAATATGTACTTTGGTTGGAGTTTCTGTCCATGAAAGTTGACACAGATCTACGTTTCACTGGCTACAAGACTCACAGGATGGAAAAATTCAGCCTCCGCTTTTCCTTTTGTACAGTGCCTCCCCAGGTTGATCAAGATTGAGAGCTTGCTGTGTGGGGTACCAATGATTTGCACTTATTGCTTAAGAGGAGGAATGCTGAATTAAATTGACTGTAAATAGTGATTTTTTTGATATCTGTAATCATATTTATGAAGGAATTCTTTACAATTCTTAGTAACCTTTACTTACCTGTACAAAGTCGAGCAGTTTTCAAAGTACTGCATATCCTCTATGCTATTGTTAGACTGAAAATACAAAATTATAGAACTGGGGCACTTCTTACGTTGGAGTGAGACTAAAAATACAAATTCTATTATTGTATCAACTGGCTTTGTAGTCTTGAGTATGAGTGGTCCTGTAATTTTTCAAACATATCATTACTGAACAGATGCAATCATATTTCTCTTACGTAGAAAGAGTAGTAGTTTATCAGTTTTGTGGGTGACATCACAAAAATATTGTTGCTATGGAAACAAATCTGGTACTTTCATAAATGAGGCTTACAAACAGCCATAACATGCCTTTGGAAAAGGTAGTGGTACATTTCAGTTCTGGTGAGAAATTACAATACATATTTGAAATTAATGTGCACACAAGTTATTCACTCCCATTGTCACGTTGGGATGATTCAGTTGGATGGAAACAATTTAAGACAAGTGATCGTAAATGGGATGAGAAGAAAGAATAGAAATACAGCTTCAAAGTTGGTGCAGTGGGAGCTTGAATTTGTTCAAAATGTATTCTGCTCAATGTAGAATGGGAGAGAAAAGACAGGCTTCACTGATTACCAGTTATCAAACAGCAATGTATTAGGATTTTTGGAGTGAGCAGCCAGAGTGAGATCAAGATTTGAATTATTTGTGCTGATTGATTGATGCACATTCCCACAAAAATTGCATTTAGTAATTTGGTGGTACTGTCTACAGCCATTCAACTCGCACTGAAGTACTGCTGTAGGCATGTTTGAAAAGGAAATGCTTGGAATCCTGCAATTGTGATTACGTGCACAACAATATAAACTGTTTATTCAATTACACCTCTTGAATACAGTCTGGCTGAATGGTATCCATTCTTAATGGAGAATAGATCAGCATGATTGAAGATACCTTAATGTTCTAATGGTTTTGAGGGTTATACTGGGTTTGTCAACCCATGGGATTTTATTTTTTTTGGGGGGGGGCATAAACAGCCTATTTGATAACTTTGTTCTACATTTACCTTTATAGTGTGGCTCAATAGCAATAATGGATTGGTATACTGTAATTGTGTGAATAGTATTAAAAGATGTATTCAATATAAATCATTATAGGATTATGTTGGAAAGTCGAACACTGCTTAATACATGGCGAAGGTGACTTAACAGATGCTTGAAATTCAGTATCTAAAGTGTATAATCTACAATTCATTTAGAAACTAGTTACTCAGTAATACAAATGGACAAACTGAGTGAAAAATAAATGTTCTGTCTTTTTCTCCTCCCCAAAAATGTTTTTGCCATAGAAATATTAGTCTATCTGCTATTTATTTACATGGGACTAACAATTAGTAGTTGTTATTATACTAACTTTGAATGCTGAATAATTATTCCACATTTATCTCGGTTATACTATTTTGAGAGACTAGTCAGTGTAAAATATACATTTCCACGGGAAGAAAAATCACTACATAAATGTAAAATGTGACTGCCTTTAAGAAATCTTTCTAACTGATCTGTGATCTCAAGAGCAGGGTTCCCAAACATTTTGAGAGAATAAAATGGAGTGGATGCTTCTCTCAGGGTTAGAAATTGATGTGGGGGAGACGCAATGGATAGTTGAGACAATCGGACTTTCAATTTGGGAAAATATCCGTAGAAGTAATCAATATCATGGTGAAAAAAAGGTGTTTCAAATTATTGACACTTAATTTTTGGGAAAAAAAACTCATAGAATTATCGAGTGTTAGTGTGGAAATGGGCCATTTGGCACATCAAATCTGTACTGATAATTTGAAATCTGATGAGCATTCTGTGCAAACAATGCACAGGTACATTTTAGACAATGTATGTAGAAGAGTTGAACTTCTACATTGAATTCATTTTTACATGTTGTATACATTCTTGCAAATGTTAATGTTTCCATGTAATAAATGCCAATATTTCAAGCGCCAGCAGTAAATGTGACACAGTAATCACTGTATGATGTCCAGCCAACCAATTTTAATAAAAAGTTACCTTGCTTTAGATGTATATATTAAATTTGTATGTTTCATTGTGCTTTACTGCTTTTATTTTTAAATCTAAAGTTTGATGGTATCCATCTAGTGCGATTACTGGAAACCAATAAATGTGATGCTCATTTCTTTAAAGGGCAGTCCAGAGAGAACAATAGCCCCATTGTTAGTGTGATCTTTAATTGGTTTTAGTTCATCCTGTATCCCAGTGACCCAAACTTTTTCATCAAATACAATATAACTGATTACTTTCTGCTAAAATCACAGGGGAAAAACTCCCAACTAGGTTTGAATCTAGTGAGCATATCCTGGGGCTCACTAAAGATGCAGTCTTAGCTTTCACTTTCTACTATCCCTGTAAAACTTATTGGAAAATTCATTTAACCTTCCTCCCAATCTGTTACTTCATTAATTTGCACCTGCCATACCTCCTTGAGTATTTTTTATCATGATATTCCTAACACCTATTAATTGAACCCAAGATGTTTTCTGTACTGTCTTGGATGCTGCTTGAAAGAGTTAAGATTCAGGAAGGATGTTGAAAAGCAATGGTTACAATTATGTGAGTAGCATCTGTTTAAAAGTAAACCAATCATTTTGAATGGTGCCTTTCACAAACCCTACTGACAAGAAATGGACAGCTCCTTATGTCCTACAAGCAGTCAGACCTTAGCTAACTTCGCTCCAGTGTGCTAATACTATAAATGGGCTTTCTTAAGAACTTAATGGGATTTATTGGGGGATCTTGCAACAGGCTTACCTGGTTGGTCTCTCGCCTCCCTCATTCGGTCATCTCACTGAGTTGACCTCATCAAATCACACAATGTTACAGATGTTGCATCACCCTTGCTATTGAGCCTCTGACTGACAGTCGGTCTGTATTATTCAGGGTGTTGACATCATCAACCTGTCCCTCTCCTCTGGCTCTGTTCCCATTCCCCTAAAAACTGCCATTATCACTCCCACTTTGAAAAAACCTCCCTTGATGCGTCGCAGCTATCAAGCTACCGGCCCATCTCCAACCTCCCCTTCCTGTCCAAGATCCTTGAAAGAGTTGTCGCCTCTCAGCTGCGCTCTTTCCTCTCCACCCATGCACTATTCAAACCCCTTCAGTCGGGTTTCTGTGCTGCCCATAGCACAGAAACCGCCCTGGTCAAGGTCACCAATGACATCCTGACCATCTGAGACCAGGGCTCCCTCTGCCTCCTCGACCTATCGGCAGCATTCGATACAATCGACCACGCTATCCTCCTCCGCCGCTTGTCCTCCCACCTCAACCTTCAAAGCCCTGTCCTTGAGTGGTTTAGGTCGTACCTCTCCCACCGTCTTCATTTTGTTTCCACAAACGGCTTTTTCTCCAGCCCCCGCACTGCTTGTGCGGTGTCCCTCGGGGCTCTGTCCTCTCCTCTTCACCCTCTATACGCTCCCCCTTGGTGACATCATCTGCAGACATGGGGTTAATTTCCACATGTATGCGGATGACACCCAACTCTTACCTTTCCTCCTCTACCCTCAACTCCACGACCACCGATGTCCTGACAGCTGCCTGTCTGACATCGAGTCCTGGACGAGAGACAACTTCCTTAAGCTCAACGTGCGCAAAACTGAGGCCCTCCTGATTGGCTCACGTCAGCGCCTCCGCACCTCAGGCGCTGACAGCATCAGCATCCAAGGCTGCACTCTCCACCTCTCAAAGCCAGTCAGGAACCTCGGCGTTCTGTTCGACCCTGAGCTGTCCTTTCTTCCTCATATCCGCGCCACAACTGGCACCGCCTTCCATCACCACCGAAACATCGCCAGACTACGGCACTACCTCACCCCTCACGCTGCTGAAATTCTGGTCCTCGCCTTTATCACCTCCTCAAGGCTGGACTATGGGAACTCTCTCCTCGCCGGCCTTCCCGACACCTCCCTCCACAAGCTGCAGGTCATTCAGAACTCTGCAGCTCGTGTACTGTCCCGCACCAGGCTTCGCGATCACATCACTCCCACCCTCGCTCGCCTCCACTGGCTCCCCATCCCCCAGAGGATCGATTTCAAGATCTTCATCCTCACCTACAAGGCCATTCACAGCCTCGCTCCCTCCTACTATCCCCCTACTTACCTGCCCGTACCCTCCATTCCTCTGGCTCCGGTCTGCTCCACATCCAACCGCCCTACCATCGGTGGCCGGGCCTTCAGCCCCGAGGCTCTGGAACTCTAACCACCAGTGCCTTCGCCGCCTCCTCCCTTTCCTCCTTCAAGGCCGGTCTCAAGACCTTTCTCTTTGACCGTGCCTTCAGCTCCCCTCTCGACTCTCTACCCCCTCCTCCCTTCCCCCTGACCATTTCCCCCCTCCTCACTCCCTCCCCTCACCCTGACCATTTCCCCCACTGCTCGGGTCCTGACCCAACTGTCCAGCGCCTTGGGACGTCCTCCCAACGTGAAAGGCGCTCTATAAATGGAATCTTGTTGTTGTTTTTCCTGTCTCAAAGCACATTACAGTAGTAAAGCAAAATGCCTCGAATCTTCAGGGTGCAGATCCTGCTGCACCTTTTTAGCTCAAGATCCTAACCATGTTACAACTATGAGCTGTGTAGACACTTGATTGAGATCAGAACCAGGAACCCATTCCTAATTCAAAACTAAAATAATATTATCAGATAACAAAGATGTTGCTGGAGCTAACAATGGGCAAACTGCAAATCATTCTCATATCTCACAACTGCTAACAAGGGTGGTTTAGATTTGCTTTCTTTGGTAATTGAATGTTAAGAAGCCATTCAAAATCTTATTCCCTCCAACTACACACTTGAGTACTTGCCTAACTGTTCATTCATCCTCCAGATTCTGATACTGGTTTCAGTCCCCATTTTCAAATCAATTTATACATTTGCTGAACACTAAGCCACCTCCCTTCACACTTATTTTCTCTGATTCAGCAAATCTTTTCATCTATTTTGAAAAACATTGAATGGGTGAAAACAAACTGGAAAACATTCTCTTTGCTATACCATATATGGGGTCTTACTGTATATAACATTGCTGTGTGCCTATGAAAATTGTTAATTTCTGGACTAATTACGTGAAGTATAGTTACTTTGACACATTTTTCCGTGATAAGGCATTGTGAGTCAGTCTGACTCAGTGATGGCACTCTCATTTCTACCTAGCTTGTGGGTTCAAGCCCCCAAGTCGGGACTTGAGCTCACCATTCCCGACCCTCAGCTCAGTTCCAAAACACTGACTGTCCAGCAATTTGGGACGTCCTCTCGACGTGAAAGGCAAATACCAAATGCAAGGATTATAATAAAATGCAACTTTCACATCTCCAGATCCTAAACCTGGCTCACTAATTCCATTCTGTATCCCAAAAATCCTATTCTCAAGCTCTCAAAATGTAACCTAATTTTCATTTACTGGTTTGTTAATTCTAATGTCTCCTTTTTATTTGTTTACAAGATTTTTTTNGTAAAGAAAATCATTCATGGTTCTCATACAAGTGAAGCATTGAGCAACTTTCCTTACTCGGTGCACCTCTATTTACGTCGCAAATAAATAGGAACCTGATGTTCGTCGATTGGCGAATTGCTTTTCTGAGGGTAATCATCACTTCAAAAAAATAAATAATAATTTATTAGCTGAATATACTTTACATATATTCTGTGAAACACTTTGAGACTCTCAAACACTTGATAAGCCGCTATATTATCTGTGGCCAGTGTTTGCTAACCAATCTTTGAGTGGGAAGCACAACTTCATTCCAGAGGTGGGAACCTTGGCATTCTAATGTTAGCTCACTGAGTCAGTGCAAGATCAGGGAAACTTACCTTCCCGCTCACATTACAGTTGTTTCTAGCTCTTACCAACATTTTTTTGGTTACGTTACAGCCCACCATTTTGGTATCCCTTCAAACTTACCTCCATATTGATCCTGACTCCATTATATCCTCACAGTTTAATTGACTAAGTTGCTAAGATTTTTAAGGGTTTTTTTGTTAAACAAACCTCTTTTAGCTGAGCAGATGTTTGGCTTCAATCCTTTCCTGCTTTGGTAAATAGGATCAGTCTTGCTTTTCTGTTAGGATGTGAATGATTCCATTCAGATAATACTCTGACCTCCCCTGAAACCAATAAATTTGGTCACTCAATCCATGACTGTTTGTGGAACACTGCAGTGTGAAATTGGCTTTTCGGAATCACCTGTCACCCCTCACTATTGTCGTCTGTGAGGTTAACTACACAATAATTGAAGCATCTTCTCATTTGCAAAATTCAGACCTGAAGTAACTCACCATTTATTTTGGCAAACCATTCTATGCCAGAATTTGAGGAACTTCAATAACAATTCTGCAAAGCAGCAACAATTGATAGTTTTAATCAGGTGTTTGTACTCTCCTGGGAGACGAAACAAGCCATATGTATTTGGAGCTCTTAATAGTTTAGTAAGATTTGGATACTTATAGCATGGTGACCAATGAATTTGGTTACTCAATCCACGACTGTTTGTGGGACACTCCAGTGCACAATTGGCTACCGCATTTTTTCATGTGCCAAGTAGGAATTTCTCACCCATAGTATTGTCTCTCAAACATCCAACCATATTTGGCTTCACAATCGTAAATAGAATACTTGCATTCTAATCGCTGTTTCTGGTTCCAAGATTTCTTCTTTTATAATAACTATTATCACAAAGCTAAATACACGCTCATCATTCTCTGTACCCTGTTTTAATTGCTTGCTTAGCTCAGGTCATGACTTTCTCATCTCAGGCACTGTCCGCATCAAACTGCATGGATTCTCATCCACCTCCTGCAGCCAATGTGGAACCAAAGTCTTGTTTGACCTCTTTCAAACCTTACATCTTAGTCGCTCTGCTTTCCTTCTTTCCTTCATCTCTGCAACATCTCTGCCACTACCATTCACCCCTTGCTACCGAGCTTCTCATACATACCATCATCTCCAAATTTAACTACTCCAATGCACTGTTCACTGAACTCCCCAACTCCTTCCCCATCTTGAACAAAACAGAGAGACCTGGGAAAATTCAGCAGGTCAGGCAGCATCTATGGAGAAAGGAAAGTGAGTCAACGTTTCGGGTCCACAACCCTTCGTCAGAATTGACAAACTGACAAAGGTTCGTGGACCCGAAATGTTGACTCACTTTCCTTTCTCCATAGATGCTGCCTGACCTTCTGAGTTTTCCCAGGTCTCTCTGTTTTTGTTTCAGATTTCCAGCTTCTGCAGTATTTTGTATTTTGTCCTTCCCCGTCTTGTTCAGTTCCCCATCTTGTTCGGTACTTGGCAATTTCTGAAAGCACAACTAGACCCTGCAAGCCCAAGCGGTATCTAGATAAGCAGATAGATAAGCAGCAAGAAGTTTTCCAGTATTTGCAATGGTTTAATTGGTAACCTCCAGCAGGATCCCCAATGCACTCTGGGGTACTTAAGCTTCAGTATCTCTTACCAACCTGTACCTGAATTCACCAGCAGTGTATCCCTTCTGGGAGAGTGCATACTCCAGATCAAACAATCCATACAAACACGGAGCTCTAAATCATTTGATTTGGATAATTAGAAGCATGGTGATGCTTTTTATGCATCAAGATATCTGGCTGGTTGTGTCAATGTTTATGCTCATTGCTCTTCTGAACTCGTTTCTATTCTCAAGCTCCAAATTTTCAGTGGAGATTTAAAAGGGACATGGAAGGAGTCAGAGGATCTCTGTGATCCTCTGTGAAGAGTTCCAGAGAGCAGAGGCAGAATGGCTGGAAGCCTTGACCAACAGCAACTTAGGTTTATATAGCGCCCTCCATGCCGAACGGCATCTCAGATCGCTTTACAGTAATGGATCCTGGGGCCGAGCCGGGGGGAAGGTGACCAAAGGCGCAGAGTTTTGAATAATCTGGATTTTATGAATGGTAGTGGAGGGGAGACCGGCGAGGAGGGCATTTAAATAGTCCAGCCAATAGGTGACAAAGGCATGGACCAGGGTTTCAGCGGCTTTTGGAGAGAGGTATTGGAGGAGACGGGCGATGTGTCAGAGGTGGAAGAAAGCGCCAAGGGGACATGAAGCAGGCCAAGCATGGTTGTGTTGAAGGTTATGGAAGGATTTGATGGTGAGAACAAGGGCTGGCGGATGGGAAGCCAATGGAGCGAGCAAGCAGGGGACTGATAAGCACGCAGAGCCTGATGCAGGAGAGACATGGTACTGATGTCAAGTCCTGGATGAGCTAATTTTCTTCAGTTAAAAGGCAAGACTGAGGCACTCCTGTTTGGCTCCCCTCAGTGCCTTCTCACCTCAGGTGTTGAGCTTTCCCTTACCTTCTGTAACATAAGTCATCTCCACAATTACCTCTCCCCTCAAGCCGCTGAGACCCTCATCTGGGCTTCAATCACATCCAGACTCAACCATGCTAATGCCCTGCTTGCCAGACTCCCCAGCTCTTCCCTTCACAAGTTGCAGACTGCTGGAAGCAGCTAATCTAGAATATCCTGGCCTCCTGTATTTGAAGTCAAAATTGATTGTTGAATGGTGGTGAAAGAGAAAAGTTGAAAGTGCATGATTGGGAGGTTGTGAGGGGAGACAAAACAGTCAATATACAAACTTAATGGCTGGGCCTTGAAGATACTGAACTACACCACCAAGTGACGGGGCATTCGAAACAAAATAATGGAGTTAAAAATATCCATTTTGTGTTAAAAGAAAATTAAGCTTGTGCTTTTAAGGACCGACCAAACACAAAAACAGTGGAAAACAAAGTTACGTGAATTAAGTTTATTAAAAACAAATATGGATGCAAAATTCTTCTTTAGCAAACAAAACGCATACAAATCTCAACTGGTCTCTACAATAGAATCCACAGAGTAGAGCTGGTACACTATCGTCTTGGTCCTCCTCGGCCTCTTCCACGACCTCGTCCTCGGCCCCGACCTCTCCCTCTGCCTCTCCCTGCAACTAGTGAAGAAACGAGAAAAATCAATTACAGTAAATTCCTGGTAACTCACAGCTCAGTGACGAGTTTTCAGGAGTGGTGAATTAGAAAGAAATGCAGACGGAATATTAATATTAGAGTAAGAGATGACTTAAGTGGTAGTGACAAATTAAGCCAGGATCAAGTTATCAGTTTACTGTACAAAATCTAGACCATCATTACCATCATTACTATTACCAGTAGCAGCTTTACTGTGAGGTTGGATGCTGAAATCAAGTATCTTTAGCAAAGTGGAGTAACCACACAGCCTGCCGATGAACCATGTCTTTTTAATAGTGCCATGGAGTACTATGGATCAGCCTGATTCAGGAAACCGGACTACGAAGACATTGCTAACTTAGAAGAGCAAATTAAATAAGCCTTCCTGTTTAAACTAAACATCAACTCAGTTTAAATAAAATGATTTGCACAACTGCTGTATATGCGCGCACACAGTAAAATATTTAGGCTCTCTTCTGCTTCCCAACTGAGGAAATCTTCAGTCATGTATGGAATAAACTTGCTACAGCTCCCACTGCGAATCTTCCAAATCCCAATTGTATGAAAGCTACAAAATGGGTAGGGAAAGTAAAAGGGCCATTGTTTCTGTTTGCTATTGCTAAAGAGTGCTTAAGCAGATATATCAAGCGAAGAAAGAATTTGGTTTGGTTGCAGCTCTTGCCAGGGTCAGACTGCCAATCCGCTATATGAAGAATGGCCACTTAGGGAAGCACCCAAGAGCTGTCAGTGCAATGGCTACCCCAGCAAGGCTCTGTACTTTCAGAAGAGGGTGAGAAAAAAAACAAAGATTACCTGCTTCTCTCTTTTTTGACTTGACTTTAGGTTCAACATCAACTAACAGAGTATCCAATGGTAAGCTGTCTGGGAGAACAAAATAACGAATGTTGTTCCCTCGAATACTCAAAGTCTCTAACTGTACAGGTTCTCTGTTCTTTAATGTCATTTTCACTGCTTTCAGGTGAGTGTTCATACTGACATCCACACCTAGAGTAAGAGATAAGCAAAAATAGTTAGTTAAGATGCCCTCTGTACACAGTAAGGTTTTGCAAATTGGAGAATCATTGCAGCATCAATTTCTACATCCTATCTCATGGTCAACTGAAAAGAGCACGGGATTAAGCTGTACATTCTTAGTCAATGTGAAATTGATTTGTACTGTGACGCAGCTTGCAGGCTTTCTATTCATTTAAGTGAGGATTCACACCTGCACTTTTCTATGTCAAATAAACCACCTGTGAAATCCTCAAGGAAGGAGGGAAGCAGGATCTCTTCACACCCACTCCAGATATAACTGGAAAATCCAGAACAGAGACTAGGAGAAACTTTTTCCACACAAAGCGTGATGGAATTGTGGAATTCTCTGCCACAGTCAGTTGTTGGGGTGGTAACTAGGTGCACATTCAAAATAGACTGGACACATAGTCGAGGGAGAATAAAGTTGAGGGACACGGGAAAGGGCCGGAATATGGGATTAAGGATAGGAACTAGGATGATCCTTGCATGAGGAACCAAAGTATGACATGCCAACAGGAACACCATTTCCACTGTAATCTACTTCTAGAGATATAAACCCAATTCAACTATGTGGCAGGACAAAGCTAAGAGTATAGTTTCTCTTACTGAACTGGTACCTCCACTGGTGTACCAGGATGAAACAGCTCATTCTGCACAAGGCATTTATTAAGATTCAACAACTGCATGGTTTGGACCTTGTAAAATACATTTTTAGCTTGGGTGATAATGGCTTATTCTTTAACTGAAAATTAATAATTTTACAGGGACATTCATAAAAACGAGGTAAACCACAGGCAGGAAGTGAAGAAAATACAACACTGTATGCACTGCACGTCATAAATGTTTCACATTGATACCAAAACAATATATCAGGCTACAGATTTATTTCTTGAGTTTTAAATGATTTTCAAAGGAGCGGCAGATGGTTTCATAGCCCTGGTTTGTCTTTACCTGTGATCGTTCCATGCACCTGTGTTCCATTCTTCAGCTCGATAGTCACAGTTTCATGGCTCAACTTCATCAAAAATCTGCCAAAGAAAAATATTTCCATCAGAACTGGAAAATCCTGAAACCCCATCTCCTGTGGCCTCCAAACCATGAATTCTACCCCTTACAGTGCTCAAAGATGTACAAATTGCACCGATCTAGTGTTTTTCATGTTGGATAATATCTCAAAGTGATTTACAAAGGTCACTGGGATCACCAATCAGGGTGAAGAGAGGAACATAAGTAAGCTGACCTAAATAAAACACAATCAAGAGATTTTTTTTAAGGTAAAGGATGCAGGGTTCGGCATCACCTGTTACCAAGACTTTCAAATAAATAGCACTGGTAACACATTGCAACCACATTATAACCAAATTCACGCCACAAAGAAGATGTTATAACAGGGCTGCATCGCTACGTTGTCCCGTATGATTCCCATGGGCTGTTCCACAGATTTCATGATTTGAAACCCAACCATATTTCTCAGATTCTCTCTCAAATCTCAACTCTCAGAATTTGTATTTTTAATAACGGAGTCGTCTCAAAGCGCTTCACAGAATATACTGTAAAGTGAACTGACTATATTTTGTAGGCAAAACATGGCAGCCAATTGTGCACAGCAGTGTTCCACAGTCATAGAATGAGTGACCAAATTATTATAATAATTTTTTTGGAGGAATTATTACCCACAGAAAGCAATCCACCAATTGACTAACAACAACAGCAACCATCGTGTTCCTATTTACTGCTAGGTAAACCGAGGTGTTTGGAGTAAGCCTACTTGCCGAAGGTTTCGCCCCGTCTGGAAATCAAACCCGGGTCTTCTCGCTATATGGTAATGTGTTCAAATCCATTCAATCCCTGGCACCTCCCTACCTCTCCAACCTCCTCACTCCCCAATCCACCACCTGGTGCCTCCACTCGACTGGTACCGGCCTCCTGCTCGTCCTTCGCACCCTCCACCCCACCATCAGAGGTCGCGCTTTCAGCAACTACGCCCCGAAACTCTGGACACTCTCCCTCAATGTCCCCTCTTTTAAATCCCTCTTTTAAGTCCCGCCTGCAAACTTCCATCTTAGACCGTGTTAATGGCCACCTCCCCCCTCCCAGCATCAGGCTCCATCACTGTTAAGCGCTCTAGACGCTACCCTGCATGAAGGGCACTGGAAAAGTGCAAGTTGTTGTATTGTATAGTATTGTATTTTTCAACAAAATACAATATAACAGATGTTTTATATGCAAGGATAGAATCTGGCTTACCTGCAAAGTACCCCACTAACTGCTCTCTGTTTAGGTCCAGGTATAATGTAGTATAGGTGAGGTGCAAGAGGGCACCCTTGGAAACATACTCAGTAAAAGGAAAAAGTCAAACTTTTCCATGAAGAGCCACAAAAAACACAATGAATATAATAATAATCCTTACATTTGAATTAGCACCTTTCATGTTAGGAGGACGTCCCAAAGCACTTCACAGGATATACCGTAAAGTGGAGTGACTGTGTTTTGTAGGCGAACACGGTAACCAATCTGCACACAGTACTATCCCATAAACAGCCATGAAGTGAGCGACCAATTTAATTAAAGGTAGTACTTAAAACATTAAAACAAAATCCTGCACGTTTAAAGATCCCATGATACTGTTTGATAAAAGAAAGCTACTCCCACTGTCCTCGCCAACAATTCTCCAGGTTAATTTTATCATTCATATTATGGCTATTTGCTTTCACGGCAAGCTAATGCAGTTTTAGCTGATTAAACTCCAGCAGTACCTCAACACACACTCTGAGATCCCTGAAGACTTTGCTTCGCCAACCTGCATCTAATACTCTTCAGAATTAGGTAAACAGGATGCAGCTCTCCAGGGAGAGAATACACTTCCACTCCAATACATGGGAATTTCCATGTGTAGGTGGCAAGCATGGAACTCCTGAGATTGAGATGGATACTCGTAAGCATAGTGATGGGATCCTACATGTGTCAAGACAGCTGGCTGACCCAAAAAACAATGAGCCCCACCTGAAACACTCAACAATGTGATAAGAGTACAATATCAAATGCTGTTTTTTTAATATACAAAAGTCTCTTTTACACACAAAAAACCTATTTAGGTTCCAGCAAAGATCCACATGACTGCATCAACAACTTGCATTTACAACTTGCACCCTTCACAGGCTCCGAGTATGCCTTCACGAGCATTTAAGTGCTCCGAGACCCTACCCCGTGTGAAGGCCATTGTATAATTGCTAGTTGTTGTTCACATATCTCAGACACTTAACAATGGTGTAGTTTGACACTGAGCCAGAGAGAAGGCAGAGGCTTGGTCAAAGAAAGAAGTCTTCAAGTGCAAACTGTATATAGCCAAAGAGATGGAGGAATTGAGGTAGGGAGTTACAGAGGAATGGAGACGGCGTATTGACTGAAAGCACAGCAGCCAATGATGGTGTGGTGGGGGCGAGGGATGGGTAGAAGGCCCAAACTGGCTGAGCTATAAAAACAAAGCCGGGAGTTTCATTTAATGTGTGATGAAAGGATTCATCCAACCGTAACATTACAGCAAAGAAAAGGGCCATTTGGTCCAACCAGACTAAAATGGTTCCAACTCCTCCAATGGTCAGATTTACTCTAACCCTAATCCAGCACGTCCCAAACCCTACTAACTCATTTTCAAACATTTACCGTAATCCTATTTAAACCGGATTGTTCTTCTCACTTCCCCCTCCACCCACAACCATCCCCGGCTAAACTGCTCACGGATACAGTTTGGTTATGGCTACAAATCCCCAATGAGCTGATTACCTGAGAGTCTCCCATCCCCAGGAGTACACATTGTGTGTGCGGCCATACACACCCACTCACACAGCCCCCTCACCCCCACCCCCACACCGCTCCCCCACCCCCACACAAACACCGCCCCCCCACACACACAGCCCCCCACCCCCACACAGCCCCCCCACACACACCGACCCCCCCCACCCCCACACACAGCCCCCCCCACACACACCGACCCCCCCCCACACACAAACACCGCCCCCCCCACACACACAGCCCCCCCCCACACACACAGCCCCCCCCACACACACCGACCCCCCCCACCCCCACACAAACACCGCCCCCCCACACACACAGCCCCCCACCCCCACACAACACCGCCCCCCACTCACACAGCCCCCCCACCCCACACAAACACCGCCCCCCCACACACACAGCCCCCACACACACACACAGCCCCCCCCACACACACCGACCCCCCCACCCCCACACAACACCGCCCCCCACACACACAGCCCCCCCCCACACAAACACCGCCCCCCCACACACACAGCCCACCACACACCGCCCCCCCACACACACAGCCCACCACACACCGCCCCCCCACACACACGCCCCCCCCCCCCACACAACACCGCCCCCCCACACACACAGCCCCCCCCCCACACAAACACCGCCCCCCCACACACACAGCCCCCCACCCCCCACACACACAGCCCCCCCACCCCACACAAACACCGCCCCCCCACACACAGCCCCCCCCCACACAAACACCGCCCCCCACACACACACAAACACCGCTCCCCCACTCACATAGCCCCCCCCACACACACCGACCCCCCCACTCCCACACCGCCCGCCCCACACACACCGCCTCCCCACACACACAGCCCCCCCCCACACACACACCGACCCCCCCCCCCCACACCGCCCCCCCCACACACACCGCCCCCCCACTCACACCGCCCCCCCACACACACCTTACGAACCGCGCTATGAGCCCCGAGTCACCCCCAGGGGGAGGGGGAGGGGGAGGGGGAGGCTGTCGGGCGGGCCGGCGCTGCCCGGGGCCCGGGGCCTCCTCCCTCGGGTCGGGCCCTGTGCGGGAGCCTTGTGCTTAGGCCTCACCGCGCGCTCCCGCCCTGTGAGGCGCTTCCCTCGAGAGCCGCTCAGCAGCTCAGCCCCGGGGCCTCGCCCCCTCCCCCCTCCCCCCGGGGTGTGTGTGTGTGTGGGGGGGGGGGGGTACCCCCGGTGCGGTGCGGTGCGGTACGGCGCGGGGCCGTTGCGCGCTCTCTCTCACTCACCGCACCAACTTCATGATGGCGGCCCCGAGTCTGCCCGCGCCGCGCAGGGACCCGGATGATCCCCCCCCCCCGCGGGAGGAGGGCGACCTGTCAATCAATCAGAGCCGCTCTCCTCCACCACCACCATCCTCCTCCTCCTCCTCCTCCTCCTGTCATACACTCCTCTGGTACTTGATATTAGTATCTTATCACACCGCGGAGATACCAAATCACAATGATGGCCATCACCCCCGTACGGTGATTTTCCAAGTGTGAGGATAAATAATAATAATAATAATAATCCTTGCATTTGATATAGCGCTTTTCACGTCGGGAGGACGTCCCAAAGCGCTTCACAGAACACACCGTAAAGTGAATTGACTGCATATTTGTGGGCGAACGCGGCAGCCAATTGCACACAGCAATGTCCCACAAACAGTCGTAGATTGAAAATGATCAATTTATTATTGTTTTTGGTTTTGGAGGGATTATTATTAGGGCTGTGTGTGGAGTAAGGAAACTTGCCCAAGGTTTCGCCCTCTGCCTGGAATTGAACTCAGATCTCTCACTTGCAAAGCGAGTGCTCTAACCACTGAGCTGCAGGACTCCACATGATGATGATGATGATTATTGTTAATGTTATGATGTGATGATAATATGACTGACTTGCCCTCTTCTAAGCTCCAGGAGCCGATCACCCCCATCCTCGCCCGGCTTCACTGGCTCCCCATCCCCCAGAGGATCGAGGTCAAGATCCTCGTCCTCACTTTTAAAGCCCTCCATGGTCTTGATTTTCCCTAACTCTGCCATTTACTAAAACATTACCAACCTGTCCACCCCCTCCGCTCGGCGTTCCCTGGAGTACTCCGTGTCCCCCAACCTGCTCACTCCACCATTGGAGTTTGCGCCTCTCTGCCCCCAGCATCTGGAACTCCACTCCGGAGCCCCTCCACCTCGGCCCCTCCCTTGCCTCTTTCAAGGCCCACCTCAAGACCTTTCTTATTGATCGTGCCTTGGGTCATCCTCCCACCTCCACCCCTTCTCTTGCACTCCTCTAGGTTCCAACCCCCAGCTCAGGTGCAAACCTTCAATGTTCAGCGCCTTGGGCAGCCTCCCGATGTGAAAAGCACTATATAAATACAACTTTTACTGTTGTTGTTGGTACAGCGCCTTTCACGTCAGGAGGATGTCCCAAAGCGCTTTACAGGATTTACTGTAAAGTAAGGTGACCGTATTTTCTAAACCAAATCCGGGGACACATAAAACAAATTTAATTCACCACAATTCCTGATGCTGGCAGTACTGGAGAAGCTTCTTGGATTAATGGCTGTATTTCTGTGATGAGTTTTAGAATTTTATTGTTCTTCCTCAGTTTGTTGCTGAACTCAAGACAGGGCAAATTTGGCAATACTTCATCTGGGGACTGGCTCCGGAAATCGTGGAAGTATGGTCACCCTACTGTAAAGTGTTTTTTTTGGTGGGTGAATGCGGCAGCCAATTTGTGCTCAGCAATGTCCCACATGTAGTGAATGACCAATTTTATCTTGGGTGATTGTTGGCTAGGACACCGGGAGAAACTTCCATTTTCCTTCTGTGCAGTGCAATGGTATTGTTATTGTTCTGTTGAACATGCAGATTCAAAATCTCATCCAAAGCATGGATGAGACGCACATTCAGATACAACCACAGAAGGCCATTGGGTCTGTGCTGGTGCTTTAATTATTCCAGTCCCGTTCCAGTCCCCTTCCCCATACTCCTGTATTTGACTCATTTTTAGGTATTCATCTTGTTCCCTTTTGAAAGCTAATATAGATTCTGCCTCAACCATTGCTCTTGGTAGGGCATTCCATGTCCTAAATACTTTGTGAAAATATTTCTCTTAACCTCCTCATTTGCTTGTTTGCTAACTATCCTGAATTGATGCCCTCTAGTTCAGACAATATCACAGAAAATATACAGTTGTACAATTTTTGTCGGCAGGGTAGGCTATTCAGTCAGTGGTGTCTGAGCTAATCTGATACAAATAGATTTCTTAGTTCCATTCAGAAAGACAATTCTAGTTCTCCATTTATGAATCCACTGATTAAGTTACCCGTTACAACCCTCGATGATTGTACAACAACTTGAAGTCGTTTTTCAAGGTTGCTAAATCACCTAAATGTATAAGATAGCTAGTAATAGATCTAATAGAGTTCATGAAGAACTCCTTCAAGCAGAGGATGTGGATACAAGACGCAACTTATGACGTGGTAACTCCAGCTAATATTTTATTTTTGTAATCCTGCAAATGAGTTTATTTTGACAATCATATCTTTGCAATTTAGACATAATTAACGGTGTCCTGGTCACTTCTGAATAATCCCTCCAAGGTGTGAGCTCTCCTGAAGAAAATTAGGCTGAGATGACCAATGCGTTATTTCCCTGGTACAGAAAACTCACCAATAACAAGCAGCCTCTACAGCAATAATTCGGGCAACAATATGGAGTAATTATGTATTGCACTGAACTGAACTTACGTTCGTAAACTGAAGATTGCAGGTGTTGTAATGTGTAAAGTGGAAGAAAATTAGAAACGTTTTATACTTATTCGGATTTTATTATTCTTTACTCCAAAAGGAACACAAAACAAAAAAAAGACAGCAGGATAACAATGGAATGGAAATAGTTAGAAAACCGATTACAGTTTCACTTGTATAAATAATAATAGTATTTTGCACTGCTTTTACAGGTAAAAGTTTGAGCTAATCTGATACAAGTAGATTCCTTAGTTCCATTCAGAAAGACAATTCTAGTTCTCCATTTATGAATACACTGATTAAATCACCCTTTACCAACCCTCAATGATTGCACAACAATTTGAAGGCGTTTTGCAAGGTTGCTGCTTTCAGTACATTTTCAGTCCAAATCTGCAACTCCAGCGGGACGAACTGCATAACGGTTGGTAGTGTCTGTTGCAATTCATTGGCGCTCTATAAATCTATTTAAATGTGTTCTTTTTTAAAAATGCTCACAAAACTAGGCAGTGTTTGGGAAAAGGTGAATCAGAGTGCATTATTTTACCAATCACACTTAACTCACAAACTGCTCCATTATGAACATTATGACAGGTTTGTCAGATTTTTAAATATTATCTTAATTCTGTAATAAAAAGGTAATAGCGGAGCCTAGTAAATGTACGCTGGAGATGTATTCTATTGACTAGCAAAATTATATTTCATCTATGAGCTGATAAACACTTCAACTATGGTAGAATTATAATAATAATAATAATAATCCTTGCATTTGATATAGCGCTTTTCACGTCGGGAGGACGTCCCAAAGCGCTTCACAGAACACACTGTAAAGTGAATTGACTGTATATTTGTGGGCGAACGCGGCAGCCAACTGCGCACAGCAATGTCCTACAAACAGTCGTAGATTGAAAATGACCAATTTATTATTGTTTTTGGTTTTGGAGGGATTATTATTAGGCTCAGTGTGGAGTAAGGAAACTTGCCCAAGGTTTCGCTCTGCCTGGAATTGAACTCAGGTCTCTCGCTTGCAAAGCGAGTGCTCTAACCACTGAGCTACAAGACTCCACAATTATATTGTAATCAATAAAAAGAAAATAGCAACAATGCACAACTGGAGAAAACAAGCTATACAGTAGATCCTGTAACATAATATAAATTTCATATTGGTCTAAAATTCACTGTACAATTTTGCATGTAAATTACAGCCAACTATTCAAGTTACCTTTATTGCTAACAGATGTTCGCACTAAAGATGTGAAGCAGCAGCTTTATGCATCAAACTGTTGAAGACATATGAGGTCATGCAGGCATTTATATAAAACCTTAAATTCAGCAAATTGAAGTATGGAGGCAATAACTCATCACTCGCAAGTGTGTTATTGCTAGATATCTATTTCATGATATATACAGAGAAGCTGAGTGGGGAAAAAAAAATACACCTGTTGCATTTAAACACTGATACCATGTTTGCTAACATTTTGGACCTCAAATTCAGCTGTCAAGATAGAAAGATGGAATGAAGAACAAATTTTGTTGTTTCATTAGTGAGATTCTGAAAAAACGGTCAGAATGACAAAAAGAACATTAATCATGGCTAAGGCTGAACGATCGGAGCCTGACTGCACTCCACCACCATTATTTTCACTCGTAGAAATCAAACTTCTTTAAAAAGAACAACATGTTTGGTGTGAAAAGCAGGTCAGTAGACCCTCCACATTGGGGCAGAATCTTGACCAAGCTGCTTTCCACAGGTACACATTCAGTCCACCTTTTCTTTCTGTACCAGCTTCGGTGCATCAACAAATTCCTTTCCATTGAAGAGGATGATGGCTGCAGTTCCAAAACTTGCACTTCCCCAAAACAGCACATAAGCTAAGGTCTCCGTCCAGGTGTCACCTAATATCAAGACCAAAGAAAATGTATGAAAGATCACACTTAAAATTGTAACTGACTTTTTTTTAAACAAACGATAAGCTAGCAAGTATGGATGTATTGATTTTGTATTTAACAGTACCTGAAACACAGAATTTTTAAAAAAATGTTTTCTTTTGTCAGCTAAGTGTTTGACCCACGCAGAAACCCATGACCATGCTGAAGAATATTCAAACCAGACAAAGTTCCACATATGCACACCACCTGCGAATGTAAATTTCTCTTGGTTGGAATGGAGTGTACATTCTCCCTGGAGGGATGCACCCTGCTTAACTAACTTTCAAATGTATTAGGCTCAGGTTGGTGACAGCCATGACTCTTGAGGATCCCAAAATGTGTGTTGGGTATTGTTGGGAGCTTAAACAGCTAAAAGTGAATAGTTTGCCACTGAGATAAACTCCTGACAAGCTTCCTGCCTCTTGTCCAGCTGGGACTAGTGACTATCCTCCTTTGGTGGGGGAGGGAAAAGTAACCCGGGATCTCCTTGGGAGATGAACTGGCTACAGGGTGACATGCGTGGCAATGGGATGTCAGAAATGAGTCAAAGGTCTGAGGTGGTCCCAGTAATCCGGTCCTCAGTACCCCAGAGTGCTAAGCAGGATGTAACCCTCCGGGGAGAGAATGCAGCCTTTCATTTCTAACACAGGGATTTCCATGTGTAGGTGGGATGCATGGAAATCTCAGCTTGGTTTGGTTACTGTTAAGCATGGCGATGGGTTTCTCTATATGTCAGACACCCGCCTGACCAACGAAAATCTTGCAGTGTTAACAGGAGCCCGAGTTGGAAGAATCCTTCCCCCAGATTAGGCTGGTCTGTCATCAGCATTTCCAAAGCAGTTATCAAAAGAAGTAGTGATCTTTTTAAACAAATAATTAAAATGTAAAATCCATCTAACTCTTACAACTTTGCCCATTCATAGAATTCCCTGTTCCCTCTCCTCCACCCCCATTCTAATTGCTTTAATATTGCTCTACGTGTTGCCTCTGTCTTCCTACCATATTCCATTTTTGCTATTACCATCTAATTCTCTATTTCTCTCTTGATTTTGCCTGCTTTCTTAGGTATTTGATTTAGTAAAGTGATTTGGTTCCTCCACCTACATCAAATCTGTCCATTCTGGAATGGAGACAAGCATTATTTGTTGTGGCTTGTCCGATTGTCTGAGATGCTGTTTTTTAGAACCAGGATTCAGCCCAATGTGAGACATATCCCACACAGGTTTGCATTGACCACATCAATGAAGGAGCAGGTCAAACAGTTAATGTATTTCAGGCCAAAACAGATCCAGCAACACTTCAAAGGAGAAATAGAATTTTCCAGTTTACATGCCTGGATAATTTAATTTAACTTAAGTGCATTTCAAAGTAATACGACATTTCAAAAAGTTTACTTACCCGCCATAAGTAGGCAGATGATACACATAGAGAAAGCCACTACCATGATTATCGGCAGCTGAGAAAGAAACAAGTAGGGAAAGTTATACAACAGTATATATGCAGCTTCGTTTCATATTTGAAAACGTGCATTTCCAGCCACCCTGAGAAATTGTATAGCTACTTCTTGGAATCAGTAATTATGTAAATTGTTTTCAGTCTGACTGTCTCTTTGAACCAAAAGTTTTTGCTGCTTTTATACAACAAGAAGATTACATTTGTACAGTGGCTTTCACGTCGGGAGGACGTCCCAAGGCGTTGGACAGTGTACAGCATTTCAGACCCGAGCTGGGGTCAGGGTGGGCGAAGGGAGGGGAGGGGAAGGGGGGTGGCTGATGGCATGGTCGAAGAGGAGGGTTTGAGGCAGGACTTGAAGGAGGCTAAGGAGGGGGCGAGGCGGAGCGATTGGGAGGTGGAATTCCAGAGGTTGGGGGCAGAGTGGCTGAAGGCTCTCCCACCAACGGTGGGGCGGGTGGGTCTTGGGATGTGGAGCAGGCCAGAGCTGGCTGAGTGGAGAGAACGGGCGGGTTGGTAGGGGGTTAGGAGGTCACAGAGGTAAAGTGGGGCAAGGCCATGGAGGACTTTGTAGGTGAGGATCAGGATCTTGAACTGGATCCTCTAAAGGATAGGGAGCCAATGGAGTCAGGCGAGAGTGGGGGAGATGGGGTCACGGATCTTGGTGCAGGAGAGGACACGGGCTGCAGAGTTCTGGATTATCTGCAGCCTGTGGAGGGAGGAGTTGGGAAGGCCAACAAGCAGGTCGTATGCATAGTCGAGCCTGGAGGTGATGAAGGCATGAACAAGAGTTTCAGCGGCCTGAAGGGTGAGGTAGTGGTGGAGACAGGTGATGTTACGGAGGTGAGGGAAGGCAGAACGGGTTATGGCTTGGATGTGGGGAAGAAAAGAGAGTTGAGGGTTACCTCAGCAGCCAAAGTACCAAGAAGCGGAGGTGCTGACATTTGAGTGTCGCTCTTTAGTACAGCTGCCGCTTTTATAATTAAAAATCCCAGGCACAGTTGCAATCATATACTATGCAATGCACAGGCACGAGACCTTTAAAAGTTCCTCTCCCCCACTCTCCCCCATCAATTAATAGTGAAATAATACAATAGGGCAGATCTGCTGTTCAGGAGACTTTGCTCCCAGGTATTTCCCCATTCTAATTCCATCCGGGTAGAGGTCATTAAGAAGATTTCATTACTCGCTTATGTGGAGATAGCAGAACGTCTGCAAGGAAAATCAGACTCCTTTCATTACACTCTGCCTCCAGCACACTGACCAGAATATAAAGTGGCATTACAATGCTTGACCTCATGCTTTACACTGCAAAGCTCAGTTAAGCAGACCAACACATATGTTTTAGGTTATGGCAAGCATCTTCACATTAAAAACACACACACAAAAGTAATTAACTGAACCTTCAGAAATATATCTTTTTGTATTGATTCAAAGTATATTAACTACAAGTTTGCATGAACGTGGTTCAAATTTAAGAAAACTCGATCCGTGCTCAATAATAAATATATTCATGAAAATAAACAACCAATGCAAAACTCACCGCCAGATACCTCCACTCTTTTTGGTCTTGTAGAAGAACAACTGTGTCGGTCTCATCCACTACATAGTTTCCAAGAAACAAGTCTATTGAATCCTAGAACAGCAATAAAGTATTGAATATATTACCAACCAGACAATCTGTCACTATCACATCTGAAAATATGTTGAGCCAGCAGATAATTCCCAGTCATGAATTTATAGAAATTCCTTACATTTAATATACGTTGCACTTGTATAGTACCTTTCAAATGGGACGAATGTCTCAAAGGCAACGGGAATCACAGGACAAGTTTGGTACCACAGGAAGCACATACTGTTGTTTCCTATACCCATACACGATTACATCATTAATCCTGAACCAATTGGTGAATATTTCCATGATCTCAGCAGCTTGAAAAACTATCATGTTCCGCACAGCATTTTATTAGCTCTCTTCCCTCTGCTTATCCTTATAACATTCAATCTCGTTTCTAATCCGATTTCTTCCTGCCCTTTTTTAAAAGAGATTATTATTAAAGTATCAATTACTTCAACTCTGCATGGAGAATTTCAAGTTTTAATTGATGTTTTTGTTTGTGTTATGCTTAAACTTCGATCTGATCAGCAATTACCTTAATTCATTGAAAGAAATTGCTTATAAGATTGCCATTTGAGCCTTGCATCACCTAAAGCATTATACTGAATACTAGATCTCATTTCACAGGCACTGAACTAAATGAAAGACTTGAGTAGAATATTGGGACTGTGTCAGATATCACTTTCAGCATATGATGAGGGACCAGAGTGGCAAATATTCTCAAGATTTTTTTATTTGAAGGCACCATCTTTTAGAAGCAGATGGTAGTTGAGACTGCTTTAAAATCACACAACCCCCAAATGAGTTCAGGAAAGGAAACTGTATTCATTTCAAATTTAGTGCAACAAAGCTCCTCACTTCCAATTATTCAAAGGGCATAAAGCACACTCAGCTCTTAGTGGAAAGGTTCCCAGTAAGGCACAACTTATTTAGGCCAGAAAAGCCTTAGGCCAGACTTGAATCAAGTGAAATACATACAATTATATTTTCTGTTACAAATATTTAAAAAAGTATATAATTCCTTTTAAACATGCAATCATAGGTATCACGGATCAACAGCCATTTTAAACAAATATAATAAAGCTCCAATTACCTGTCTGAATCCGTCAGAGAAGTTATTCTTGTAATATCTTAGCATTGAGTTCCAACCATCCATTAAGAGACCCCAGTTGGTCCTCTTCCCAGTCCTGTGAAAGATGCAGGCAAGTGACGAAGCATGTTAAGCATCAATGGTTATTATACAACAACAACAAAATGACATTTATAGAGCGCCTTTCACGTACGGAGGACATCCCAAGCGCTGAACAGTCAGGTGTTGGGGCCGAGCATGGGGTAGGGGTGGGGGTGAGGGAAGGCAGAGAGGTGGGAGGACGACCAAAGGCACGGTTGAAGAAGTCTTGAGACCGACCTTGAAGAAGGCAAGGGAGGAAGCGAGGCGAAGGGACCGTGGGATGGAGTTCCAGAGTGTGGGGGCAGAGAGGCTGAAACCCTGGGCACCGATGGTTGGGTGGGAGACATGGAGCAGGCCGAAGCCCGCTGAACGGAGGGAGCAGACAGGTTGGTAGGGAGTCAGCAGGTCAGAGAGGTAGGAGGGGGCAAGGCCATGGATGGCCTTAAAGGTGAGGACGAGAATCTTGAACTCGAACCTCTGGGGGATGGGGAGCCAGTGGAGTCGGACGAGGGTGGGAGTGATAAGGTTACAGAACCTGGTACGTGAGAGTATACGAGCTGCAGAGTTTTGGATGATCTGCAGCTTGTGAAAGGAAGAGTTGGGAAGGCCGATGAGGAGGGAGTTCCCGTAATCGAGCCTTGATATGACGAATGTGTGACTGAGGGTTTCGGCAGTGGCGGGGTCTGGCAATGTTGCAGAGGTGATGGTAGGCAGTGCTGGTCATGGCGCGGATGTGGGGGAGAAAAGACAGTTCAAGGTCAAACAAGATACCCAGGTTCCTGACTGGCTCAGTGAGGTTGAGTGTGCAGCCATGGAGGCTGATGCTGCCAGCGCCTGAGGGTGGAGGCGCTGGCGCGAGCCAATCAGGAGAGCCTCAGGAGGCAGAGGGAGAGGGAGCCCTGGTCACACATGGTCAGGATGTTGTTTGTGACCTTGACCAGAGCAGTCTCTGTGCTGTGGGCAGCACGGAAACCCAATTGGAGGGGTTGATGGAGGGAGTGAGAGGAGAGGAAAGGGCGAAGATGGGAGGTAATGGCTCTCTCAAGGACCTTGGATAGGAAGGGGAGATTTGAGATGGACCGGTAGCTGGATAGGGTCGAGGGAAGGTTTCTTCAAGGTTGGGGCAATAGTGGCTGTTTTGAGGGGGAAGGAACAGTGCCAGATGACAGGGAGAGGTTAATGATGTCGGCGAGTAGTATCATTGATGCTTAACATGCATTACATATTTCGCCAACAAAAATATAGTCAATTCCTGCTATGGAATCAGGCTAATGGGACCTTGGTTTAATGTGTCATCTGAAGGACAGCACCTCCAGCAATGCAGCCCCATCCCCCATCACTGTAGTATGAAAGGCGCTATACGAATGTAATTTGATGTTGTTGTTGTTGTTGAAGACCCAACGTGGGACTTGGACCCACAACCTTTTGTTCAAGAGGTGAGAGTGCTATCAAGTGAGCCACACTGAGCCAATTTCAAATCACTCAAGGAGTATAGACTCCAATGTCAACATCATCAGAGACTCTCATGCAGCATGGTGACATCCTACTGGCCTCGTCCAGGAACCAACGGTAAACCTTGAGAAATTAATTCTGCTTTGCATTCAAGAGAGAATAAGAAAACTATTTGGTGAGTAACTCAACTGATTATAGTTTAGTATTTTAGTTTTATACAAAGTCAGTGCAATTAGTCATGTACAATTTTTTAACGTTTATGATAAAAATTATATATTTATTATTATCTTTATGTTTAACATGTGAACAGAAGGTTCTGCAGCTACAAATAAATCCTTCTCCCAATCCCTTACTCAAGTGTCAGTAAAGCTTTTCAGAAAATAGTGGGCAATTAACATGTTGGACACCACATTTCTGGGTCAGTGATTAAGACACACAAATTATCTGCCGGAACCTCAGTTTATCACCACATCCAAAAGACGGCAGCTCCATTGAATTTTTCTTCATTTACGGCTACGACATGAGTATCGCTGCTCGGTAGCTACTGGAAACAAGATATTGATTTGGCGTGGACTTGCCTGGATTGCTACAGGTGTTTGACTGGCCATGTCTTGACACTCTAAGAAGTCAATCACCATCGACTGGTTAGAGACCTCTGGCCTAGACTATAAATGAGCTTAAAGTCCTGACTTAGAATGTGAACTCGCAAGCTAATGAAAGCATCATTTTTTTCCAAGGTCCAGTTCAATTTATCAGAAGTTAGTTGAATCCCACATGACCTCAAAAAATGGCAATTGAAGCTGCTTCAACTAAAATTGTTTATTAGAGATTTATTTGGTGGATGAGTGCAAGCTAAGTCACTTCACTGGTAGTCATTTCATGTATAGCTATGAATCCTATGGAATAAAAAACGGCAAAATGCCATTCAGAGATAATATTCCTTAACCTCGGTTCTTGCCTAACCAAATTCATTTTGCTTCTGATACAAGGGCAATCTAACCATTGCACTCAAAATTAAAGCTCAAAGATAATTACCTTGTATAGTCAGTCTTTAAGGCCCCAGTTCCAGAATACTGCTTGGCGCATGCGTTCGCATTATCAGCCCATGCTGTGAACAAATCAAATCACCACTGAGCTCCAGAACATTAGCCAGCAAAAATGGACATTTATAACAATTGGGGGTTTCTATTAACAATCAATAAAATAATTATTGAAAATTGAATTTGAACTCACAACTTTTGTAAATCTTTTCAAAATCTGCTTGTTCCTCTATTCTTTGGCCAACATGAAGAACTCCAATTCTCTAAAGCAGAGAGAAAAAAATGTTTCATTAATTTAGTTTGTAAGCAATAATTGCTTAACTGTTAGATATTTGTAATATACTTAGAATTAATTTTGGGATAAACTTTCTATGCTTTAAAATACACACAAAACTTCCCTGTGACCTGGGCCAATAGAAAAGTGCGTCCTCACTTTTTCAGTGGAATCTGTCCCACACAACCCCCTCCGCTACACACGCCCTCCTCCGCTACAAAGCTGTACACAGTGTGTTAGGCCCCGGGCCTCTGTGTTTGCTGCTACTGTGGTGCAGCGGCTCTGGTCGCAGGTGCCCGGCGCGGGGAGTTTTGGGATCGTAGAAATAGCGGGAAATCAGCTTCGCTCACTATTGTGAGGGACCCACAATAGAAATGCCATCTGCATGACACTACTGCCATGTACCTGCTCGACGCCCGGCCAAAACTGAGCTCCTGCGACAAATTCTTGGTAAGTGCTGTACTATTTACATTAACAATTTTAGTATTTTAAACATAGCTACATTTTCAGGAAATATATGCCTATAGTTTTAATTCAGGTTGTTTCACAAAATGCGTCTCTCAACAGCACCAGCCAAACATCCGCAATTTTCCGCAATATTCTGCCAAATGCTCTGCAATTTATGGCAAACATTTTCACAATTTTCTATTGGCCCACCCTATGAATCAGTGGATAAATGGCTAATATTGAACTATACCAGCTAGGCAAGACTCAGGATCAGTCTCTGGCCTGTGTTGGGTTAGCTATTCTCAGGTGAAGTAGTGCTGAATGGTAGGAGTTGGGGGAGCAGGCGGTTCACACCTGATCAATATTCAATAAGCACCACTGGAAAGTGCAGATACAGAGGGAATCAGACCTATCTCTGATTCCCCATGGAATTAAATATTCTGACAGCAAATGAAGTATGGACACTTGGGGTTTGGTATCAGAGGCTCATTGCCAGGTGTGAAACCCTACTTCAAATTAAACTGCTACCTTTTGGAGAGAAACAGAAAAAAGGAGGAAAAAGGAAAAATATAAAACAACTTTTTTAAAAAACGCTTTGAACAGGATCTAGCTTATAAAACTGGTAAACTCAGAATCTTCAAATAATAGCATCATAGAAATGTGCAATAACAGTACTCGAGTTATCACTGATAATGAACCAGAATATATACAACAGTGTTCACTTGATTGACTCTTACATTAAAATCCTGTAAAATCAACTGCAAATTGTTTTTCAAACTTGTGCGTCACAACCACTGATCCTCGAACATCATCCATTTCAACAACACAATGCACCTTCTGTGCAACACAGCTGCTACTGGCAAAATTCATGGAAAAACACTACTCCACTGATTTCAGGGAAACAATTTACTGCAGGAATCAGAACCCTATAAGACTGTGAAGTGATGCTTGTGCAGTTTTATCACCTGAACACCTCAATTGGATTATTGCTTTGTAAACATATGCAGCTGTCCATTCCCTTTATAATAAATAGCTTCTAATATCAGGATATTCTCATTTGTATGCAATCTTGCATTCTGATATTGTTCCCTGAAACCTTACACTCTCCAGTTATTCTTCACTACCAAAGGCTTCCGCACTCAGGTGAATTTGTTTAATCAGACATGAAGTTAAGTCATCCTTTTATAACGAGAGCAAATCTTACATTGTTTGCATTGACATGACACAGGGGCAGCCTCACTTTGCAAGAAAATCTTTGGTGGAGAAAGCAGTTGTTGAATCTTGTGTCTGATCCCGACTGCCACAATCATAAAAACTGCTCAAATACAACCATAGCCTCTGGTATAATATCAGCCAGGGCTCCACCGCCTGATTGCTATCCAGTGGCCCCTGCTGGTTTTGCAAGGTTGTGGACGTCAAGTGAGAATAGAATCAGAATTGGTTGCATTGCACCTGCCAACACTCGCTATCTCAGCTTCTAAGTGAAGAATAGCCAGTAGGCGCCGTACCTCAGAAAGAATAGCCCCTTCAAAAGAGGAAAGGACAAAAATAGCCTAAAGTTTCTTGGTGAAGACTGAATCTCTACTGTTCCCTTCCTCCTTCCCTCTGGATTGCTGTGGTGTTCATAAATTTTAAAAGTTCAAAACTGCCTCAGGAGTATCAAATGCTTTGGTCTCACATTTCACTTTACTAGAAAGCGGATTTGAAATAATTCGGGTGTTTACTTCACCTCAAAAGACCCACGTTTCCGTAGGCACAGGATCCACTACATTAATTTAAACTTGATTTACTGCAAGCTGTCAGTCTGTTCTCTCCATACCATCTCAAACTGTAATTGATCATAACATTGCTTCCAGTAATAACTGATAGGACATTAAATGATTGTTAATGAATACAGGGCTTGTCGGTGGTGCATCTATTTCAGATGTTAAACTCCCCCTACTTGCTTCAGTCCTGCATTAAGTGAATGAAAACAGAACTCCAGAGGAACACGACAAGTGGGATTTCAGAATAAATACATATATCGTAGATACAGTTACTTGGGGCTCACCAGAAGCAAGAAATCCATCCAATGGTCCCTTCGCCTCGCTTCCTCCCTTGCCTCCTTCAAGATCGGTTTCAAGACCCTTCTCTTCGAACGTGCCTTTGGTCACCCTCCCACCTCTCTGCCTTCCCTCACCCCTACACCACCTCTCCCTCATGCTCGGGCCCCGACACCTGACTGTTCAGCACTTTGGGACGTCCTCCCGACGTGAAAGGCGCTCTCTAAATGTAATTTTGTTGTTGTTGTTGAATGTAGGCCTGTGCTGAGGCTCCTATTTGACCAATTGTTGTAAACATTTTGGTATTCCTGAATAAAAGAAACATTTCATTCAACCAATCAAATAGTCAGAAAGGAGCAACCTGCTCCTGTAAAGGGCCTTCACCTGAAGCTGTGACTGGACGGAACGATGGGCTATCAAACTTTGCACCACATTTGTCCGATCCAAGCAGTCAATGCAATTGGTCCGGAAAACTCCTTCCTGTTGCAACAGAATCGACCCTTCGGAATCCACTAGAAAATAACTTTAACAAAAATCAAATGTAAGGTATTTTGAGAGAAGTGGGTATCTACGGTGGCTGTGATACAGGTACTATAATAGCTATAGCAAGCATCACTGAACAGATGAAAGTTGTAAGTGTCATCTATCAATAGAAACATAGAAATTTACACCAAAGAAGCTGGCCATTCGGCTGATCATTGCTCTTTTAAGAACAATCATTTCAGTCCATTGTACCTGCCCTTTCCCCATACCCCTGTAATTTAATCCTTTTTAGATATTTATCTAGTTCCCTTTGGAAGCTTATAGAATACTTCAGAATACTTTGCCATTGTCACAGTATGATGATTTAAATAATTCAGAGAGCTCATTATGTAACTTGACTCAATTTCACAATGGGTCATTTAATTTTTTAGTCGGGGGAATACTAAGTGCATTTATGAAAATTTTAACAATGTATTGCAACAAGTAGCATTTTAGGTGCGATCATTTGCACTAAACCTGTATTTCTATGAAAAATGTATAGAAGCATTTCCTTTACCCCTTGGGCAGCATCTAGTTCTAAAACTGGCCCCCTCTCCTAATACGTGCCCCGCCTCACCCCCAAGCCTCCACTAGCTCATCATTAAACAGTGAACAGGTAAAACATTTAAAGGTAAGAGAAAGTGCAATTGTTTTGTCCAAAGTGAGCACAAAATCAGTGATTGGTTTCACTGTTATTTTGGGGGGAAAAACCACAACAAATTTTGCTACATCTTTAAAGTTTCTTAACATTTATAATATTAACAGATGTGTGTGTAAATGCACTAATGGGATGTTTGGAAACAGAAACCACACCTTACCCAAATTCATCCTGCTGCTCAGCTACTTGATCTAAGAGAATTTGAAGCCGTTCCCACCTCATACGGCTGCACTCCTTGTGGAAGTCAAATGCGTGGTATCTGTAAAACAGGAGCAGCACAGTGATTACTGAAGGATTTTGACTGAATTTTTTCAGAAACAATTATGATTATCTTGTGAGTACATTATGAAGACCCACAGGATATTAATGAGCTGATCTGACACCTCAGGAACAATACTCTAGAGTGACTAATGGCCTACACCATGAGTGTTATGTAAATAAAATCGCTGTTCATACTGTGCTTTAAACAAATTGGGTTTAATAGAACATTAAGGATTATTAAAAATAGACTTTAACTGAATCTAACCTATTTGCTGTATATAAAGTATAGCTGATCTAAGAACACTTGAAGATATTACTGAGGGAAATGTACACCTTTCACAACTACAAACAAATTTCAAGGAAGGAAGCAGGTCAGTGTCAACTTCAAATATTCAGAAGTCCTCAACAGAAGTGACATAAGCTTTAGGTACCGTCTCCTTTTTATAACACTTCCTTCAGGAAGTTCAAAGAAATGTTCTGACAGAATGGACATCCATTCTGCCTCTCCCACTCCTCCAAAAGAAGATTTCCTATCAACATCCTTTCCATTTCAGACACCGACCTCCAAACTTCTATCAAGAGAAAGCAAAGATTCCTAAGTTGGAGAACAAATCCAAGACTCTTTCCAGAGATCTGACTGGTTGCTATCAAACCCAAAAATTCTTACAAACTTGGAAGGAGTTTACTTTTACTGTCACAGATGAACCACTTTCTATCTGAAGCCACATCAATGCCCATGCCAATTGTCTTTTGATGATGCTGGAGAACTTGCATATCTTAACTCCTCAGAGCAATCTGTCTAACCTCGCCAGACATTTCCATCTCAATGAACTGTCAGTCAGTCACATTGGATAAACAGGAGGGAGGGGTCTGCAAGTTGATGCAATGAATACCTGATCTTCCAGCTGACCAATCACTGAAAAACCAAATTGAACATTTGGTGCTACATAACTTGTACTCAACTTTGGCTATTTTCAAAAGCCAAAAGGCACTAGTGAGGCTCTGCAGTCCCCAAATGCATGTCCGAGATAGTTTGAGGGAGTCTTACCTACTTACAGATGTGTCCAGCCATATTAGGATACTATCATGAGACACAGCATGATGTATATTAATATAGAACCTGCTCACTCTATATCAGACTGGGATTCTTAAGTGAAACTCTTCCTTGACAGTCTAAATACCGTGGAAGCTATTTCAATCTGATGTATAATGTACTCTCTCTGTGCACCTATCCCCCAGCCCCCAAAAGCTGGGACATGAGTAGCATTAAGCTATGTAAATAATCCTGCTGAAACATACTTAACCATCACATTCGCCAAGCTTGCAATCATTTTGGAATAGGCTTGCTCCAGGCCTTTCTCTGGACCTTTCTGATCAACCTGTAAATCAGTAATAATACAAATGTCAAACTGCAATCCATTTTTATCAAATGTAACCAAACAGATGATCTTTTTAGGATGCCATTTGATAAGAAAAATAAATCATACCAAGTTTACTGCCATTTGCTTCCCATAGCTAATAATCTGAGAGTCAAAATGCCTTTGAAACCCATCCATCTGAAATCAGAAATAAAAAGATCCTGTGAAGCCTTTTTTTTTAAAAAAAATCACTAAAATGCTTCACTAAACTATACAGTACCTCAAATCAAAAGCAATCACCTATCCTGGGAGTTGACTCAATGGGACTCTGAGCCTTTTTCTGCTCTTTCTATGTAAATATTATTATTATAATCTGTATAAACTAAACAAATACGAAAAGTACTGCTTATCACTGGATTCTAACCTTTGAGGTTCACAAGAGAGTGCTAATTTAAACTTCCCAATCAGCCTGAAAGGTCGACTTTTTCCAAAGGCCGATAGAATGAGTGAATTAGACAGTTTTTGGGGAGGTGGTGTTTTGTTCTCCAGACATTTCACACTTTGGTGACTTGATAAGTTGCAATTGCCTCTTCACACCTAGTTTGTAAATATTGCAAATTATGTTTCCTCTGTACTGATGACAAACCTAAATTATGATTGCAAACAGTTTTGTTATCCTAAAGAAGTAATATCCTTGAGTACCGCCTGAGGCACATGGTACATCCTAGTCTTGGATTGGTGCTTAGTTTCTCTAAAATATGATTTGGTGGGTACTTTTTAGATGATCCGCAAAAAGACAACTGAAACTTTTAGCTACATCATATCATTTATAAAATGGATTTTCCAAGCGGGCACACGTAAAAAAAAACTACCAATTGCAAGTTCACCAAAAGAAATAAATGATAAATTTACGGCCTCTGAAATGCAACTTTGGTACAAACCTCAATAACAATTATATAGAACATTACAGCATGGAAACAGGGCAATCGGCAAAACTAGACCATGGCAGTGTTTATACTCCACAGAAGCCTTCCCTCCTAAACTCCTCTATCATAACCCTCTCTCCATTCCCTTAGACCTCATATATGCTATCAGAACATTTCTGGATGCAATGGGCAGGTTGCTTTGCTCCAGGATAACTTATTTTACTTTTTAAGGATACATACATGGTTCATGGATTTGCTGATCTGTGGCTTCGGTTTGTATCTGAGGTTTGGCCTTTGCGACCAGAAAAATGGAATTGATCCTCTTGTCTTGAAACCAGAAAAGAATAAGAAAACTTGTCAAACAGAGTAGGCACAATATAAGAGATTAACAGCTTTAATGTAACTCAGCATTACTAACACAGGCTATTTTAATGTGTGGCTGGGCTTAGACAGTATTTCAAGATACTAAATAAAATAATGAAAGATTCTTGTGCAGTAAATTCTGCAGAGTTGTGATAAATGTGTCATATTTTACAGGATTTTGATGGCAAAAAATTTGTGCTCTATAGGGGCAAACAAAACAAGGAATAATTGATTCACAGACAGAATGATTAAAAAAAGGTTCAACACAGCAAATAAAATCACTTGAAATGAAATGTCAGAAGTAAAGCTTGAGGGAAACTGCATTCATCAAAATTGTCATATAACAATAAATGATCTAACAGCTTCAGAGCCTTTCCCTGTGTCCCTTGTGCCTTGTAACCACTGGTCAGAAACAGCCCGAGAGTAGATAATAAATTAGAATGATTCCCAACACGTTCTATGCTGTTTTAGAACAAGGGTATTTACATAAAATTTCTGTGCCCACGCTGCCTCTGACCAGCAGTCTCAGAGCACAAGGGTCAGAAAATGTATGACACCGAAAATATTGCACAATGCATACAGTTTGCACCTAGATTTCCTCATACAGCAAATTACTAAATTCAAGAGGGGTGGGTGGGGGGGAGGGGGTGGCAGGTGGGCCGAGGCTCTTCTTGTGAAATGCTAAACAACCACTTAAAAATAATTTTGTCTGAGGCATTGCAAGAAAGCGGAATGTACACTAAGACAAAGGACATCTATCTCCCTTCACAAAATTGAATGCTGTGCAGCAATTCATATCAATACAACTTTCTTCAAGGCGATCCAGCATCAGATCCAACACCAGGAAGATGGGAAATCCAACATTCTGATCAAAGTACTACCTTCCCACATTTTGGTGAATTTGGTCAATTTCCTCAAAATATAGCAACTTTTGGACATCTTGGGCTAACGGTCCATTGCCAGTGATTCAGTAGTTTCTATAACTCATGGGAGAGCCTTGCTATGCATATCTCTTTTACCAAATGTACCATTTAAAACATTTATGATGTAATGGTTTTGAGAAGGAGGTATGGAAGAGATCAAACTACACATTCCGGTTATCAGGATTTAGGTTATGAGGTCAGGGTTAGGAAGTTTGGGCCTATTTTCTTGGAAGACAGAAGACTCTGAGGTGACCTAATTGAGATTTTCCAGCTCATAAAAGGGGATCAGCAAATCTGATGTAGGCACATTTTTCATTGCAGCAAAACTTTTAACTTCTCTCCCTTGGTATTAAACATTAGACATTTGAAAGTAAGGAGAAGAATCAGGCAGAACTTTGTTTTTACAAAAAAAGTAAAAGATTTGTAGAATAAGTCACCAAAGAAGCCATTGGACCAGATAGTGTAAATAGAGTCATGGAATCATAGAATCTTACAGGAGACCATTCGGCCCATCGTGCCTGTGACAGCTCTTTGAAAGAACTATCCAACTAGCCCCACTCCCCTGCTCTTACCCCACAGACCTGCATATTTTTCCTTTTCAAGTGCATATCCAATTCTCTTTTGAAAGTTACAATCAAATTTATTTCCACCATCCTTTCAGGCAGTGCATTCCAGATTGTAACAATTCTCTGGGTAAAAACATTTCTCCTCGAATGGCCTCTGGTTCTTTTGCCAATTATCTTAAATCTCTGTCCTCTGGTTACTGACTCACCCACCAGAGGAAACAGTTCCTCCTTATTTACTCTATAATAATAATAATAATCCTTGCATTTGATATAGCGCTTTTTACGTCAGGAGGACGTCCCAAAGCGCTTCACAGAACACACTGTAAAGTGAATTAACTGTACATTTGTGGGCGAAAGCGGCAGCCAATTGCGCACAGCAATGTCCCACAAACAGTCGTAGATTGAAAATGACCAATTTATTATTGTTTTGGGTTTTGGAGAGATTATTATTAGGCGTGTGGAGTAAGGAAACTTGCCCAAGGTTTCGCCCTGACCTGCCTGGAATTGAACTCAGGTCTCTCACTTGCAAAGCGAGTGCTCTAACCACTGAGCTACAGGACTCTACTCTATCAAAACCCCTCATAATTTTGAACACCTCTATTAAATCTCCCCTTAACCGTCTCTGCTCTAAGGAGAACAATCCCAACCTCTCCATTCCCTCCACATAACTGAAGTGCCTAATCCCTGGTTAATTCTGATAAATCTCTTTTGCATCCTCTACAAGGCTCTGACAACCTTCCTAAAGTGTGGTGCCCAGAATTGCACACAATACACCAGCTGAGGCCTAAACCAGTGATGCGTAAAGGTTTAGCATCTGGGTTCAAGAGGGTGAAATGGGCTAAATTTCATGTCAAGACTTGGAACTCATATAGTCTAAGATGACCGTCCAATGCAGTGCTGGGGGTGTGCTGCATTGTCGGAGGTGTGGTCCTTTGGATGAGACTTTAAACGAAGATTCCATGTGCCCATTCATGTGGGCATGAAAGGTCCCAAAGTACTATCCGTAAAGAAGAGAGTTTATTCAGGTGACCCGGCCAACAGTTCCTAAAATAAAATTACTCACTCACTCCATGGCTGTTTGTGGGACATTACTGTGCACAAATTGGCTGCCGCATTTACCTACACAATACAGTCATTGCACTTTCCTGTATATCCTGTGAAGCGCTTTGGGACGTCTCCCTGATGGAAAAAGGTGCTATTCCAAATGCAAGGATTATTGATTAACTGCAATTCTGGAGAGTGAGGAAATGGGTTGGGGGGAAGATGTTGGAAAGTGACAGTTTTGTTGGATTTTAAAAAATGCCTTTTCTTATTCCCAGCATTTGTTATATTCTTATCAACCTAGCCAATGAACATCACAAGAGCATTTAATGTAGTTATGGCAACAGCCTGAAGGCAAACACAGAAGCTGTAGTTAGTAAATAATTGCTATCCTGAGGTCCTGTCATCTGTACATTTCTGGATTGTGCATTTGAATTCCGGCTCATGGAATTGGATTATTAGTAACAAATTAGTTTTTTTTTGCCAAACAAAACAAAGTAAAGTTGTATGCCATAAACAAATAGACAACCCAGCTTCACAGGTATTGGCACTAAGAATGGGGGGAAGGGTGGAACAAAAGAGCAAAGAAAAGTCCACCCATGGCACATCTGGGTAATTCATAATTGATACCATGGAAATTTATAAATTTAGACCACATTGTTCTGCCCCCAAAATCTGATAAGATAAAGAATAACTTTTTTTAAAACTTGAAATGTTAAAAAAGAGGTTGAGTGGGAGGTCAGAAATATCGGGATTGAAATAAAATTATCTTCCTTAAAGGAAAGCAAATTCTTAAAGAGATAATGTTAAAATTTATTGTTAGCTAAAAGACATAAGGAAATTCTGTCACTTTGCAATAGAAATTACTTTGGATAGATATCTGGGGAGGACGAATTTGCAGGGCTATAGGGAGTGAGCGGGGGAGTGGAACTAATTTAGATAGCTCTTTCAATTTGAATTCTTACTTGCAGAATCAAAACTGGTGTTAATACGGCTGTCGCTTTACTTTGTAAGCAGGATAGGATCTTGACCTTTGCACATGGCACATGATGCTCCATTTGTTGCTTTATATAAATTCTTCGTAAAGTGAAGTAGTTATTGTTTGCTCTCAATCTCAGCAGAAGAATAGGCAGAGCCAGTTCACTGATGTAATAAGCTTACAGTCTTCTCGCAGAACGACTTGCTCTGTTAATTCCATACAAAAGGTGGTGAACACCATCTTCATTAAGGCTTTGAAATGTTCTTTAGTTTTACTAGTCTTGCCTGTAGGTTGGGTTACATCAAAATTTTAACTCATGTTCACAAGAGAATTTCAGTCTTCTGATCTTTGGCTCACTGCATAAGAATGTTTTTATACAATACCGAGCCCCACAAAGGAAACATAAAATTCAAACACGGGGAAATAATGCTGTGTGGAATAATGCCAATCAGAATTTACCCCCCTTCAATTGCAGGCTATGTCCTCCAGTTCTCCTGTTCTGGACAAGATGAAACAACTTGCCATGGTCTATCAGTCTTCTTTTTGGCAGTCTATCATTTTCAAGTGCAGACCCTCCTATAGCCAAAAATTGAGAAGGTGGGAGTGCAGCTGCTTGAATACTCTAGAATACTGACTTGTGTAAAGTGAGTGCCTTTATAGCAGCCGTACTAACAACCAGTGCTGCACTTTTGATTCTACAAGTAAGAATTTAAATTGTGCTTACAGTGAAAACTTTTCTGAAAGTGAATTGACAAATAAGGAAACTTAATTTTAACGTCCTAGTTACTTATCGCCTTCTCGTATCATGACCCAGTGTTTAGAGAAGGGATGTAACATATATTACAATCAGAAATATTAGCTTTGGATTTACAGTGAACTGTAAACTGCAGACGTCCCTAATAAATCTTTTTCAACTGTGAGATTCCCTCATTTGGAAAATGAACGTGAATGTTGATGGTAAGTTAAAATTGCACTTAAATGTTTGACAATTGTTGTTGGAAAAGGTACTTGATGTACTTAGGAGGCAAAAGAACATCTGAGCCACCTGGAAAGAGTGCCAAGTAAAAACTCTCAACAGTTCATTATTTTTGTAGACTCAAAACTCCTTACACAGCTCGCCAAAGATTTAACACTTACAGCACTAGTATTCCCGGAGAACTCTGTAACTCCAGGTTGGCTACAGTATTATGCTAATTTATTACACACAATGAGGCTCAGATATGACATTACAGAAATAAACTGAAATATTAGGAGCAATTTTAGTACTCCCTAAAATCAATATACAGGATTTTAATCATAAGCCACTACTATTGCTCTGTCTGATTTTTGATTATTCTCTGTTTAACCTTTTATTTTCTATGATCCACATTTCTTGTGCACCAATTACTTATTCTTGAGGCTTTAGCAAACAGGCAAGAATATTTATGTTTTTCTCTGTCTCCTCCCGTCCATTTTCTGACACCGGTCCATTAGTTTCCAATTAGCTGAACATTGGTTTCATAATCTATTTTGCAGCTAATCAGAAAATAACTCAATAAAGATTGACCAGATTACTTCATTCAAACATCAAGCATTTTATTCAATTTTCAGGTGACTTTGGGTAGAATGAGCACCATGGAAGACAAGCTGATGTGGTAGCAACCCAGATAAGATAATGCTCTAAAATGAATTCTCATTGCTTGCATTCAGGAGTTACATTGACTCCTTGCATGTTTGGAGTGTGAATTTAACAGAACACATCCCAATCACTCTTCCAAAAGAAACTTAAAACAGAACACAAACAGGCCTGAATTGTCAATTTCAGTAAGAGCTTGGTATCAACTTGTGCAGTGGGTGACAAAAGTCATAACATTACCCATTTATCACACACTTACCTGCACCAAGGATGCTTTCCAGCCATTGTATTGGACTATTTGTTCAGTCTCCACAAAGTTTGCAGCATGTCCTTCAGAATCAATACCTAACAAGCATTGAAAATAAAATGTTGAAAGGTTCTTTAAAAATAATCCAATGTTAATTATTGATCAGATTTTTGTAACTGCAATTAATTCCACTTCACATGCCAAAATTTTGATGTTAGAAACTTCTACCTTCTGCAGGGTAACCATAAGCACAGTATGCAAACTTTTCTTATTCGCTATTTTTTACAGTGCAAATGACTGAAAATAATGGACTCAAAATGTCTCTGGAATTCCAAGTGTACAAAACATCAATCAAAATTGTTTCAAAGATAATCCAAAAGACTATTGCAAACACAGGACATGCAAACTATGCACAGTAGCTGCTATTTTGTAAGTACATGCTACTGTTGTGCACTATTTAGTGGCAACACAGCAAACTTTTTAAAAAAAGGTTCCAGGTTCAATTTTTCAGGGTTAAAAAATAAAATGCAAGCTGAAATTCCTGAACCCTTAAATAGCCACATAGAAACAGGAGTAGGCCATTCAGCCCTCGAGCCTGTTTTGCCATTCTATAATATCATGGCTGATCTGTACCTCAAGTTCAATTACCGGTTTTTGCCCTGTATCCCTCAATATCCTGACCTAACAAATAGTTATTCTACCTCAGTCTTGAAGATGTGAAAGGATCCACATGAACTGGATAAATATGGGTGTCGTAGAACACTTTGTGAAAGGCTGACTATCTTTGATCAAAATTTTGTTTGCTGCACATTCAAGGTGACTTGTATGAAATGCACCAATGCATTGCAAACTTAAGTACCATCTTATGATCAAGAGAACTTGGAAACGATCTGTTGTAAGACTTTTGTCAAGCTTAATCCAACCAGCTGTCAAAATGAGTAATCTTATAGCAAATCATTTGCACAAGCCTAAAACAGACTGCTGTGGTAACTTGTATAACCGACCTTCTGTGACTACATAACAGCATAACTTACTTAGATTAGTGTCAGTTCTATTTGGAAAGCGGTTCTCCCGAGTATCCTGAACAATAACCGCCCAAATACAATTGGTCATTAACTTTGTGGCTGTTTGTGGCACACTGTTGTGCATAAACTGGCTGTCGAATTCAATCATACAAAAAAATTAGTCACCGCACGTAGCAAATAGTGAAGTGGTTTGGCACATCCTTCCGATGTGAAAGACACTGTACCAAATGTAAGGATTATTACAATAATTTTCTGTATATTTGATTTTTTAATATTAAAGGTCCATCCATTATCATATTAAATATAGCTCTGTTATAACACATTTCCAAAGTGCTAATTCGGTTATAATGTGGTTGAGATGGGGACCCCATTGACTGTGCATGACAGAAGTCGCCCTGTTTACTTCCCATGTGCCATCCGGCTCTCATGCTAAAATGGACACCTTCTGTGTCATTAGGACCACATTTCGCCCACAAATATAGTCAATTCACTTTACAGTCTATTCTGTGAAGCGCTTTGAGATGTCTAGAAGACGTGAAAAGCGCTATATCAAATGCAAGGATTATTGTTATTGTAGGTCACCAGTGTCCTCGTATTCTACGCACTATGTGAAGCCTAGGACGTGATGGCAGAGATCCGATGACCTGGAGGCTGACAATTGTAGCTTCCTGAGAACTAAAATGACCGACTCCAGGTTGCTGCCGACATCACTTCCTGCTTTGCACAGTAAAATGGAAACATTGAGTTTTAATTTAAAAAAAACTGAGTGATGAAAATAAAGTAAAAATAAAAATGGTGGTAATGCATACTGACCACCGTCTGAAAGAGAATCCCATTTAAAAGATGGAAACGTAGGAATCACAATACACCCAACAGAAGGGTGAACAGGAAGAGGTCAATAAAGTGGAGTCCTGTAGCTCAGTGGTTACAGCGCTCGCCTCGCAAGCGAGAGACCTGGGTTTGATTCCCACCAGGGTGAATCTTGGGCAAGTTTTCTTACTCCACATGTCTGATAATAAACCCTCAAGAAAAAAAATAATAACTTGGTCACTCAATCCACGAATGTTTGTGGGACACTGCTGTGCGCAATTGGCTGCCGCATTTTGCCCAAAATATAGTCAATTCACTTTACAGCATATTCTGTGAAACGCTTTTGAGATGTCTGGAAGACATGAAAAGGGCTATATCAAATGCAAGGATTATTTTTATTATTTAATTCAAACATACTTTCACAAACAGGCAGCGAATGGGTCAATTATCCATTTAGAGATTGTGAAATTCTATTGAGAGGTGTAAAGTGCTATGGGAAGGTCATCTGAGAGAAGGATAAGATCTACAGGCATTTGAAAAGCATAGGATGGAGTGGGACACAGGTCCAAAGTGTAAGGGAAAGCAGCAGAATGTGAATGCCATCTACTGGTGGAATCCCTAACTCAGGTCTGAAATTGCTGAAGTCAAAGCTCAGATCAATGGACTGAAGATGAGATACTGCCTCTCGTTCCTAATATTTGTGCTGATCTTGGCTGGTGCAAAACAGGAAAGATTAGTGTGAGAGAGAGGGGTTAATGAGAGTTAAGTAACTGAGCCACAGGAAGTTCAGGATAACCTCAGCATCTGACCTTTGAATAAGATGTCTTAACAATTGCATCTCAGTATCCACAATGTTTGATTTAAAGCCGAAAATTATAAAAAGATGCAACATCAAAGCATAACTTATCTAAATGTTTCTGACCTTTCAATGAACACAATATTTGTAAATCTTCAATAAATCACATGGGACACCCATTACTGGGTCATATAATTTTGAAACCTAAGTCAAAGGTCAAGGCCTAATCAAAACAAAATCTGTGATGTGCCAAATGTGTACCATGAGATGTATTCCATTACATAAAAATTAAGCAGTCAAATTTTATGCAAAATAGTTTTCTTGAATTAGCTTTTCTACTGGAGCCTGTGGGTCACAACCAAACCGGCACATATTGATCACCGCACTTTTACCCACAACAATAAGCAACTTGCACTGTTTATCCACCTGAGTGAAGACTTAAAATGTAAACTGCAACTGTCAGTCACTTGAGTACCAGACTTGCTGCCAGAGATTTGGAGTTTGAAATCAGATGGCCTACCCATCCCTTCACCCATCTGAGGTGAATCAAACAACCGCGTCTAAAAATGCAGAAAGAAGAAAAAAAGAAAAAGAGAAAGAGAGAAAAAAAAAGAGAGAAAGAAAGAAAGAAAGAAAGAAAGAAAGAAAGAAAGAAAGAAAGAAAGAAAGAAAGAAAGAAAGAAAGAAAGAAAGAAAGAAAGAAAGAAAGAAAGAAAGAAAGAAAGAAAGAAAGAAAGAAAGAGAAAAATTTAAATAAAAATCAGAGAAGCTGACACACACAAACATAATGAGATAGAAAGAAAAGCAATGACATACAAAGAAGAGCAGAGAGAAATATGAGCACAGTGTGTGAATGAAGCAGAGAGAGAATTTCATTAGTTAGTTAAAAGATATCATTACTTACCACGAACGTAATATCGAACTCCCGCCCTGAAGCAACTCCTCCTGGAGATAATTATCCAGTCAAAATATTTTCCATTTACGCAGCAACATTTCACCAGCATGACTGACATTGGAGGTGGTTAAGGATCATATTTAACCAAAGTAAAATTTCCTTATCATACTTGTTTACCAGAGCAGGATGGAACATAGCATAGATTGTTAAAAAATTAACGTTAACACATTAAAACAATTCCCGAACAAGGAGTAGTGTTCTAGATCGATTGCTTCCTTAGCTTACAAACAACAACTTGTATTTGTGTATCACTTCACAGTGATCAGAGCACCGAGCAGGAATGTGAGGAAGAATTTTCAAGAGGGTTGTAAAAATAGGAAGAGAAGGAGCAAAGTGAAGGGAGTTTAGCAGAGATTGGGCAGTGTCTGGCCATGCTCATGATAGTGCAGGATAGGATTCGGGCTAGAGGTTTAGATAAGTTGGGCTTGTGGAGACTGGAGCTAGGGAGGCTGGCAAGAGAGAACATTGGAGAAGTCTAACCTGCCGTGGGGGGAGGAAGCAGGGGTAAGAGACAGGATGCAGATGGGCAAGGTTTTGATCATGAATGTATATAATATAATATAATATAAGCCTTGCATGATATAGCGCTTTTCACATCTTCAAGACGTCTGTAAAGTGAATTGACCATATATTTTGTGGGCAAAACCCAGCAGCCAAATGCACACGGCATTGTCCCACAAACATTCGTGGATTGAAGTGACCAATTTATTATTGTTTTTTTTCTTGAGGGATTATTATCAGGCATGTGGAGTAAGGAAACTTGCCCAAGGTTTTGCCCTGCCGGGAATCGAACCCAGGTCACTTGCTTGCGAGGCGAGTGCTGTAACCACTGAGCTCCAGGACTCCTTACGCAGGTTCATGTAGAATATGAAGTTGGACTGAGGGTCAAGCAGAATGCCAAGCATTGACTCACTTAGCCAGAACCTGCAACCAGGGATGTTGATAAGAATCAGAGTAAGAGTCAAGAAGGCATTGTGAGAACCAAACAACAAATCCCTCCATCCCAATCCCTGATTTCTCCTTCTTCACTTTCAAATCCTGGGCCAAAACACTCTCTCCTTGACTGCACCTTTGGCTTCCAAATTTTCCCACCTAGCTAAAGCTCCCATCCCATCGTTGCAAAGCACTTGAAGATATTCTGTTACATGAAAGGGAATATATAAGTGTAAATTGCTGTTGCTGTAACAATTCAGTTTGTGTACACACAAATACTGCACAAAACACGCAGTCAAACCCATTTGAAATGGAAAGCTCTAGTACAAGCCATTTTCCCCATGCCCAGACATTATTACAGTAACATAGTCAGCCCTCATTGGAAAACCTTTTTGACCATTATAACTGACTGGATGCAACATTTATTAAATGAGAAAGTTCCTAATTCAAACAAAGTGAATTACTGTACAACTTCTCTACCCCCCAAAACACAAGGATTAAGCACAATGCAAAATATTTTCACACAAGTGAACCAAACATAAGGTTTAGCCGCAAGGTGCTGAACAGATTCAACCCAATGTGTAGTCATAGTGACTGGATGTTTTTGAAGCCGGAGGAATGGCCTATAAACAACAAAAGTCAGAGAACTGAAGGGGAGGTTTTGTTTAATCGTCAAAACAATGGGAGACCAACCAAACCTGAATAAAGGGAACAAAGAAAACTTTATACAACATCCATTCCCAAATGGTGACCACAGCTTGATTTCTAAACACTCACCATAAGCAATACCATTGAGACGCGTTAAGTCTGATAAGACTTAAAACATTCTGATAAACGCATATTTGTGCCCTTCTAGGGTCAGAACATGACATCTGAAACCTCAAGCGATAGCAGCCTCTAATTTCCTTCATGAATTATAGACAATTAGCACAAGTCCAATTATTTTGAGCTTCGGGCAGAGTGTTTAGACATGTCTATTGAAGCCCTACATACAATGAGTTATTTCCTCTCCAATAAATAATACTGTGGATATAGTAGTTAGTTTATCCTAAAATATCTAGATGAAGAGGCTATCAATAAAAGCATAATAAGTTTAATAATTTAAGAGTTGAAATCTGCACCAGTCTTCAACAAAACCAAAATTTTGAATTTATATAGCACCTTTCACAAAGATAATGTCTCAAATACGTTGTTTCCGAGTTACCCTTGCCTGATAGTGAATATATCAAATGCAAGGATTATTTTTACTACCTAAAACCTAGAGCTTTCTCAAAAAAGCATTACAAGAGTGAAAAGTAGCAGCTAATTTATTTGAAAAGACGATTTTAATCATAATAATGAGCCATGCCCTGCCATTAGTTGAGTTGCTCTTTCATTTATTGAGCACCATAATAAATAACATTAACCACGACACCAGCTATAATCCACAAGTAGAAAACTCAAACAATCATCAATTTCAGTCTGAAATTATGCTTAGATGCACATTCAGAATGCTCACGGCTGAATACTATATATATATATATTTTTAAAATAGTCTCAATAGAGAATGTACCTAAATAATTTATTTCATCTTAACAGATCAAATATTAACACAATTTTTTAAAGATGTCAACAACTTTGATCGTAAATGTTTAAAATAGAAAGGTTCATCATACCAGCCTATTGTGGCTTTAATTAAAGTGCAGGTTTTCCAATATTTGTACTATCAGTGGTGTCTACACAACCTGTACAGCTTCTCCTTTAGTCGGGGGATAAGTACCTTAGGCCAAGTTATTTGCCTTCAATTTTGGTCCCTAAAAGAAGAAATAACCCTTAAAAAGAATTTTTTGTGCTGGGTAATCCAACAAATCTCCGGAGCAACACACAGCGCGTGAAAAAGCTAATCCTGTTTTGTAAGGAGCTCTGTTGAGACAGTTTGTTATGAACTGAACAATCTGCCACTATAAAACTATTGCACTGATATGAATGTGCAAACTGAAGTCATGAACCAACAATAGAGCATTTATAATGTACATTAAACAAATTCATACGTTGTTAATTGAAGGCAAACAAAACAGTCGCTCATACCTTACTTCAAATTATCAAATACTAGAAAAAATATAAATACAATTGCACTAAATACACAGGGAAGTTGGATTCTTTAAATTTATAATTTAAAGCAATTCAGAAAAAAAAGTAGAACTGAGAGAGAAATATAAAGAAATAATGACTAACAAAACAGAAAAAAAAAGATAGTAGTTGGGAAACATGGTGAAATAGAGTGGATGTCTGTTACTGTCACTTTCAATTTGTCAGCCAAATGAAAAGAGACAGTTAAGTGTGAAGCAGCAATATTAGGAAATCAACCTCCATGCACGATTCCTCTGAAAGGCGGTCACAATGAACAGTGATGCAATAAAATTTCCATCAAATAAGTCATTCAAGAGTTTGTAAGTGACTCCACATCAATTTTGTGGAGATTGCAATTTCACTCCCCACTTAAAAGAACCTAGAAACCATTGCAACTGACTCATGCGACAAGAAAATAACAGGCATGGACGTGTGCAATAACTAGAGACTACAAGCAGGAATTAATGATAAAGGGAAGATCAGAACCAAAAAGTCAATGCCAGTCTGCTGAGAATAAGGAAGTCAAAAAGTGACAAACAGCACTTAATTAAACAAATCACAAACAGTAGCAATGGGAGGGAAAAAAAACAATTGACATAGAATATGCAGGAGAGATCCAATTACACCAACAAACAACCATGTCAATGGTTCACTATTGTGCAGCTTGTAACACGTAATGGGAATTATGTCATCAATGGATACAGCATTGCATTAATAAGAGTGTATTAATTTGCTAGTGAGGATATAACAAGGAAGTAAAGTCAACTTAGTCATTCGCACTTTAGTTAATACCTGATAAGCGACTACTTATTTAAAAAAAAGAACTATTTTACATAAATTAACGCAGCATGAAAAAGAGCCACTGGGTCCAACTAACTCATGTTAGTGATACCTGCATTTTGGTTCAGTAAATATTTTTGCTCCAATTGTTTTTAACTCTTGTTCTTTTCTAACAAATACTCAGAAAACAGCTCATGTAAGCAGTAAAATTGGTCCAAAAATGATACAAAATATTGTGTTTCAAATAAGAATCCGAAACATTTATGTATGAAATAGAAGAGAAAGACAGAACATAAAAGAAAGTGAAAAACTAAGATGTAACCCCACTCAGGGAGACTAAAGTTAATTTTAACATCTGTGGATTGGGGAAGGATTTACATAGGATTCCAACTCCTAATAGTTATCCAATCATCCCAGATGGTATATGTATGGGTGTCAGAAGAGAACATCGATCTTAGTCGTGTTGGTTCTCATATAGTTAAAAAGCATGGTGATGTATAACATTCAGATGCATCACTGAAACAAGGTGCCATAGGACTGCCACAGTCTAGTAACTGCATTCGGGAGGAACACAACACCTTACACTTATATAGCACCCTCCACCAGGATAGCGTCTCAGAGCGCTTAACAGTGGCTGAGCCTGACTCCGAACTGGGGCGTGGGGGGTGAGGTGACCGTAAGCACGGTCGAAAAAAAAGGTTTTCAGGCAGGACTTGAAAAAGGGGAGGGGGCAAGGTGGAGGGATTAAGAGAGAGTGTTCCACAGTTTCGGGGCGTAGGGGCTGGAATGGAGGGTGCGGTGGACGAGCAGGAGGCCGGTGCCAGTCAAGTGGAGGCGCCGGGTGGTGGATTGGGGAGTGAGGAGGTCGGAGAGGTAGGGAGGAGCCAGGGAGTGAAGGGATTTGAACAGGATAGTGAGGATCTTGGTCGATCTGTTCGGTGATGGGGAGCCAGTGGAGTCTGGCCAGAACTGCTGAGATAGGTTTACGGAGTTTGGTCCGGGTCAGTATGCAGACTGCGGAGTTCTGAATGAGATGTAAATATGGAAAAGTTATTTAGTAAAAGGACATTTATTACCAGCTTTCTGTATTGATAGGGAAACTTGACCCAGAGCAAAAAAAGTTAGTCCGAGTAGCAGACCAGAGTCGGAAGGGTGGGAGAATGGTGCTGGAAGAGAGGTTGAGGAGCAGCAAGGCTGTGAAGGGACTGGAATGTTAGGATGAGGATTTATTGATCTGCTGCAGTGCTGGGAGCCTAGTGAGGAAGGAGATAATGGGTGTGCAGAGCATAGTGTGGGAAAGAATACAGACTGTGTTAAATGCTACAATTATCTTTTTATGTTTTATTGAAAAATGTCATAGATAAGAAATGTGTAATAGAGTAACTACTGTGCAGATGATTTGGAGATTATGGAGGGAGAAGCTAGTGAGGCCAGCAAGGAGAGCATTTAGAAATCTAACCTAAAGTTGATAAAGGCATGGATAGGGATTTCAGCTAAAGAGGGAGTGAGATCAAAATAAAATACACAGTTTTAACTGTTACGGGTATTCCTCGGTGGGGGGTGGGGGGTGGCTAAACTGGCTCCAACGTGACATGCTTGGCAACAGAATGCCAGAATCGAGCCAGCCCTCTGTGGTGGGCTTGGTAATCCAGTTCCTAAGCCAGGCGGGTATGCAGTATTCCAGGGCACTGCTGATGACAGCACATCCTGGCTCATCGGCAGGACCTGGAGGGGCAGACGAGTAACTGGGGCAGGAATTCTTACCACTCAGTTCCTGCAAGCCAAAGTCCTAATGGGTAGCTAGACAAGCAATGGGAAGGCTTGCCAGATAGTGCTCTTAATGGCAAGTTATGCAACTTTAGTAGGTTAAACTCCAGCAGTATCCCATGCATTTTCTGGCGTTCCCAAGCCTTTGTTCTTGCCAATCTGCACCTAATACTCTCCGGCATTAAGAAAGCAGGATGCACCCTCCAGGGAGAGAATTTCCATGTTATAGATGGAACGTATGGAGCTCTCAGTTTGGTTTGAATAGTCTTGAGCATAGTGATGAGTTTCCACATGTGTCAGACACCTGGCTGACCAAAAAAACAGGCATGAACACTGAGTCAGAAATAAATGAACAGAGCAGTAATGTAAATGGACAGTAATATCCCTTGCCTATGATTGCTAATATGTACTTTAGTGTGGGAATTTGATTATTATTCATCATAGTTGGCTCCATCACCATTCTGTAAAAGGATACAACCATGAACCACTGGAACAGCAAATCTGTGGAGCTGTTGGTAAGAAAAGAAGATACATTAACTCAGCTGTCAATTACCGGTGAGAGAAAGGATGAGTTCTATCAATATTTGCCCATTGGGGATGCAGCATTTCAAACAAGTTCCAAATCACAAATGATTGTGATCGTTGTCAAATAAACATGAATTTTGCAAATTGAAATCTAGTGACATTAAAATGTGGACGTTAAAATGCATTTTTTTCTCATCTTCTATAGTGTTCCTGTGGAAATTCCTTGTGGAATAGCCACCGAGAACATTGTTCTTCACAATGTACGTCTGTGTTGCTGCAGTTTCTTTGCAATAACAGTAATAGCAAACAACATAAGAAGAAGCTATTACCTCTGGGTCAGAACTCAACTCATTGGCTTGGGACAAACGAGAATTGTGCTTGGCTTCAATCTTACAGCCAGGCAGCAAGCCCATTCATTTAGGACAGGCCTGTTCTGCACAGGAAAAAACTCACAAAACCCTCTATTTCTATTGAGGAAGTTGCGAATAGCACACATAATAATTATAAACTGGAACGTGCCGGGCATGTTATAACAATAGAGACAATGGCTTTGGGAAGAGGGAAGTTAGAAGGAGAGAAATTAATCAAAAACTTTTAGTATGTCACATAAATAAAAATGCATCAACTTTTAATTTAAAAATCTTAACCAGATCATGTACAGTTATTTTACTGAAGCGCTCTGGGATGCTGCCCTGCGTGAGGGACGCTATATAAATGCAAGTTGTTGTTACTTTTCCTGTTAGTACAGATATAATACATTACAGTAACTATGAGGTTAGTTTTTTTTTCCCAAAAGCTGGTACAGTATATTTCACCTTTCTGGGTGTTCCAAGTATTGGACTATGATTATCACTCCACTAGCTTTGGGATGAACAGTCTGCAAAATGTCTAAATACAAATTGTGTGGAGAGTAAGGGCCTAAAAAGCCATTTAGTCTTAGCTTAAGATCATTTTATTAGAATTTAAGATTACAGAAAAATTCTAATTTCTGCCTTAATTTAGAAGCCAGTTTCTTGCAGTTCTTAAAAAGAACTGACTTCTAAAGTAAGACAGAATTTAACAATTTTCCACAATTCTGGGAGATCTTAAATTTTGAGACAAAATGGATAAAGCTAGTTATCAAACCAAGTGTTTTTTTCACTTTTGTTGAAGGAATATTACCCTTAGTCCTAATGCCATGCAGGAGTCATTCTCATCCAGGAGACAAAAGATAGCTCATCTTCTGATCTCTAGGCATCCTACAATAAAGTAGCCTGCAACAGGTTGCCAAGGGTCATGATTTATATGCTTTGCCTAATTGCATTTAATCCCAAGCAGTCTTCACAATCTTAATAGGGCACGCTTCACAATCTCACTTTCTCTCTCCCATCCTCATTGGTTTTAGAATGCGGAAAAAAAATGGCAACCCTACTTTGGACACAATCGGAAGATAGAAATGAAGGTTATTACATTTACTTATCACTCATTGGCCTGAATCACAAGACACATTGCAGAACTCACATCTACAAAGTATATAGAGCATAGTTTACCTTATGGCTTAGTGAGTTGATAAGCCATACAAACCAAAAAAATCACAAGTTTGACCCCTGATCTTTGCTGAGTAAGATGATCTCAGCCGTAGAAATGATACCATGAAAGAACAGGAAACCTGCCAGGCTCCGCTACAATGTCTCCCAGAAGAGAATAACCTGACTGCACTCACAGTCAAGGCTCATGTTAAAATAATGGCTAATTGGGCTGGGTATCAGAGGAAGACCCGCACCAGTGGATCTGTACCCCAGTGAGCAAGTCAATGCCTTCGGCAGAGGTTGGGATGGGAGAGAAAGAGAAAATTGGCAAGAAGAAGAAAATAAATTTGAAAATTGTCGGTGAGACAGGAGGGGCTCTGGAGTGGCTCCTCTGCAGCCTTCCTCTGAAACTCCTCTGCATCTTTCTATGATGTTGATATTAATCCTATAGTGAAATGCCCCAAAACTAGACACAATATTCTATCTTTATACTTGACTTATCTTGAGGATGGAGTCAGAATTCAGAACAGACTAACACTTCCAGAACAGAATGGGTGTTTAGGAATATTGCAATTTTACTTCAATATGAATTAAACCAACAAGACCAGTGAGGCCACTTGTTTTTCCCCTTCAGAAATGCTATTTCACACAGCAAGGTGAATCACAAAACCAACTATTTGTTGCTTTGCACTCCACTCAAACACAGGCTTAATTCAGCAAACGTTTATAGACATCTACTTGCAGGACTAACCAGCTCGGAAGGAAGCAGAGACAACAACAATAAGAGCTGGTCAAAACAACACTAAAAAGAAAGGTCGAATTATTTTTAGATAGAATATGTGATCAACAAGCAACTCACTTCTGGCTGTGCAGCAAATTCCCGCAGGAGGTGCCCATTCCATACAAAGCGCTGATCTGCCTGCAGGAACAAACAATGACATTAAAATTCAAGTATAAGGAGCTAAACACTACCATACCACTGACAAAGAAAACGCATGCAGCTGGAAACCTGCAGTTTAATACAATTCAATGCTTCATAGATCTACCTTGCAGTACCTTCCAAATGTGCCATGGGAAACAGCATGGTTTCAAAAAAGAAATTGAGTCAGCTATCTTTTACTTCATTTTTAAAAAACATTCTTTCCACCGCTCCTGAAAGTGGTGATTGTTGATGGGGTACAAGCTCACAGGTGCCAGTGATAATATACAATTTTACATTTCTATAGCTCCTTTCTCATATCAGGAGGATATCAAGGTGCTTAATCTGGCTTGGCACCTGATACCTGACCCGAGTGGTTATTCTTGTTAATCTTGGACAATAAGTAATGGCAGACTTTTTGACTGTGAGAGACATTACAGCTGAGGTTGATTCTATCCTCACTGGACATTTACAAGTAATTTCATGACTCAAAACGGCCACTCGTCTGTCTAAATTTACTCTTTCAATGACTGACGGTAAATCTTTTAAAATATAATGCAAATTCCTATTTATACATTAACCAGATTAACCACTGGGATGTCCAGTTTAAATTGTGCATTCTGCGTAGTGCTCTGCAGGAATTATTTGGGGTTTTATTTAAAATGAATGTTGTGCTATGAGACACTATGCTATGTGCTTGAAAACTAAAATGGTGATGTAGTGAAGAAGTGTAACTGGCTAATTATGCCAACGCTACCAGGGGATTAAGGCTGGAAAGGATAATACAGGAGCAGGGGGCCAGGAGAGAGCATGACTGGCCTAGCTCGCTCTGGCACGTACATTGTGCTTGCACAATCTGTTATTTGTTCTCACTGTGAATTACTAGACAGAAAAGTAATTATTCCCATTTTTTAAATTTTCTTTTAACGACACTCAAAGGAATGGCTGGTTTTGACAAACAGACATTTTATTCCCTTTTTACCCACTAACAATGCATATGCAATCCTGTGCTACACACATTTACAACACATTTGAGAAATGGGAATTACATTTGACTGGATTTTCTTTCAACTTGGTGAACAATACTAGTGCAATTTATTAGCACACTAGGAGCTGGCAGTGAGGATAAGCTAAACCATGTTTGTGTTTCTCTACCATTTTGCATAAATATCTCAGTGCACTAGATGATAAGCATTTATTTAGATTCCAAAATGAAAAGGAATGCACTTGTGTAACACTGAGAACAATGTTTAAAGCTGCGGGAATGAGACTAGACCACAATGTATCTCAGCGGCAATAGGAAGAGCAGCCGCTGGCTAGCCTTATTGCCCACTAGTTGGTTACACAAATAGTTTCCTGCCTAATAACACCAATACAATTGTCTCCTCCACAAACCCTGGAAAAGGCTCCAAGTCACAGCTGTAACGAAGGAAGCCATTTAAAATCCTGAAAATGTATTTATGTAGTGGGATTGAAGTGTTCTTGGATTACACCCAACTGTATCTCTCAGCCTCTGCCCTCAATTCCATATGGTGCTCCAACTGGTGTTATCTGATTGATTGCCTGTCAGACATCAAGTCCTGGATGAGCTCTAACTTTCTCCGCTTGAATGTCAACAAGGCAGAAGCTCTCCTGTTTGGCTCACCTCAGGCACTGACAGCAGCAATCTACCTCACAGAGGAAATGAAAACCTTAGTGTCTTGTTCAAATCTCAACTGTTCTTTAAATCCCACATCCGTACCTTGACCCTCTCAGCTTTCTACCACCTCTACAACATTACCCACTTCTGCCACTACCTCTCCCCTCAAACTACCGAGACCCTTATCCATGCTTTTAATAATTCTTGCATTTGATATAGTGCCTTATCACATTGTCAAGGCATCTCAAAGTGCTTCATAGGATGTACTGTAAATTGGATTGACTATTTTATGGGCGAACAAGGCAGCCAGCATATGCACAGCAACGTTCCACAAACAGGCATGGAGTGAATGACCAATATTATTTGGGGGATTGTTGGCCAGAATAGAAGGAGAAACTCCCTTTTCTTTTTGAATAGTGCCATGGGATCTTTAATGTTCACGTAAACGGGTCCTCGGTTTATCCAAAGGACAGCACTTCCAACAATGCAACACCCCCCTAGCGCTGTATTAGAGTTTCACCGTAGACTATGTGAGTTCAAGTCACAATACGCCCAGGCTTGACTACTCCAACTCTCTGCTCACCAGATTTCCCAACTCAGACCATTCAGAACTCTGCAGCTTGTGTCCTCTTCCACACTAGGCTCTAACTAGCCTTTCATTCCCATCCCTGCCTGAATCCACTGGCTTCCCATTACCCAGAGAATTGAGTTCAAGATCCTCAGCCTCGTTTCTTACATCCCTTCACGGTCCTGCCCTTCCTGCCCTCCATAACCTTCTAAAACCCTACTAAGTCATCTACTCCCTCCACTTGGCAGGCAATAGCTTCCTTCACATGCCCCGCCCTGCCTGCACCATCATCGTCAGTCGGGCTTTCAGCCTTTCTGCCTCCACTCTCTGAAATTCCATCCGGAATCCCTTTGCCTCTCCCCTTTCCTCGTCTCCTTCAAGGTCCATCTCAAGATTTTCCTTTTGATCTTGCCTTCAGTCATCTTCCAGTACCCCAACCCCACCCCAGATCCCTCCAGAATCCAACCCCCAGCTCGACTGTCCAGTGCCTTTAGATGTCTTCCCAATGTGAAAGGCGTTAAATAAATGCAATGCGTTGTTGTTGCTCTATTTCACAAGGTTTCTTTAAAAAGTGTTCAATACATCACATTTTTTAGGATTGAGCACCCCCTACTGGAAATGATCCCGCATTGCTTACAGTCCTGCTGTAGTTTAGATTGCATTTCTGTTCGGAGCAGAGGCCTCTCTGCTGAGAATGTTCCGGAGAGACAATCCGATGGAAGGCAACAGCAACCTTACCCTTTCCAGTAGACTCATTTCTTGAAACTCAGGACTGGTGTTGGCCAAACGCTGCAAAGTGTGAGTGAGGTCGTAGCTTGTGGAGAAGTAAAATCCATCTGTGTTGAGAACACCGTTAAGCATCGCCAAAAAGGTCTTGTTATCTTGCATCTATTAAGACAAGAGAAACAATCAGCAGTGAGCCTTTTCAATATCGTATCTGAATCAGGTCAGTGGGGGAGCAAAGGCAGACTTAATAATTGCTTTGCACCTGTTGCTTTGTTCCCACATTCAAAAGAAGGGGTCGTGAGCGGGAGGTTAGGGACAGTGCACATTGTCTACAGACACAATACAAATCTTTCATTGATTTTATTATTGGTCCTTTCTTCTCACCCTCCTCCCCAGCTTGTTCCACACAAATCTAGTGTTACAAGATATGTCAGTTGAATTTAAATAGCTGTGAAGTTATTGTCACACGAAGCACTGTTTTGTGCTGAAATTACTAGAAGCCTTGTTGTCCCTTACCCAGGTTTCTCAATGCAAGTATATTGACGGGGAATGATAATTGCTTAGGCTCAATAATAATTCTTGTAAAGTGCCTTATCACGTCATTAAGACGTCCTAAAAGGGTTTCACAGAATATACTGTAAAGTGAATTGACTGTATATTTTGTGGGTGAATCGCAGCAGCCAATTGCGCACAGCAGTGCCCACAAACAGTCGTGGATTGAGTGACCAAATTATTATTATTATTATTTTGAAGCGATTATTACCCCCGGAAAGCGATCCGCCAAACCACTAACAATCGAGTTCCTACTTACTGTTAAGGAAACAGATGTGTGGAGTGAGGAAACTTGCCTAACATTTCGCCCTGCCCGGGAATCAATAATAAATCATACAGGAATAAAACTCTTCTCTAATGACTTTCAAATAATCCTGCTACTGTTTATTAAAACCTTTGGACCATCTAAAATGTATCAAATTGTACATGTCTATGTTCCAGTCCTCCATAAAATACCCTTTCCTTTGTACAACAGTACCATGACTTATCAAAAGCAGTTCGAATGTAATGGAGTATGATTTCCATAACCTATAAGAGACACATACACCACATTCAGTTTCGTCTTATTTTGTAATCCATTCACAATTTCTCTGTGAAAGACGACAAACACTAGATTCAGAAGGAATTCTACTGTTGTTTCATCAGTTAGCTTTGAATGCCGCTGGGTGGTAAAGCACTGTCAAAGCACCCTCAAGAATTCAATTTACAAGTTCAAGTGTAGATTAAGTAGTGAGGGTTTGACAGGTATTTAACAATTAATGATTAAACAAATATGAAGTCAAAAGAGATCGCTCTTCTAGGAACATAAGACAGGAACAGGAGTTGACCATTCAGTCTGTTCAGTCTGTTCTACCATTGTTTTGGTTCACAGCTGTCCTGCAACTTAGTACTATTTTCACTGCCCTTTCACCTTGATATCACTGCCTACTAAATATTCATCTACCTCCCTCTTAACTATTCCAAGTGATCCCGCATGTAGAAACTTTTAGGTAGTGAATTTCCACAATCCTTTGGGTGGAAAAAAAACATCAATAACTTGCATTTATATGATGCATTTCACGTGGGGTAGTGTCCCGAAACGCTCGACAGTAGAGAAGTCTGACCCCGAGCTAGTGTGGGAGAGGGTGGGGGGAAGAGACCGTAAGCACGATCAAAAAGATCTTTAATCTGGATTTGACAGTGGGGAGGGAGGGGGCAAGGCGGGGGGATTAAGTCCTGTAGCTCAGTGGTTAGAGCACTCGCTTTGCAAGCGAGAGACCTGAGTTCAATTCCAGGTCAGGGCGAAACCTTGGGCAAGTTTCCTTACTCCACACAGAGCCTAATAATAATCCCTCCAAAAACAATAATAAATTGGTCATTTTCAATCTACGACTGTTCGTGGGACATTGCTGTGCGCAATTGGCTGCCGCGTTCGCCCACACATATACAGTCAATTCACTTTACAGTGTGTTCTGTGAAGCGCTTTGGGACGTCCTCCCGACGTGAAAAGCGCTATATCAAATGCAAGGATTAATTAAGGGAGAGAGTTCCAGAGTTTTGTGCGCAATTGACTGCTGCGATTTGGCGGGAATGGAAGGTAAGCAGGTCAGATAGGTAGGGAGGTAATGGTGGAGGCGGAAAATGTTGTGGAGGTGGGGGAAGGCAGAGCGGGTCATGGCACGGATGAGGGGACTAAAGGACAGTTGAGGGTCAAACAAGACAGTGAGGTTCTGTGCTGGCTCAGTGAGGTGAAGAGTACATCCATGGATGGTGATGCTGTCAGCGTCTGAGGTGACAAGGTGCTGATGGGAGCCAAGTAGAAGGGCCTCCATTTTGTCAGCATTGAATTGGAGAAAGTTGGCTCTCATCCAGGACTTGATGATCTCCAAATCTATCAGGATAGCAATAATCATGGAGTCGAGGTTGGAGGCAGAGAGATAGAATTGGGTATCATTCGCAAACATGTGGAAGTTAACCCCACGCCTGCACATCGTATCACTGGGTGGGAGCATTTAAATATGAAAGAGAGCCCTAAGGAATGCCACAAGTGATAATGCGATGGCTGGAGGAGAAGCTGTTAACAGATACAAAGTGGAGATGATGGGAAAGGTAAGAGTGAAATCAAGCAAGGACAGAATCATAAAGGTGAAGCTGAGAGGAGAGGCAGTGGAGACAAACAGAGTGGTTAACAGTGACAAAGGTGGCAAAGAGATCAGACCGCTGTCGCTTATTATATAGCCATTGATGCTCATGATAGAATGGATGAGGTACTGGAAAACGGCCATTACCTTTGGAGCAATACTCTGAGCCACTGCCTTTTGGAAGAGGGGAAAACATTTTGGGGGAAACAAACCGCATCTAAATATCCTGGCAAAAGAGGTATGTACCAAGCTGTACAGACCAGAAAAGTCCAAGGTTAGATTTATCTCCTGTGCTAGCTCATCTTATCTGGGTTAGTACAGTTTTATTCAATGCCAGCCTGGGATATGTGAGAATGAGTGAACAAAAGAAGGATTTTCACTTCCACTCGCTATGCAATGACCTCGCTGTAAAACATTCATGAATTTTGATAAGACAAGGCAAGAACAGGATGTGCCTCAGCTGTTATTTCTCCTCCAACCCCCTCAAGCTGCTTGTCAGCATTGACTGTTTTGGCTCACACATGAACAAACACCTGGGCAAGCCAACAGGGAGGCTCACACTCACGGCATTTCAAGAATTTCCGATACAGAGGGCCGCTGCCATTTTCTACTGAGAAATTGAGAATGAAGTAAATGGACTTCATTCATAATCAAGTATGTGCAGAATGGGAAAAATAGGTTTTCTGTTGCTACGTGCAGACTCACCCCAGTGCTGGCGTATATGACTGTGGGAGAAGGTTTAGTTGGCAAAAAGGAAACAAGCAGTGCTGTGTGGCAGCAGGAATTCCCCAAATCCCAGTGCACTTACGTGTGCATGCAGCCAGCTCGCAGAATGAAATAACTTGTATTTTTATCACGCTGAAACTCTCCAAATGCTTCATGGTAACTATTGTCAACTGTAGTAACTTATCTGTAGACAAATGCAGCTACCATTTTGTGCACAGCAATTCTACAACATGAATGAAAACAGTCATGAGATAAATGACCAATTTAACGAGAGGATTGTTGGCAGGACAACAGGAGAAACTCCCTGCTCTTTGCGAATTATGTCAAGGGATCGTTAACGGACCCTCAGTTTAACATCTCATCCGTAGGACAGCACTCTGACAATGCAGCAATCTTCTCCCAAGCAATGGATTGGAGTGTCAGCATAGACAGTGAATTCAACATAAACTTCTAACAATTAAACTAAGCTCACAACAAGTGAGTCATGTTGACATGTCTATTATCCGGAAGTGGGATATTCGGATGAAATAATGAACACTGAATCTCAAATTATATATTTTTGGGTCCTTCATTTCATTCATTAAAATTAAGGTATCAGTGTAAGAAAACATTTACACCTACAATCACTCATAAGCATTCTTAGATTAGGTATAATAGAGGCAAAATGGAGAACAAAGCTCTCTGTATTTTGACCTCAAAATGCACTTGTCAGCAGCAGAAAGCATTTCTCAGTATAAATTTGTAATTCACTAATTAAAAAACATTTTGCAACTACTAAATGAATATGAAGTGCTTCATTTTATTTTCAAATTTTCTTTATTCCTTCAGCTAGTTTGTATAGAATTTGATAAATAAAAAATGAACCCCAAATCCAGTGCTGTCTGTGGTTATTTAAAGTCCTGAATTCAAAGCTGTATTTACCTGCATATCCGTGAGGTGCAGAACGGTCTTCTTGTAGGAAATTATGTCAAATTCCGTTGCTTTCCAGATGGGATGAGTGAACATATCTCCCACCTTCTGCTTTTTGGTAATGACAATAAGGTACATGCCTGCAGAACAACAAGTACTTTGTGCTTCAAGAATCACTGAGCAATTTTCAGATTACAACACGGAGATGGAAAGTATTAAAGTAGAAGAGGTCTTATTTTGAATGTCACTTGATCTGTTAATATAGATTTGGATAAAAGGTTCGAAGCATGGATTGATGATAAATGTTAAGTATTTGGGAAATAAATGTCAACTAGCAATCCTTTTTATGGAAAGTTTGTTGAATACTTCTATTTCTCCATTTTTTCTTCTCCACTTTTCTTTGCCCAAAAAGCAGTTGCCATCTTTTTTCTTTATTGGGGTAAAGTTTGAAGAATCCCTTTTGGTAACTTGCCAATTGGTCATTATTCCTGGGCAAGGCTGGACAGAGTATTGACAGGCTATGCCATCATGCTACCAAGCCCTATTATGGCCTCATCTGTGATCTACATGCCTTTAGGCAGGACTATCTAGATGGGGATCAGGAGCAGGAACCTGGATTATTTTCAAGTCCTTAACTCAAGGGTATTGAGTACTGTTAGTATCCTAACTGGGATCAGCTAACTCAGTGCTGACCATGATTCAAACAGACATTCTGATCTGTGTGGTCTAGTGCTGTATGGGGTCATCAAGAGCTACAAGACCATTCATAAAGATTGTATACTTTGTTTTCCAACGTCCCACTGTTTTAAGCCTTGTGTGGAGTCCTGAATATTATTTATCCCTTTCAGAACATACATTATTTCCAGTATATATCTGCAGTAAGGCTTTCTATAACAACAACTTGCATTTATATAGTGCCTTTCACGCAGGGGTAGCATCCCGGAGCGCTTTACAGTGTGGGAGTCTGACAACGAGCCAGGGGCCGAGGAGGGGGGAGGTGATTGAGGTGAGCATGGTCAAAAAGGAAGGTCCTTAGACAGAAATTCAAGGTGGGGAGGGAGGGGGCAAAGCGGGGGATTGAGAGAGAGAGTTCCAGAGTTTCGGGGGGTAGTGGCTGATGGCACGGCCACCGATGGTAGAACGGAGGGGCGAGGGGCAAACAGGAAGCCGATATAAGATGGAATACTGAATACAGTATAAGAATACAGTATATATCTATTATCGCAAAAATACATGGGACATAGTATCAATGCTACACTGATCTCAACACCTTATATGTGGACATTCTTTTAAATGGGAAGAAGCTTCTGCAAATATATTGCTGCGTAAACAACAGTCAGCTTCATTGGCAAACCAAAGTTACTATAAAGATGTACGTTTTAATGAATTAGTTAATCATCCTCAAGTGAAGATAATTTTCATATCTCACTACTGCCTAAGAAATATCCCTTTGTTTCTCAACACACTGAGATTTTGTTTTAAGCGCTCAGGTGCAGTAAATGCAAGTTGTTGTTGTTTCATGCAAGCAGCATCATTGGAGATTTCTCCTAATGGCGAAGAGGCTGTCTACAGATGGCTTGTAGTATAAAACTGAACTGCACAGACCTTGGAAGCTCCCAAGTTCATTCTCTGGTCTATCCCGAGTTAACTGACCTCAGCTGGGTAGCAGTAGAAGTACTACAATTGATAGGAAAAATCAGGCAGAGATCACCTTCTTGATCACAATTCAATGCCAGCCCCTGCCCTGTTCACCAGAAAATCCACTGTATACATCGGGTTCAGTGGTGGTGTCCCCAGATTCAAATAGCCTAGTGCTAATGACGGGCACCGAGTCTCATCCATGTGAGTCACTCATCCAGCAACAGTGAAGCCACGTCCCAGATTAATGCTGGGATTGAGCACTTTAAGGAGAAGAGGAAGGGGGGAAACTGGAGGGAGAAAGAAAGACTGCTAAGCTAATAAAGGACCACACACACCACCAGCATCACACCATCTCAGAACAGGGCATGACTTGTCTTAAATCCACCCACCTGCAACCAGGCGAATTGTTCCCATGATTCCATAAACGGATCTCGTAACCGCAGATGGCGGAATGTCTTTCTTAACTATACAGAAGGAAAAAAACATAAATTTGTCTTACTTTTACAAGAAAAACATAAGAAAGTGCACCAAACTTAAGAACATAAGTGCACCAAACTCCCTTGTCTGTGGCCAAAATGTCTGCAATAATGTCTCCAATTTATCTGGAGATAAAGTTATCAACAACACCCATTAAAATTGCCAAAGGAATGTGAGGAATCTAGATAGATAATAATAACTAGAAAGTTGCAATTTCTTCAAGTTTATATATAACTTAATAATAATAATCCTTAAATTTGATATAGCCCTTACCACGTCTTTGAGACGTCTATTTTGTCGTTGAGGTGTCTCAAAGCGCTTCACAGAATATATTGTAAAGTGTGTGCGTGTATTTTGTGGGATAAACTCGGCAGCCAATAGTGCATGGCAGTATCCCACAAACATGCAACCGTGGATTGAGTGACCACACTTTTTTTTGGTGGAGTGATTACCCCCGAAAAAGTGATCCGGCAATCAACAAAGAACCGGGTTCCTACTTACTGCAAGGTAAACAGAAGCACATGGAGTAAGAAAACTTGCCTAAGGTTTCGCCCCACCTGGGAATCGAACCTGGGTCCTCCCACTTATGAGGTGAGCATGCTCACCACTATACGAGGGGACTCCATAATTAACAAACAAGATATTAATCGTAGAGGCAGATTTATACTAAATAATGTCCACCATGAACAACCATAGAGACAGATTCTAGGTGACAAATCAACACACCACAGAGAAGCTGAAAGATCAGCTGACATATTACTGAATTACATATATTTAGGCCTTCATATATGATATCCAAGTAATACACAAGTGTTGCCTTGGTCTTTGAGCTAGGTAAATTCATAAAATCTTGAGTTTTCATATTTACTGTTTTGCACATGATAATTTGGAGGGTTTGTTGAATCAAGTGAGGTTTCAGTCCCTTTGCAAACTTTAATCACTCTAATGGAACAAACAGACCTGGAAAATCCTAGGTTGGATCTCTGATCTTTGCTGCCAGTGACACGAAGCTTAGTAGAAAAACGACAGGTTCCCAATGGCAATTCTATGTGGAAGTGTTTATTTCTAGCTTTCGGTCAGGTCAGGACCGAGCTCAGCCACAGTCTCCAGTCAAACTGTCCAATCTCTCAAGAGAGTAATGACAACTTGGCCAAGATAGGAGTCGTGTCAGTTCCCCCTTTGCTAAAACATGCCTAGCAACTTCGGGGATAAAGGGGTAAGAAGAAAATAATTTGGGAGGGAAACATGACGGTTAAAAAAGAAACATTCATAAATTGGGAACCCCACACTCATAGCCTTTAAATAGTGCAGAACCATAGCTACATACATTGAGCACATTGAACTCCCAAGCAATCCTAGCAGATGTACTGTCAATTAGAGCCAAATCTCTGCAGTCAATCGCAGAATCAAACACCTCAGCCACTAATTAGAAGTTTGTTAAAAAAGGAAAAATTAACTTGAACTAAAATGAACACCTTCGACTTAGTGAGAAAAAATTGCAATAATTTAAAAAAAACACTCAAGCTAGCAAAAGCTCAAGGACCATCCATAGTTCACTTATAAATGGATGAATCACCCTGCCAGAAACAGGCCAAGTCAGTTCCTTGATACTCTGAGAAGTACAGGTAGAGCAGCTATGTTGTCTGTAGCAGCTCCAAGCAACAGTAACAAGTGCAGCTTAAAATTCACTAAGGGAAGGTGTACATCTCTTCATTGGCTGATAGGTCCAATAGAGACCAATAGAATTTTTTTTTAAATTATGTTAAATTGCTAATTGAAAAAAAAGTTTAACTGTGCAAACCTTGACAGTGCACAGAACAAAACTTAAAAATGGTAGCTTTTCATTAAAACGTAAGCCCTGCTTTTCACAGATATTTTACCTGTGAGCATGATCTCATTGGAGACACGGTCAATGGCAAGCACATCATTTGCTCCATCATCACATGCCTCAAAGTAGAACTTCTCTGGAGTTGTGTGCCTAAAAATTAAAATGAAAAAGAAACATTAAGAACATTTTGCATCAACTTTTCTCCCTTTCTACTTTCAAAGATTTTGTTTTGCTAGGGTATAGTTCCACAGGTCCCAGACTCCCTCCAATAAGTCATCCAGGTAGCCATTATTCATATGTGAGTGAGCTTCACAGGAAAATAAATGCTTTGAGACTATTTGTCTGCACAGCTAATACAGTTCCTGATCTCATACAACATCTACAGCATACAACATCTGGCTCATTTTAATGCATTGTAGCTCCAGCTGAGATCAGCTGACTATATACAGACTGAGATTCAAACATGAAATTTTCTGGTCTCCATCGAGTTTTGAGAACAGTCCCGGTACTATTTATAATGGTTTCATTATAGCCCAGTTGATCTCATTGCTCAATTCTATTTAGAGTCGAATTTTAAAATGAAATGGCTTTTATTGTGGCCATTTCATTTTAAAATTGTGGCCATTTCATCTTACAATAATAATTTGGTAGAGCACCTTTCATATCAGGAGGTCCTTCCAAAATGCTTCACAGCATATATTGTAAAGTGGTATGACTGTGGGTTTATGTGTGTTTTTTGTGGGCGAACCAATATAGACCTTCCCCCATGGATGAGGTATTGTCTTTACCTGCTAGCAATTGGGTGGCTAGTACTTATGCGCTATGACAATTATACAACTAGATTAAAAGCCATTATAAACCAGTTTGACTACTTCCACCTACCAACCTCAAATAGATTTTTTAATAATAATAATCCTTTCATTTGATATAGCGCCTTATCACGTTGTTGAGACGTCACAAAGCATTTCACAGGATATACTGTGTGTTTACAACAAAGAATTGCCATTCAATCAACTCAAGCTCAGCGAGATGGTTCCAGAAATTCCTTTTCCAGAAACTCCTCCGGGTTTTGGGATTAACTTCTCAGATGACGAAACCTTTGCTCTTTTTTCTTGTTAAAAGTGTGATGTAATCTGTGTTTTAATAAAATGCTTGACAGCTATATTGTTTGGAAACAATAAAAAAGGCAAGGTGAAACAGTCCCAAAAGTAAGTTTTAAAAAAATTATAATAATATAATAATCCTTGCATTTGATACAGCACTTTTCACGTCTTCTAGACGTCTCAAAGTGCTTCACAGAATATGCTGTAAAGTGAATTGACTATATATTTGTGGGTGAAATGCGGCAGCCAATTGTGCACAGCAGTGTCCCACAAACAGTCATGGATTGAAAATGACCAATTTATTATTGTTTTGGTTCAGAGATTATTATTAGGCTCTGTGTGGAGTAAGGAAACTTGCCCAAGGTTTCGCCCTGACCTGCCTGGAATTGAACCCAGGTGTCTCGCTTGCAAGACGAGTGCTCTAACCACTGAGCTACAGGACTCCAATGAAAATTGCATTTTCATTTGCGTCTGACCAATATTAATCTCCAAACATTAGGATTTAGAAAGTTTTGACCGAAGGCACGATCAAAGAGAAGGGTCTTGAGACCGGCCTTGAAGGAGGCGAGGGAGGAAGCGATATGAAGGGACTGTGGGATGGAGTTCGAGAGTGTGGGGGCAGAGAGGCTGAAAGCTCGGCCACCGATGGTAGGGTGGGTCGGGCGGAAGACATGGAGCAGTCTGGAGCCCGCTGAACGGAGGGAGTGGGCAGGATCAAAGAAGTGGAAATAAAAACATTAGCAAAACTCAATGAATCCATACACTAATTACGAGTGGACTAATATCTGTAAGAAACACGCTCACATGGCCTGGAGCTAATTGATGAGCACGAAAACATTGACTAACTCATCTCGGCTGCGCCAGTGTCCCACAGCTAACTGATCAACACGTTTCTGTGACAGTACACGAGAATCTGAGATTAGAATATATGGGGGAAGAGAAAAAGGGGAGGAATGTAATATGGTGCTAAATTTGATTATACGATCTGAGCGCCTCTATCAGAGGTTCCTGCAAAATAGGTTTTCCCCTCCGATCACAACTGAAGCATTTTGAACATGTGCTGCTGTGATCGGTTTACCTAACAGGTACATTTGACATTCCACACCCTCAGCCTTGTAATGTCACTGCTCAAAGGGGATTCTTTGAAAGATGGGATTCTCCTAAAGCCGTGGCAATCTCAGAACAATCAGTAAATGGCCGTGTCCCCGCAAGTGTATTATGCATCAAGTATAAACTCTGTGCAAATGGATGCGTAAACTTTGTGTATATGGAGGAGAATTATGTGCGCAGTTAATTATGTAAATAACCAATGAAAATTAAAAGGAGCCTGTTGGATTACTCCTGCGCACAGACACATCCTCACCACTCTCACACACACGCGCGCACACAGGATCTTTTTTAAAAAAACGTTATTTATTTTGGTCAGCTAGGTGTCTGACACACGTGGAAACTAATCACCAAGCATAATAGTATCCAAACCAGGGTTTCACATGTATGCCACCTACACATGGAAAATTTTCTATGTCTGGAATGGAAAGTGGATTCTCTCCGTAGAGGGATGCACTCTGCTTACCTAATTCTAGAGGGTATTAATAAAGTACAATACAAATTTACATTTATGTTGCTCTTTTCACATTAGGAGGACGTCCCAAGGTGCTGGACGGACCAAGGTTGGCACCCGAGTTGGAGGAAGGGCAAGATGGCTAAAGTCGTGGTGAAAAGGAAGGTCTTCAGGCGGACTCTGAGCAAGGGAAGGGATGAGTTAAAGGGATTTTGGGATGGAGTTCCAGCAAAGGGGGAGACACGCTGAAAGCCCAACCGACGATGGTGGGGCAGGGGGTGTGAAGCAGGCTGGTGCCCGTTGAGCAGGTTGCCGGGTTCGTACAGTGAGGAGATTGCAGAAGTAGGGCGGGCAAGAACGTGGAATGATTTAAAGGCACCGAGGTTCTGTTCAGGCTCCGGGAGGTGAATGTGCATCCAAGTAGTTTAATGCTGTCAGTGACTGTGGTGAGAAGGTGCTGAAGGAAGCTAAGAAGGAGAACCTCTGTCTTATTAACATTCAACTAATGCACAAATGGACAGCGAAAGACGAGTACCATGGTGAGCCCGACAGAGGATTCCCAGACCAGAGCAGAGGGAGGCTGTGGGACGGTCAAGTGGGGATAGGAGGCGAGGAGGACGGTGGGAGAGGAAGACAGAATGGGAGTATTACAGGGTAGAGGACAGTGATGGGAGTATTTTCAAATCCAGATCCGGGGTTTGAACCTGAAACCTTTGAAACCAGAGGCAGAAACACTACCAACTGAGCCAAGGATGGAGGCAGAGGGAAGGAGTTGGTGCATATTAGTTCCCAACGTTAAGTCATCATGGAATACAAAGCCAGCATTGAATGTAATTTTAGTGTGTGGTTGGTGCACACCAGATCAATTAACACAGGGCTGTTCTGAACAGATTACACAGTCTATCCTTAAATCCTAACAAATACTTCATTGTTAGAAATTAAAACGGGTTATACACCAAATCATGTACTTACTGCGTTCCTTACAAGCAACATGAAAACTATCAGGTCAGGCAGCGTGGCCACACAGCACCACAGAGTGGCAGGATAGAGTTTCACACCCAGCATTCTCTCAACCTATGTAGAACCTCAATTTTCTATCAAAGGAAACTATCAGAAAGGGAGGGAGACGAAAATGTCATCCTAACCCACTGTCATGCTAGTCACAGATCAGAAAACGGATCCCAACTCTCTGTTGTAGAAAATTCAACCGTGCAATGGAAACTCAAAAAGAGGAAAGACGTGAATTAAAAATGAGATAAACGAATGTGCAACGTGTTTTTATTGGCAAAATATTTGAAGCCGAGAATAGAAATTTAAACAAAATGAATTACACACATTCACTGCAGCTGGAGAACAAATCAACAAAGATGTGCTATATAACAATATGTCAATGGAGCTTCTTGCTGCTATAAATATCTAAACTGAGAAAATGCACAAATTATGTATTGAATATTGAGCACGCCTACACCTTCAGTAGCTCCTTCGAACCAGTAATCATTGTACAAGAGCACTTCTATCTCTAACAAAAAGACATCAGTCTGGTTCAATTGGTAGCACTCTCGCCTCTGAATCAGAAGATTGCAGGTTGACCCCCCACAGGACTCCAGTGCAGCGCTGGGGAAGTGCTTAATTGTCAGAAGTGCCATCTTTCAGATGCGATGTTAAATTGAGGTCCCCTCTGCCTGCTCTGGTGGATGTTAAAGATCCCATGGCACTATTCGAAAAGGGAAGAGTATCTCCTGGTGTCCTGGCCAACAATCCCCCTGGTTATTCACTTCAGGGAAGTTTGTAGAATATTGCAAATTGTCTGCCCTACAAATACACAATCAATGCACTTCACGATAAAAACCTGTGAAGCATTTTGAGATGTCTTGATAATGTGATCAGGTGTGAAATCAAGTATTATGTCAAACATTTACCAATAAAATCGCATCATGCTTCAAGTGAAAAATATTAACTTCTTCAACAACAACAAACTCCATTTATATAGCACCTTTCACTTTGGGAGGACATCCCAAGTTGATGGACAGTCGAGGGTTTGCATCCAATCTGGTGACTGGATTTGGGAGAGGTGGGAAGACCAAAGGTGCGATCAAAGTGGAAGGTCTTGAGACAGACTTTGAAGGAGGTGAGGAAATGGGTGAAGTGAAACATTTTTTTTTTGCTGAATGGAAATTCTTTCCAGTCAAAACTGATGGAACTTTTTTCAGCTAAAGGGTAATGAAATCTTTGTTGCTGTGTGGGATGATGAATGCAAAAATCTCCAAGAGATGTTATTCTTTAAAATGCAAGTCTACCTTGCACTAACAACAGGAAATCCCAACGGAATGATCAAATTCTGTCTTTCTCAGTTCTACGAATTCATATTAAAGTTATGTAGTAAAGTAAATTTTGTCATTTCCGTATCCTATGCTGCTGACTAACAGTTCTACAGTCACCAGATGCTACTTTTCTCTTGAAGCATTACACTTGTCAACAATCTATTT